ATCAGCGAAGCTTACCAAGGGAAATCAGGTGCAGGGATAGAAATTTTAACTGCGGGGACCAAGCCGTCAGCAAATGATTTCGAGGCAATGAGTTATTTTTGTGTCACTTACTTATCTAAGAGCCTGTTGGCCAAGGTTTTGCACTCAAAAACAATTGGAGAATTCTTCTTTGAAATCAAAGAGCGAAAAAAAAATGCGGTCAGGTTGATTAGGTTTTGATGATTGCATGTCGGTCAACTTCATCTCCCTCCAGTCTAGCCTTGCTCTGCCCTTGCTTCTTCTATCTGTCTTCGTTTACAGCCCTTTTGTTGGTTTTTAATTTGGGTTTAGCTTTAATTGTGCAAGTGGTCACTAGGTTGTTGGTTTATTCCCTGTTAAGCAATTATATTGCTGCTTCTAAACACGGCACGACTGTTTCCAACCATGTACTTACAAATCGGGTTGTGCCTCGCTCCAGCTTTGACTAGCACATGAAGCAGGGGTGAATTGTGGGTGAGGGCAGCCACATCCAGGGGGACGAGACCCTGTTCGCTCACTCTGTTCACCCCCCTCTCCCGGTCTTTCACCCAGTCTCTCTCTTTCTTTTCTCCTCTCTCCCACAGGGTTCCTCCTCCACCTCCTCCTCCTCCTCCTCCACCTCCTCCTTTACAGTTATTGTGGATTCGGGACAGCAGACTTTGTACAGCCAACGTGTCTTCATTCTCCACCGCATCCCACAAGGTCTGGTACTAATGGGGTAGCAAGAAGATGCTGTGAGTAGGCGGTTGGCATCGCCATAGCATACAATGATCACCCCTTAAAATAAGTATCTTACAGCATCTGCAGATTTGGGGTAGCAAAAGATGCTGTGAGTAGGCGGTTGGCATCGCCATAACATACAATGATCGCCCCTTAAAATAAGTATCTTACAGCATCTGCAGATTTTCCAAGGTGCTTGGGTGTGTCTGCTTCCCCGCCGACAGATGACTCTCCTCCCCTTAGCTTGACTGATAGGTTTCTATAGAGCCGCTTGGGTGAGACGGGACCCAAAGAGCGCCGGCGATGCGGCGGGTTCCTCGGGGAGACAGACATGACAAAGCAGGAGGAGAGAGGAGACTAAGCAGAAAGGGAAGTGGGAGACAGAAATGGCAAGACTGAAGATGGTGGTATGAAAGCTATTTTTTTTAGTTCATAATTAAGCATTGTTAGAACCCCCAACCACAGAGAACCGAAGGGGGAGACAGGATGAAGAAGTGAGCACAAGCGAGAAAAAGAATCTTGGAGAGAATTTTAAAAATGCCAGGAAAGATACACATCAAGTGCATAAAGGGGTGCGAAAAAAAAGAGGAGAATACAAATAAGAATATCGAGTCAGCCTTGGACAGATTCGTCAATTAACAAATAATTTTAAAACAACTTAGAGAGTGAGTAGGCACGCTACATGTGTGAATGGATAAACTTTTTTTTTTAATGTTGAGACTGTGCTAATTGCCACGCTTAACCCCAGTTACAGCTACAGTCTATTTTTTTCAGGTTCATGTACTTGGGCTTCCCACATTATGAAAATAAGAATCGTAATTCATCACTATAAGGGCAGTCCTAACTACCAACGTCCTTAAACATCCCCATTTCAACTCTCCCTCCTCTGCGCATCTCATCTCAACTCAACTTTATTCATCGGGTGTTGTCGGGTGCTTTGCCGCATACAAAGTGCTCTCGATGGAGTAAATATTCGTCATACAATAACAAAGACAGTTCAAACAATAAATTGAGAACATTAAAAAAAACGGAAACATCACAAAACACTAGAACAGTACTGAGTCCAAAACCCGAAGAATAAAAATGTGTTTTATGATGCGTTTTAAAAATGGACAGCAAGGGGGGGTTTGTCGAAAATTTTGCACAGGAGCGGGAGAATGAAATTTCCCAAATTAAGTGCGTTACAGTAATCCAGCCCACATGTAACAAAGGCATGGATTACTTTTTGTAATTGCTATTGAGAAAGGAGAAACTTTTTCCTAGCTAGCGCCCTACAATGAAAAATGATGGATCGAACAGCAGCACCAGTTTGCCATGCCAATTTAAAACCCAAGTTTGAGACGGTCCGCTTGAGAGAAGGCGCCAGGGGCCCAAGGCAGCGGGGTGGCATGTACAACGTTCCAAGGGCCACTGGGACCAAACAACATATTCAAGTAATCCAGTGCCAGGCAGCACTCAATTTCCTCCAGACAAGACAAAATTGGCCTGAGAAAGCATCATTTTGCTCAACGGCACATCGATCAGACTGTCATCCGCAGCACAGCAGCTCTGCACATAGCATAGCTCCTCTGCGCTAATCCATCTCACTCTGGCCTCTCGAGCTTTGTTTTCAAACCCTTCTGTCTGTGTCGTCCATCTGACGAGATCATTCCTGACACTGTCCATACCCCTCACTCCCAAAGACAGTCTTTGTATTTTTAAGGCTGCTCTCACTACTGTCCTATAAAGCTTTTCTTTCATTTTAGCTGGTGCACTTCACAGACCGCTTTTCTGCCTGTGCTCCGTTCTTCACCTCTTTTCCACACCCGTCATTAATTCGAACAGTTGATCCCAGGTACTTGAATTCCCGCACCTTCTCCACCTCTTCTTCACTTGACCTTTCAACCTCACCATTCCACTCGCCTCCCTTTCATTTAACACACATTTCGGTACTCCGATTGGCTGTGATCTTTGTTCCTCATATTTCCAGCCAATAATGCATTCTCTTTGTTACCGTCTGAACTTTCCTTTTCTTTCCTTTCTCAACCTAACAGCATTGTCTGTTTTCTATGTTACTTTTCAAATTTTAATTTGGAGTGATTGTCACGTTCCGCAATTGAGACTGGAAAATCGCCGTTTTGTCACTATTTCCCGAAATTAGTCTTAGTGTGTCTTAGTCTTAGTCCGCTGTCCTCGTGTCAACTCAATACATCGGTGTGCAATCCGAGGAGCAAATAGGAAGGTTTTTACCCCCACGATGCCAATTCTGTCAGGGATACATAACAGACAGTACCTGCGCCTGCCAAGATGTGGGCATGTGACAGCAAAGGGTGATAATAACAACCACTGTTATTGGTATAATTATCAGAGTTTGTTTATTATGCCTTACATCAGCTTTAAAGTGCTGACGGGGCAAGTGGGAGAAGGCGATTAGCTTTGAGGCATTACAGATAAGTGAAGGCAAATCATTTGGGAAAAGAAAAGGCTGTACGCAAATTATGCTTCGGAGTGTAGCGCTGACATTAATTGTGTATTAATGCATACTTGGAAAGTAGCAGCAATGACTCATGACAAATACACATCATAAGGTCTTTGTGGTTTTGCATTTGAAATTCTGTCGCATCTCAGCGGCTGGTGACAGGCTGTGTATTTTTTTTTCCGTCTCAGTTGGGGCGCGTACGTGTTGCATAGACTGTCAAAACTGCAATACGGAGGTTGAGCTCAGAAATGTTTGACTTTTGTTTTCATCTTTAGAATCCCACACCAATATATATGCATTATTTTATGTAGCTTTCTGTGGGAATGTAAACTTCAATGAATGAATGAAAAATGAGGACGTTAATGACATAAAACTTTCACCTAAATGTAATGAGAAGCGAAATTACCTCACGATCAAACACACGCCAAGTTTGCAAACAAATACAGTGCAGCTCAGCTTTTGTCACGGGCCAGATCGTTGTGATGGTTTTCTTCAGCTCGATGCTTTTTGTTTTGCTCTTGTATCCAAAAATTTTCATGCAGTGTAAACAGCACAATTCCAATTTTTGTCAAATATTTTCGTAAATGAAGACAAACGAATAATGTCTGACAGTTCTAAAAAGAAGAGATGTAACCTGCTGATGTTTCATATTGAATGTCATTTGCTCTGCTCCTGTTTACACAAAACACAAGTAGTATGTTTTGCATTGTGTTTCTTGACTGGTCCGTATGTGAAACCAAGCAATGAATCAAAATCAAGGCAAGTAAGTCCCAAAGTGTGACTGTTGGCATATCGTGAGACCTGCAGCAATTACATTCATGTGGTTTCACCACCACTTCAAAAGTAAGATTATCAGAAATATGGTTCTCTTGAACTACCGGTATAACGGAATTCCTATGACAGTTGTTGAGTTGAAATTAAGTGTTTGCAACTAGAATACAAGATAAAAATTATCATTAGACGAGCATCACCTCCAGTTTAATCTAAACGGGACAGTTAGCAATGAAATAAATAAAAGGAACAAAATTAAAAGGTAAGAAGTCGAAATCAAATTTGCACAAGATTTTGTCATGCTTACCTTCACATCTTTTGGATTCCAAATTGTTGCTTCAATCTGATACTTTTTGAGAAATAACCATCTTTTGATCAGATATAATCCATTGATGTGAACACAGAACTCTCTGTGGCTGAGATGCACCACAATGCATCTCGGTGGTCAGAGCACACCCCTATACCCTCCTCCTGGATGGGCTGGCTGGCCCTCCTCCGGCTCAAGTAATGTCAGCTGCAAGAAGTACTGTGTCAAACTTGTGTAAGATTATGTAATTATTGTTTTATTCATAGATTTATCAGATCCATATGAATAATTATTCTTAAAAACACATTTCTAAGATTAAAGTGAGTTAAACGATGATACAAACGTCGGTGGAAACACTGCATCAAATAACGTGCAGAATGATTACGTGACAAAATGTATACTTGAGGTGACTGGAACGAGATGAAAGGCTGTCTGGTGTTGCACAACAGGAAGTGGCTGACATTAAGCACGGTGACACAAGAGTAAAGCCAATTGCATGCTTGCATATTTGTTTGCGTGTTTGGCTGCCGGCCGAATCCATGTATCTCCATGCTTTGTTCGCCACATAACATTTCTATCACTGCAGCCTCAGGCTGATGGATCAACTCTGTTCAAGCACAAAGAAAGAAAAATCAAATTTCCCACCTTTTTATCTTGGTGGGGGGGATTTTTACTTCACATTAGTGAGAATTCCAGTACAGTATTTACCAGTGCATGTGACAGAGAAGTCCAACGTGATTTGGGGCTCTTGCTAGCATTTAAAGTCTGACTCTTTAAGCTACCTAATGTACTTTTTTTTTCTCGATCTCTTAAACAATTGCCACTACGTGGTATGAATCTTTCTTTGTTAGAGTGATAGATCTATATATAATTGGCTTAAAAAATCAATTGGTATTGACACGTACAAACAGCTTTTGTCACTGTTCATATCAATAAAGTTTCCGTTCAAAATTAAGGGGCCTTTGCGTTCGAGCTGTTAGCTAACTAGCGTTAGCATTATTACACACGAATTGTTGCTGCTGTTACTGAAAGGTATTGTAATTAAATATTTTAAATACTGTCACGAGTAAAGTGTTTTAGGAGCACAGTCAGAACAGAAAAAACATCGCTTAATAACGCGTATTTTCTTATAACCCTGCAGTTGTTATCTAGTATTAGCTCCATTGGCTTCATTGCAGCTAATTAGTTTCACATTTGTTAGCAACTCTCACAATTATTTTATAGGTAATGTTTCGTGTTGTTTTTGTGTGCGTGTGATTTAGAACGGCATAGCTCCAAAATGGCAAACAAGGAGATTATATATGACAAGATTCACTTCAGGCACGACCCAAGATGGAGTGGGCGCCTGGGGCCTGCTGAGGGAGGCGGGCTGCTTCTCTGCGTGGCTTGTGTCATTGAAATGCTGGAAACCGATGAGATTTCAGTGAGTAAATTTTGATTTCTTAGTATATCTCCTCAACCCTTTCATCTGCGAAATTTCTACAAAGACGGTGGACACTTGTCACATTGCTTTAATGGTATATTAGTTTGTTTTAAAAATAATAATAATTATGTAAAAACAATGCCTGAATTATGTTTGTTATACATTTAACATGTTACTGTTAATGTTGCCAGTTCCAAATTATTACAGTAGCCTTGTGGGTTTTTCTGTCCAAAGGGTTCCAATAATTTCGCCGACTTGTGTATAAATACTTTTATTGGTAATGATTAATGGCAACCGCTTTTTGATATGTGACCTTTCCATTCATTGTTCTCTGTTTTTCAGTCAGTCAGGAAGGCTTATGCTTTGTCCGCTATCAGTGGGTTGCTAAAGTGTTCTCCTGGGGCTTTGAGACAGTTGCTCCAACAAGACCACCGAGTCTCCATTCGTTTTATAGATTCTCTACTGGGTAAGAATCATCACTGCACAGAGGTGGGCATCCAACAATACTGATTTGGATAGGAAAAAAAAAAACTGCATCCACTCCTCCAACACTGACTTTTCTCCTAATCTCTTTCTATGCAATGTTGTCCATGACACATCAGAAGACAATCTTATTGAGCAAATCAGTTCAAGAGACAAAAGATATGGAGCAAATCACCACATAAAGGGTCATAAATGCCTCACCATTGCTGTTACCTTGTGCAATCAAGCCCATCATTATTGCTCTATCCACAGGGATGCTTCACACTATGGTGGACCCAGCCACTCTGGAGAAAGTCGATCAAGGTAAAGAGCAAATGTGGATCAGCATTCCTACGTTACCAATGCACAAATTACACAGTTGTGCTACTTGCATAACTTGCAACTCGAATCGTAACAGCATAGAAGTGCATGAGCAATATTCCTCCACTGCCCTCTGACAGTTGTCTTTTTATTTGAACAATCAAGTTAGCCTGCTGTGTGCTGATATTTCCTTCCTTTGACCCCCCAGTGAACTGAGAGTTTTTAATGCAGAACTAGAAGTTTGAATCCAAATGACAGAATGATTTTATAGCTGCTGTCTAAGTATGCCTGGGGGGAAACTTTGATGTAATGCTAGACTTCAATTGAAACTTGGGATATGTAAGAAAAAGAAGATAAAATTAAGCATCTACACCACTCAAAAACTTGTTAGGTGAGAAAATTGTGGGCGGTATACAGAGCAGTGTTTCAGCTCATCATGACTGATATGATCAATCAATCAATATGTCACATGAACATTATGTTCATTAGTCATACCAGCATAAGAGTTTCATATTCCGTTTATGACCATAAAGGACAAATAAAAGCAATAAATATTCATAGGCTAATTTTGAACAGATTCATTTGGTGGGGGGGTAAATGACTGCTTAACGTTGACACAGCTGTTCAAATTGCTTTCAGTTTGGTTGCATACATACAGGAGTCATTGAAAATGTAGTTTACCACAGTGACAAATAGTGGAAAATAAGGGGCATATAACTTCAACACTCAACTACGGTACAAACAATAAAATTGCTCGGAACATTAAAATAAATGTTTCTTTATATGTCGTCTTCAGTTCTGGTTCTGTTCCTGGTGGAGCTCCAGAGTGAGCTGCCATTGCACTACGTTTTGGATCAAATAAACAGACAGGTAAGAAAGCCACCGAGAGGGTAAAATCTCCTTATGTACACATGTACTGTACGCTAAAACATGTAGCATCACCTTTGCAGCCAACAACACATCCTCCTACAGTTGTTTAGTAAACAGAATAACGCGCATGTCTCCCCTTGCTGCTGTTGTGTAACCTTTGGGGGAGGGAGTCGTGGTAAAAATAGCAGCAGCCCACCCTGCAAGTGCAAAATAGTAAAATCGATGGCAGAAATACAGAACACAATTCACCTCATCAGAAGTGTGCATGAATAAAAGTGTACAGAATGCACGCTGCTGGAAAATGAGGCAGGATCATTTTGTGATACAATGATAAATTACGTTATTCAAAACTTTGGCATTGATTTGAGTACTCTACTCGCCTCAAGAATTGTTTATCTTTTGCTGTGTGAATATGGTTTTATAGTTTTTATTACTGCTCTAGGTGATTGACCAGCTCAACGTGAAGAGTTTCTTGCCAACGTTCAACTTCTTAGGGAGTTTGGTGGAAACCATTCCCAGCGTTGCCTTCATCTTAGTGACTCAATACGGTGAGGCCCAAGCAAGACTCACATAAGATCGTAAGCTGTACACTTGAAAACAGTTGTAACAAATGCGTCTTGGTGTTTGCCCTCCCATGCGCCGATCAACTGACCTTCACTTTCCCTCATATATGAACATTCACACCGTTTCATTGTATTCAAAATCCCTCAGAGTGGGGGCAGGGGTGCAGTGGGCCATTGAGAGAAAATTGCCGTACACACCTTGCCCACCAAGCTTTTTAGCACTTCCGTTGCACTACAACGGAACAACTGCAACTCTAGAACGGATTTTGAGGCTTCAACAGGTGCCAGATCTGGCAAGCCACATCATTTTAGGTTGCCTGCAAAAACAAATCAATTACGTCAACTTCCATGATACTTGCTAAAATCTGCACCAGGATTTCAGTCATTTGTAAAAAAAGAAAAACGGTGACACATTGCAAGCATTTTCTTGTTATGTAATTACAATAACTTGAACAGTAGTTGAAAAAAACTATTATTTTTGACTTCTAATTTATGGATTTGTTTTTGTTTTGCGCACTCTGTATGTAATAGTATAAGGAGGTGATTAAACATGTTTATGGTCTCACAGTCACAACGGCCCCCCCCAAGGGAAACTTCGACGACAATAAGACGCATGACAAAGATGAGTTTGACAGCCCTGATATACAGCTTCGTGTACTGAATTATTTAGTTTTGAATTAGATTGTGAAGGAAGAAGTGGCTTGCCACAAAAAGATGAAAGAGGCCGAGAATAAATCATAGTGTGCGGATATTGTGAGAGGCTGTTGCCAAAGGCAGTCCAAGCGGGGCGTGCAAAAGTCAGACCCGACCGGGTGGGGACATTCCAAACCCCTCACCCCACGTGACCCCGTCGATGATGGTTGATGAAGGGGCATAAAACAAAATGAAAGGGCATTCGTCTGCGATTGATGGGCATAAAGACCTTTACCCCGCCACTGTACATTGAAAACAAAACCTGAATCTGCATGTTTTTTTGTTTTTCGAATAAGAGGTACATGGTTTAACACTGTCCTCTATCAATTAACAGTCATAGGACTAGAGAACAATGTTTACAACTGTAAATAATAGATATTTTTTTCTAGAATAGAGGGAAGGAGACTTCAACCAAAATTTTAAATGATTTATTTGAAATGACATTCCTCTCTGCATTAAATATTGTTTCGGTCCGATGCCCATTTCAACCAATTTATTTATGACTGTGTCCTCTTTTTTGGTAAACTTGACCATGTGTTGCTCTACCCAATACACTACGTCTCACACTGTATCTTTTTCCCTGACCTCTCTCAATTCAGTTTCTCAAACTGACCTTTTCAATTATGCTCCAGCTGCACTAAGATGCTGTGTCACCCTCATATGCAATGCATCGCCAAACCCATGTCTGTTCTATCACCTGAAAACAGTGTGCAATCCAACCAGTAGTTCAGCTGCAAGTCAATGCAATATTTGTTTATGACACCCCACAGGTATAACATGAATGCAAATGCACCTCTCAGAGGCATCATTTAAAAAAAAAAAAGATTCTCTCTGTCAGTCTTATGATAGCCACTCCTGTGTTTCTTTCTGTACAATTTGTTCACCCCGATGAGCATCTTTGTGAGTTTTACAAGCTTCACATGGAGGCAAATAGTAGTGAGGCGCCTGATGCTGATGCAAGATGCAGGCTACCTCTATTGACTGTGTGTCTGTCTGTGGCCTGTCACTCAACACTTCTCCATGGGGTTGTTATGACTAACGACATCAGCCCCGCACTGACAACATGAACCGAGTATATGTCACACGATCGCTCTTGCCGTCTGCCTTTCCACCTAACCAAGTTACTTCATATCTTTCTCCATTTTTGCCAGTCTAATTTTTTTTTTTTAATATATTGACTGTGTCCGAGAAAATTGCTTACAAATTGAGAATTAATGGCAAACCCCCTTTCTAACCAACGTGGAGATCAGGGTAGCTTCCAAAGACGACATGAGTAGCCCGCGACATGAGTAGCCCGCGGGCCTGTTCTAAAAATAGCTCACCAGTGATGACACATTGTGATTTTCTGGGAATGTTGTCGAGGTGATCATTTAAAAATGTACTTTGAACAAATTTCTTCTTTCATAAGGGTGATCCAAACTGGTAACCCCTTTGGATTAATCGGTCCGACAACCATCTTGGAACTAAGTATGGGACTGTTGTTGAAACCGTGCATTGAAATACAGCATCTCTTGGCCAACGGCAACAGGACCTTAACAATGTGTTGCATCCATCCTTTACTTGTCTCACTTTGGCACCTGTGTCGATGTCATCCAATTTTCTCTTTGTGTTCCTTGCATTTCCAACTTCTGTCTATCTCTCGTGTTTTCAGACTCCGCTCTTCCCACTCCTCCTCCCTTTCTTGGTATGGCTGCGTCTCATCTTGACCGCCTCACATTCTTCGGTTTAATCAAACATTTCTGGAAGCCTCACTTGGCTCTTGATCTGCTTCTCAGAGCAGCCTGGCTTTAGCTCGGCTCGCCTACTTAGTCAGTGCGGAGTTTCTCCTGTTTGCGGCCACGTCCCTGCCATGGAGTTAAACACTGTTTATCCTTCTGTACAGTCTTTTCTTCTTCCAGCTGCTCTTTCTGCAATACTGCTATGATTTATGTGGTATTACCTGGCCTTGTTGGATGTACAAAACTGTTTTTATCTCCTTGATTCTACCTCTGACATCCATGCTAATTTGAAGTCTAATTTGAGTTCAGGCTTTTAGCCGGCTGTTAGCAATGTACGTTCCTCTCAATCAGTGAAATGGCTCATCGTTAAATTGTTTTCTTAATAAGAAAGCCTCTGTTTCACTGGTAAGATGTTCAAAGTTATGTTGTCAGTGGTGCTTGAACCTAACTAAACCTTATTCGTTTTAAAGGATGATTCCCCCCCCCCCCACAGCAACTGGCTGTGTGGTATCTGCCCGTCTTTCTTTCCTTCTTCATTTATATGATCTGGACACTTGTCCCTACCTCACTTACATCTGTCTCATTCAGCCTCTAGCTATCTTTCTTTTGCAACCTTCTCCTTATCACAGTCCCTTTCCAAATCAGTGACACACTTTCTCATCGCGGCGAAGAGTAATGAGCATGTGATTAATGCTCTCATCTCGGTTTAGTCTCTCTCCCACCTTTCATTTTGTTCCACTCTTCTCTGTAGCTGCTGCACTCGTCTTAATGGCAGCATTTGGCGGGTTATTTTTTATTTATTTTTTTCATTTTTGGTCACTGCTAGACTGAAACTTAATAGCAGCATTTTGTTGCCAAGGGCTTTTTTTTCTACACACACACACACACACACACACACACACACACACACACACACACACAAATACAAATACCGGTACCTATAAGCCTACTCACCAGCGTAGCGTTTTCTTTTAGTGTTATGTGTTTGCACACAATTTGTATGACAGAATACAGTATTACTCCATGGTTGCATCGATACTGTTTCTTTGGCTAGTTGCGCGTGCCTCGTCTAGCCCAACATGGTTACTCTCACCTTTGTCCTCCAGTGCCCTTACTTGAGCGCCTGTGCTCAGTTTTGCTATATCCGGATGAAGGGGTGAAGGCATCAGTTCTCTATGTTTGGCTCAAGTTGTTGGGGACCTCCGGGGGCTCAACAGCACAGTCCCTGCCGGTCACCATTCGGGACAGAGTCTGTGTCCTGTTGCAACAAACCTTTGCCTCTGCCACTTGCCCCCAGCTCATCAACAATTGCATTGGTAAGAAACACATCATTAATCCTTTCTTCTTCTTCTTCTTCTTCTTATTCTTCTTATTATTATGTACATGTATAACTATCATTTGATGTATAAGAAAGTGTACTGAAGTCTTCAGCCATGACTTGTTAAGTGAGAAGACCATGATTTCAGCTAGACTTCACCTAGTTGTAGGTTATGTAATTTAACTTCAGGGCATTTTATTTATTTATTTTTTTGTCAAAATAGCTGAAGTAAACTTAGCATTTGTTATTCTACTATCGTAGAGCTTCAAATATACTAGCCTCATAACAGTCTACAAAGTTGAACGGCAAAATAATTGATCACATTGATTATTATTATGAATGCATTGTGGCTCATCTTTCTTCACTTGGCTAGTTTTTAGGGTTGTTATCCTGTACTCAATGTTGGAGAAAATGCATTCAGTCTCCCTTAAGTTTGAAAATTCCATCATTCACGATTCAGAAAAGGATGATGGTTAATTTTAAATTATTGTATTATGTATGTTTGAGACAGTTCCAGAAGAACATTTTCTTCTTATTATTCTCATGTGCTCTTCACAGGGCAAAAACTGCATTTCACTTGTTCCATGGTTATAGGATGGTTGGGTTGTTTCATAATGCACAATGACATATTGTACCCATTGTATTCCATTTCAATTCTCCACACTTCATGATCTCTGTGGAAATGTACATTCAGCAGCCGTAGCTGTTTTGAAAGAGTTAAATAAATTAAGTTGAGTTGAGATACCTTGACACTTATTTGAATGTAGATGGGCTTATATTATTCTGCTTCTTGTCGCACATCTGCAGCACTCATTATGCTCAGTCGGCAGTGTTCAACCTCCAGATGAGACTTATGGGGTTCATATTAACATTTAATGTGCTCTATTTTTTTTTTTTGATGACCTCAACACTACAGTGTATATTAAACCGTTATATTTTATTCATGCAATGCATCAGCACATTGCATTTATTCAACATTTTATAGTCCTTGAACAAAATTGTTGGAGTTATATTTCGATAGCGTTCCAGAGACTACTGTTTCCATAACAGATCTACGGTAAAACAACTTTGTGTACAGCTATCAACATATCAGTGTCCCGTATAATTTTATAATTTGCATAGATGTCATGAATCGTTTTGACACCATATCTTCCATGTTGTAGCTCTACTGTGGATTCTAGTGCAGTGGGGAGAGGCGGTTTCAGTTCTTATGAGCCACGCTGGTGATCAGTTCATGTGCAGCCAGAATGGGAGCACCATTTCCAGCAGCCAAAACCAAGAGCAACAGACTCCCGACCACTGCCATCTCCCCCTCATCCTGAAAAAGGTTTCTGTCCAAACATCCTGCCTCCATGACCAAAACTTGCATTTGGATAGTGACAAAGTCTAATCCTGGATTAGTGTGTCTTTGCAAAGGGAATCAAGGGGTTCTGCTCTGGATAAATATTTTTGCTTCATGTCTGGGAAATCAATGTGTAGATGGCATAGCAGAACAGCTCAGACTTTAGTTGATGACTGTGTACAGTCACACAATAAATTCAGTAATCTATCGGTACATCCAATCAATCGTCAAGACAAACCATCCCTTTAAAACGTGACAGTCACGCCATAGAGTAAATAAAAAAACTTTGAAACTCTAATTGGATATCTTATTGTACTTTTTCATGCCTGTGATGCCACAATCTAACACAATTATAAACAGCTAGCAAGTTTGACCACAGACTGAAAAATAATAGGAAGCCAAGTAATTTCTACCACTCGATCTCAGGCTGTCAAGACAAAACTAAACAAGCATAGTCAGTGGTGTGTAAACCATGCCAACCTTTTTCGGAGCTGTGTATCTTTATGTGGTTGTTGGTTGTGATTCTAACAAAGTCCGTTCTCTGTTTCCAGTTACTCTTGAGTGGTGATGATACATTGCAGGTGACCGCTGCAAAGTGCATTGCAGCTATTCTTGTTCATTCTCCCACTCGGTACTGTGCTCCTTTTATCAAAGCTGACATACCAGGTAAAATGCGCATACATACACCAGGTGCACTTTGAGATCCATTTTCATGCTCAGCGTAAGTCTAGTGGTAAGCGTGTTCTAACTTTGCACGCAGGTGGGCTTGACCAAGTTCTGATATTTTGTTAGACCCGTGCAAGGTGGCGCAGTGTAAAAAAAGGCCACTTTGCACCTTTATTTACGTAAACACAGCTCACTTGATTCGACGGCAATCAAAGTGGCTCCTCTCTTTCCGTTTAAAATCACTTGCATGAGAGGCGCATTCTGTGCGAGTTTTCTTTCATTTTGTATCCTCATAGGCACTCACAGTTAGAAAGGGGCGTTTGCGTCGTTTTGGGAGTGAACACTGTCTTCGACATTGGTATTTGTTTTGTCCCTCAGACTGCTCCTTTGTCTGAATCTCAGTCTCTCTCTCCCTTTCTCCCTCTCCCTCCCCTCACTCCCCCCACTCTCCGTCTCTCCCTCTCACCTTAAAGAGTTTCTGTTTGACCGGCTGGCTGATACAAGTAATGAGGTACTGCTGTGGTCTATCTACAGCTGTTTGCTGTTACTGATTGAAGACCCACTATTCTTCTCCCAGTGTCACGCAGTATATGGTGAGGGAGCTTGCCATCATCCAGTTTTATTTTTTCTCTGTTTTACTTTGAACTGGTGTTCTTGAAACTTTCACAAAAGTAGTGGTACACCTGCGACCAAATCTCTATGACCAAAATGGAAGAACATGCTTTGTCATTAGAAATTGGGAATATTTAAATCAGTGATGTTGGATGAAAGGACCTGGCCTGGAGTCACCATTGGCCCAGTTCCAACCACACCAGTTTTTCAACACTGAACACATCCAACCGTGCTTGCTTGCTTCCAGCTGTGCCCAAAATGTCTTGGTAAGATCAAGAATTAAGAAGTGAGGAAAGGGATTTTTCCACAAATCTCATTAATGATTGACTACTAAGTTTTGAGGAGATTTGCACACCATTCTGTCTGTACTGTACATAGCAATGTCATTGTGTGATGTATTATGCGCATGCTATTGTGTGTGTGTTAGGTATTGAATCCCTGGTGCGCAGTCTGAAGCAGGCACTGCAGCTGACTAACGTGGAGGTGCTGAAACAAGGGCTCTTTCTCCTCACTAAGATATTGGAAAGGTGAGACTGCTCAGTAACAAAAACAGTTTTAAAATGACAGCCTACACTTGTGACGTTGATTTGGCCATGGCAGAACAATCCACTACATTGCTTTTGAAAAACTCTTGGGATGTTTTTATGACATACGACAGAAACAAAAAAACACAAATGTGAGCCATTTTAATCACACGTGTCTCTGTGCACACTGCACACACACAATCATTATGATTTTTATTTTCACAAATTTAATTCAATTCAATGCAGTAACTCCAGATAAATCACACACCGAATGAAGTCTGGCAAAGCAAAATGTTAGCTATTTAAAACATTTTCAGACACAAGAATTCAACCATATGGGAGTCTTCAAAATCATCATCAAAATAATGAAAATGTAATTTGTGCTTACTGAGAAATGGATAAAAAAGTTTTGAAATGGTGTGTACTCGTGTATGTCGAAGGCTGTATGATTTGCACTGGGAAGTTTAATTAGATTTAAATGAACTGTCTAAGTGGCTGTAAATCAGCAGACGGTAAAACACTGCCGCATTTTTGGAAGATTGACATAATTTTAATTGGATGTTTCCCCGGTCACAAATTACAGATAGATATCTTAGGAAAAGCTGTCCTTTACATTGTGTGACACCGTACAGTAGAAAGTATTTTAAAAGTGCTGAACAAGCAAAAGTACAGTACACATAAGAGGGCCGCAGAGTCTTCAAGACTCATCACAGTTTTTCGAGCACAGTCGAACCCTGTGTGTGGTATTAAACATAGTTTAAGGTAAGGCTAGATTAGGTTGTACGTGCATGAGTGCGTGTGCACGTGTGCGTGTGTGTACGCAAAGAGTTGAAAGGCAGACCACTATTGTGGCTGTAGCGAGACAATAGTTTTGTTGCTGCATAATGTAGCAGTGACAAACGTCAATATTTGGAATGTCAATAGTTCGTCCTATTTGTTATGTTAGCCACCTCCGTGTCTTGTGTAGGTTAAGGAGTGAGAATGGTCATTTAAAAAACAAAAAAACAATTGCACATGATGTGCATCAAGAGCATATTGTAATTTTAATGGCCCTTTGTCAAAAGATGTGATGTGATTTGATTTGGGACTCTTAGGAGCAGATGCACTTCATTTCTGTTCTATACCAACTTTGGAAAACATTCGACATTGGGAACATTGGGAAGTTTCTCTTCCATTTAATTTCAGAAGGAGTTAAAAAGTATTGACTATAACTTGGCATAAAGCTGTATAAATCCTCAATAAAATCAGGTTATTTGCATTTAGTTGAGTTTTGTTATTTTGTTTGTTTGTGTGTGTGCGTGTGTGTGTGTGCGCGCAGGCACCCCACAAATCTGCACTTATTCCTCAGTCCTCCAGCATTTGTAGCGGTTTCAAAGGCTGTGCTTTGTGGACTTTCTTCTCCCTGCCTGAGTGTAGCCACACAAGCTGCCAGCGCCGCCTCCAATCTCTTTAGGTATCAACATGCATGACAGCCTCATAAATTATAATGCCAAGGACACGTGGATGATGTGCTCCTCAAACTTGCAAAAGCTGTACAGAATCACAATCTCACCACTTTCAGCACTGCCGACAAATAATCTTATCCGTCAATTTGAAAACCGTCATCGAAAAAAATGGTCAGTCCAACAGACACACAGATCATCCTTCATACGACATGTTTACCTGACAGACAATCACACAATATGAGCCAGAAAGCTCTCTCATGCCACTTTTCCATTGACCCCAAATACCACCACACCACACAGCTTCGTTTGCTTTTACAACAGGCGCGGGTTGGGATCAACGGAACTGGGCAAGCCTACACTGCACAGTGCGCACTCGCAGCATGCGGGTTGTGGGGTTTTGCCATAACATTTCACGAGTGGTGAGTCCCGCCCACTGTTGTTGCCGCAATTCGAAATATGAATACCTGCTGAACGATGCGGTGACGTAATAAAGTACATCCCTTCAAATGCACAGAAGCTTTCACGAAAACGTATCTCTGGGTTTAGGCCAGCAAGCCACTGCCCCCCGCTGGCCCGCCGCCGTCAAGTCAAAATTCATTGTGTACAGTACATATACAGTATTTTGTTTTACAACAATATTGAACCATATTTACAATTTCATATGTACCATGGATGAGATTGTGTGATTGTGATTTCATGAGCAGCACACAAAGCTCGCCACCAGTGCTTATTCATTCTGAATGGAGAGCTCAGTTTCCTTCATTTGGCTGCCTCTCCAAGTCAGCGGCTCCTCACTCTGCAGCGTGCAAAGCAGGTGGAGACCTCTCAGTCAAGTGAATGGGACCCGGCGAGCGCTCTGTGCGCTCGCAAAAACTTTAACCCCAACCTTCAAAATTGTATCCATCAGTACATAAGAAATTCTAAGTATGGTTGTTGTACAATTATTACTTTGATTACAATTTGGCCCTTGGGCACTCTATCATCACTTCGTAATTTATATTTATTGTCAAGACTTGGTTAAAACTTCTCCAGAATGAACCACCAGTCCAGACCAGTCCAGTACCAGGAGTTACAAGGACTTGTTGGGGCCATCACAAAAAGATTCCCCGAGCTTCCTGCCTCTAGCAGCCAGCAAAGTAGAGTGAGTTTGTGTGTTTTATAAAAAAATATGTGTATGTATGTGCCTCAATGAAAACTTAAAAACTGGCTAAAGGAAATTTGATTTCATGTCTCAAGCCTGGTACACACCTAAAGATCTTCTGGCTGATTTTGAGACACATTTTGCTCAGATCGATTGTCATCTTTTTTGAAAGATGGTCTTGACCAAATCATCATGTAGTGTGTGATGTTTTTAAAGTTTTTTTTTTTCTTTTCAATTTGCTCTTCAAGCGGTCAGCTGACCAATTTGCAACATGTTCAATATTTGCAATAAAAAATCTTCATGCGTTACGAACACCGAGAAAGTTCAAGCCGCGGACTCTGATTGTGATGTGGAATTTAATGAAAGCCAATCAGCAAGCAAACAGAAGCAACTGGTTCAGTTGAGTCATTGTATAATCGTCCCCTCAATTTTGTTTGTTCCATTTCTTCTGTTACCACTTTGGCCACCACGACGAATACTAACCAGAGGTGGGCATCATCAGTCAGCTGCTGTCAGTATTTCAGGCTGTCCCACTCCATTGAAGTTGTCAGCAACTTGACATTGACATTCTTTATGTCTTCTTTCATTTTCCAATTTTCTGTATTAATAGGTGAGTCTGAAGAAGTCGGAGCACAACAGCCCGGAATCTTGGGCAGAAGGATTTATGCTTCACTCCTCACTTTGTTTTCAGACTGCTTGCAGGTCAGCCTTGAAAGTCACATCTTTGCACAGTCAAAATAATTGCTCAGTTTTGGTGTATTTTTTGATTTCATGGCATTTTCTTTACTTTGGCAGACACGGGTTTTCTTTTGTATTGTTGTTGGTATTTGTGTGTGTCTAGATTGGCTGAGGAGTGTGCATCAGATCCTGTTCTGAAGGAGAACACATTTACAGCGCCATCAAAGAAGAGCCATGGGCCTGACTCACTGGAGTCTCTATGCCAATGCCTGCTTCGGTGTTGTGACTCTCTGTGGATACCCACTGTTGTTGTGAGTGTTGGTCGCGCACACACTTGTAAATGGCAAACGTCTGTTTCATCATCTTCTCATCCAAACTGCATCACAAACGCGAATGAATCTCGTCAAGTTCTTTTCAGTTGTGTACAGTTATCATTTCGGTTTGTGTGTGTGTGTGTGTGTGGGTGGGAGGGGCAGGTTGGGGAGGGGGGTCGGATGTGTGAATATGCACCCAGTCCTCAGATACTACAGGTCTTCTACTCGGTCTTGTCCTCCCTATTCGCCCTCGTTCCATCTGCTATGCCGGCCTTTGCAAATAAAATGGGTAAGTGAAATTGCAGATGCATTATTTACCTTGCGGCTGTTGATAGAGGAATACAGAGAAGGTCAGAATGAGCTGCAATGAGGAAGACCTGAGAAAAGAGGAATAGACGCAGTGAAGGATGGCACAAGGGCAGTTGGTGTTAAGAGGAAGAGAAGCCGAATTTGGTTTGCTGTGGGGAAAAGGAAAAAGAGGAGTGTATGTGATACATGCTGCTGGCTTTCATGCAGATGCTGCGGGTGGGATTCATGGCCAGTGCCACGGGTGGTGCCAAGCACACACAAAAAATGAGGATGGGTTACATCAGGAAGGGTAAAAACTAAGTCAAAACAATTCATGTGATTGACTCACTGTGGCTTGATCGAACAAGCAGAAAGTTGCAATAACTAGATTCGTGAGATGCTGTCCATGTGTGTCTGTTCGTAAAAGCTGCTTCAGTTTACGAGTGTATGCCAGCCTAATATGTTCTGTTCCCTCTGCCGTTTACTTTGTATACCGGTAATTCTGCTTGTCCATCTTCCCCCTACTTGCTGTCTCATCCCGATATTTGACCTTTTCTTCCCTCCAGCGTCCTCTGGTTTCTACAAGTTGGCTTTGGAACACAAAGGGATTTTCTGCGTGGGAAACAGGTACACTGCACTGATGTTTTTGTGGGTGAACGTGTAGCTTTTTTGTACGGCTGATAATAAATTGGTGGTGCCCCAGAAAGTTCTCTCTGTTTTCAAAACTACCGTGTCTCTGTTTTCATCCCATACAGCTTTCTTCTCTCTGTATGTTTTTGTGGTCTAAAACGGAGTTGACACAATAAGTGTAAAGCAAAACTGCTCGATGCTGTAATGAATTGTTGAAAGACTAAATGATGGTGGCATCCATTTGAGTATCACATCTAGCCGATTCGAAGCTGAATTCACTGGGTGCTTTGTTTCTTAAAGGTGTCCTCATTCTTTATTTATATCAGTCACTCCTTTTTCTGCACTCCTTCCGACATTTCCATATTTTAATACTTATTTTCTCTCCCATATTCTTTCAGAAACACACATTTAAATGTGGCTTGCTGTGATTTCCTACAGAAACTCAGTATGTGTTTGCTCTCCCAGTCAGTTCCTGCTTCTGGCACGTCCCAACAGGGTATGCAGATCCAAGCGCGCGGTAGCACCACACGCAGAGTGCAAAGCACCTCGCTGTGTCCTCATTCAGTTGGTGACTCTGCAATTCTATGTCGAGATATGATTGTATGGTATAGATTAACCCCACCTGTTCGCCTTTTCACAATCTCTTTCTTGATTGTGCTATTTGCTCTGAGCCTCCACTGCCACAACTCTCCTTTTCTGTCCCCTCAATGAGTTTGGGTGATAGGTCAAAATTTCTTATCATCTACAGTAAATTTACCATCTGACAATCAGCGGTACGTTCGCGTTGCTCCATTGGCAACAGACAAAAAAAAAACCGTGTGCAGCCGTCTAAGACGAACAGCACCTTGCCCCGCTTCTCCTTTAACATTTGCCTTCTGAGAAGAGGTGTTTGTAAGGGCATGTGTGCCAGTGCACCACCACAATCAAACACCTTTAAGATGTACTGGAAGGGAGATGGTGAACCAGGTACTCTCTCCCAGCATCAGCAACAACTTGACCACAAATATGTTCTGGGAATAATTGAGCAAAAATTGTACCTATCATGATCTTAAATGATGTCGAGGACAGTCTTGAAAAATGGAAACTGTTTTCGCTGCAAAAGTCAGAACAACTCCATATTAACGACTGCATTTACAATGTCATGTCATGATTGCTCCAGGTTAATCACTCACTCTTTGAGTGACCTATTGTCATTGTAATCGAGGAAACATTAAGTTCCATAAACTTTTCTGAACTTAGCTGCACAGAAATTACATTTTACATATTTTTATTGCCTTTCTTAAAATTTTCATTGAAGATAAATAAGCAAAAATTAATGAGGAACATAATGTTGTTGAATAATTCTTCGTGCTTTGATGATAAAATTCTTTTGTATTTCCACGGTCTCCAACCCAGATGCAGAAGAAATAGAAAATCTCCTGCAGTCCAATCTTTCCTCACTGTGTTGTCGGCTCTCAGACTGGCCGACACTGCTTCGCGAGTCCCCGGGGCTCCAACTGTGTGATTATAAAGGTCCAAGAGCCACTCAATACTGCCTGCTGATCATCCTACACCTCGCCCTGCAGCAAGGAGACAGGTACACGCAGATTTGAAACAATAATCGGGCCCCATGCATCCACATTGAGTGGAATTGTTGATACGTGTCACAATAATTGAAATAAATAAATAAATACGGTCTTAAGTGGTGTGAAGGAAAAATTACTCTTGATGTTGTACTGTATCTATTTTGTCTTTTCTTTTGCTTTTGTGTTGCATGCATGAACTAGGCTCCTCCCAGACCAGACAGTGTTTTCCAGTGTAGTGTGGCTCTTGCGTTCAGTGCAGGAGGAAGGCAGCAGCACCCTCCCTACCTTGGTCCTACGGTCTTCTCTTTATCTGCTAGCGGTGACACATGATGAGTGCACCACGCTTGATGGGGTAACTTAGTTTACATAATACATCATGTCTCATTATAGTTTATTTATTTCTACTTTTTTGCACAAGTCACATTTTAATTTTCTACTAAGCAGTTTATACTTTTCTGGTGTGGCAGCACAAATCCCAGCATTCCTATGTTTCACCTTTTCTCGGCAACCTATTCAAGGCTCCTTTGGACTGTATCACCAAGGCTCTCTCCTCCTGTCAAAGTTTCTCATCGCTTTACATCCATCATCCTGCCGTCCTCCACTTCATTTGCGGCCATGCGCTGCTTAAAGAAAAATTTGGGGCCCCGGTGTTGGAACTTTGGTTGACCAAACAAGCACAGTCCACAGATGCAGAGCTGACTGTGGTGAAAAGCATTTGGTTTATTCTCCCTCATATGATGTTTTTTTTTCTCCCCAATTAGTTACAGTCTAACGTTTGAGACTCATCAAAATCGTGTTTTTTTTTTTTTTTTTGTGCGTGCGTGTGTAGACAGACAGACATGTTAAGGAGAATAGATGTGCTGGGAAGGCGGAAGAACAGGAGCCCGCCACTGAGATTGTGGAGCTTTTGTCTGTGTTAAAGAAGCACCCGTCTGTCATCCTAATCCTCCTGGTGAGATCAAGATACATATGGACTTCAGAAATATTGTGCAAATTGGAGTTCATTAGGAGTACGGCATACCACAGGAAGATGATTGGTGAAATTCTAAAAATAGAAAAACATGTACCGGTATTTTCACATCTCAGCGAGCTGCTGTTGCCACTGTACTCCAAAACCCACCTGTGTGTCTAAAAACAGTTGAGATGCTATTCATTCTTTAGATTTGACTGATTAAGGTCAGACGACACTTGTGTGAAGCTCAACTTTAACCTGTAGCAACTGGTTTGATTTGGCAAAGCCAAGGACAGCTGAAGTTCCATATTGTTTTCTTTTTGACTGTCTTACCATATAGGACATAGTCTGTATCAGGGAGGCATCGCTTGCAGAGCGAGCAATATCAGTTCTGATGGTTCTATTGGATGGCCAGAGTGACTTTCAGGCAGACCTGTGTACCAGTCTGAAACCTGCCTTGCTCCGGGTGTTGCAGAAGCTCAGTGTCGAGAGTGTGGCCCATATACCAGGACAGAAACTTGTTGAAGAAGGTAGGCAAAATGAGTTTGACACCGCTACACTGTATATCTTACATTTTTACTTAGTTGTATTCAAATCCACATCAATGAAACACTTGTAATCGTGCCTGTAATTTAAATTATTTTACTGTAGACAATTGTGATTGGATAATGATGACATTGGTAAATGAAAACATTGGAATGCTTTATTTTCATACAATGATGAGATCCTCTCATTCATTTTTTTGCATTTACTCTTTCTCTTGCAGTTAATTCCCTCCCTCTGGTGCTTAAGCTGCTTTGTGTAACACATGCCAGCCTCTCACCTTCCCTATCCTGCAGTACGATGGACGAAGTTCACTTCAAGCTGTTCTACCATGGTGAGGTCAAAACACCCCCGCTGGCAGGTCACACTATTCCTCCCCAGCATGTTATTCAGAAATAAAGCTTCTTCCACATAGTCAACACCGATCCTTCACTGCCATCGACTTGTACCTAACACAAATACGTGTGTGACAGACCGACTGGATCAGCACTAGAGCTTTATTCCCAAACCACTGGGAAGCAAATACAATATTTTACAGTTTTTTTTTTTTTCTTGACCCAATGTATTGTCCATTTTGTAATCTGTGAGCCACACCGCAGGCTTTAAGAACGATTGCGGATTTACCTCAGGACATTTCTAATTCATCTTCATGCTGTGCACTGACTGACTGACTGACTTATCCTGCCTGGATTCATCTGTATTTCCTCATGAGCGGTATCCTTACTCATCTTCAAGATCGTCAACATAAAGGCTCTCACTGCACAATGCAGATGATGAAATTTATTAAACCTTTAGATAAATGCACCTTGATGTCCAAATCCCTCCGTGAATAATTATGGTAGTACTGTACTTGGCTTGAGATCATGCATACATTCACTTAGCCTTATCCGGTGTTACATTTTTCATCTTGTCATTTTTAAATTAGCCTGGTCTTGACTAGCCACAGTTCCGCACGGGTGAGGTAATCACATCATAGTCTCCTGTTGATGTATTGAAACTAATGTCTGTGAGCGTTGCCCATGGAGATCAGAACCAGCAGACCTGATTTTGCATGTACTCCTTGTGTGTGTCAGTCAGTAATATTGCAGGTCGGCTGCATCAGTCCAATACGGAGAGTCTGCTACCTGCCTTTAGCTACCTGTACTGCTGCCTGAGTCTCTCTCCTGCACACTGCACTAACAGAGGTTTGACACGCTCTCTTTCTTCAATTTATGTGTGTATTTTCCAAGAACCTCCAATTGCGCTTCGAACACTTGCTGCACTCTGTCTTATTTTGACAGAAATGATGCTTCGAGATTGGTTTGAGTATTGCGAAAGATATAAAAATACCATTTGACACTGGCTGCTCTTGAGTCAATATCACCATCAAGGTGCCTTGGAGACACAAAAAAAAGCGCTTTATGTTGAATTTTTTTTTCTCTTTTTTATATTAAGATGTTCTGCTGGTAGAAATGCAAATTCGCCAAGCAGACAAAATGCATGCAAACATGAATTTACGGTATATAAAAGTCCCAATCCCCACCAGGACCAAACAAAATGGGAGTGACCAGGCCAAAGTTTTAACCACAATTAAAACATTAGGATAATTTAATTCAGTTCAAAATCAAAATATTGTTATGTACGGGCGAGTGGGTTATTGTGTATTAGTTTACCAGCTCTGTGTGGGCCAACGTGGGTGTTTTTTTATGGTGGTGGGGGGTGATTAAGTCACACACAAAGTGACAGGCCTGTGATGCGCAACCACACACACATGGTGACACACGATGTGGCACCTTCTCCTCCCCAGCTGTCTCCATGCTACTCTCCAACTGTGGAGTGATGGATCAGCTTCAGACAATCCTCTCCTCATCCTCATCCTCTGCGCCATCCGTCGTCTCTTCAGCTGCTTCTTCCTCAGCCCTGCTGTGCTGCAGTCATCTTCTGCTGTCCTCCCTCATCACTTTGCAGCATGAGCACTCGATCCAGGTACATGTTGTAACTCCTCACATGAGACAAAAGAACTTTAAATTTCTAATGACAAAACTGCTGTTGTAAATGCATTTTGGTGTGACTTCCCAGTCTCCTCGCAGCTGAGGATAAAACAAACTCTCATACTTAGAATAAGCATTTGGGCTAAAGCTAGTTGCTCCTCTGATTCACCCCACTTTCTATTGTTTACTTTCCTCTGTCTCGCTCTCTTGCTGTCTCCATTCATTGAAGGTTCACAAAAGCCTCAAATGGAGTCTGGACACAGCTGTGCAGCGAATACTTATTCAGAAACGGAATACAGACACTCTCTTGCTGGGTAACGATTTCAACAATGTCATTTCTCTCAATGCAATGTATGAAAGCAGAGTGCCAGTTTGAAAGACTGCATGCAATCATGGCTCATATTATTATCGGTCACGCCATCTTTGTCGCTTCGATTTTTGCCGTGGCAATTCAATTCAATTCTCAACAGTTCTATACATTTCTATGCCAGCACACAACTCTGATTAGTTGTGTGCTGGAGGAAAAAAAACTGCATGAGTACTGACTCAAATGTAACAAGTTGTAACATTTTGAAATCCCATCTCCTTGTCATGGTTTTGTCCCCAGCCATCTACATTTTTGCATTTTTTTTTTTTTTTACTCTTTCCAGTGAGCTACTTGAGGTTGCTGCAGGCCTTACTCAATGTTGACTTGACCACCACATTGGTGTGCGTGGCCACTGGTCCAGGCTTAGTTGGCGAAACACCCCTGGAACTTGAAGATGGTGCATTATTCCCGCTTGGCTCCAGAGGGGCTCGGTGCCTCTTAATTGCTCTCAGTGGACTTGTTTTACAGGTTGTATGGCCTCGGTGGGAGATTGGGTTTCAGTATAATTTGTATGCTGTCTGTATACTTGACTGTTCATATTTGTAGTGCATCACAGCTTGTAAAGCTTTCAGTCTCTGTCTCTCTCAAATCTCTCGCTTTTTCGCTCCCTCTACTGCGATGAGCGGGTGTTTACCAACTGAGAACGAGAAGGCAAATAAAGAGTAGTGTAGAATTTACTTATTGACGGTAAGCCTGCAGGACTGTTCTGCTATTTGTCCAAAATCTTGATCATTTCTAGAGAGATTTTTGAATGTTCTAGCCTTGTGTTGCTTGACTGAAGTGACTCGAAGCAAACCATTTTTCAACTACTCTTGCTCCTGAGGACATTCTTGACCTCTCCATTTCAAGATTAGTGTACTCTGTGTTTCTTTGATCTATCTGCCTACGTGATTATTTTGGGATAGGACCGCCACATCAGGAAAGACAGTTATTATTAAATCCTCATCTTGGCTCTCCATTTGGTCTTGCGTTGTCCTTCTGTTTCTGATTGTATCATATACCAGGATTGAAATATATTTTCCTTCAAGCATCAAGATATGCTTTTTTTTATGCTGCACATTCATTTATATGGTATGTTGGTAGTATAAGGTAACTCTTATTCTCCCGAGAGGTATAACGACTTCTCAACTTTCCCTCCTCAGAAGAATGAGCTGCTACTGAGAGCCTCGGTCAACTGTCTAAATTCCGTGCTTGGCTTCCTTCAGAGGAAGAGTCCTCAGACAGGTATCATTTGTATTCATAAGAAAATATTTCATGTCAGGTCTGCCCTTTCAGTATATTGTACTGCTAGCCCCTACTTAGTCTACCCCGGAACAGTTGACTTCCATTTTTGGATTCAGAGATACATCCCATATTGATTCATTTTCAGACCATTGGGAGAGACAAAACAGCCTTTTTGTAAGCAGTCTTTCATCAAGGTCGAGGGGTCTACAGTGCGGTGTATTTTTCCTGTTGTAGCTCGATAACCATTTCTGATAAGATGCAGAAAGAAACAAAATCGGATAAAACTACAGCAGAATATGCTCTAAAGCACAGAAATGTCATCAAAGCACTGTCCTTAAGTTCCCTACTTAGCAGAGCACTTTCTGGTTTTTATGTTATGTACTGACGGGCAGTGACATTTTTCCTTCTCAAACAGAATGGACTTTGAAGGCAATCACTGCCAAACATCAATATTTAACGGTTTCCTTCTTTGCACACGCACCACTTCTCCACAAAGTTTCGTAAAGTCATAACGCTGGTCTCAAACTCATCAGTTCACCGTTGTTGGAAACTAGAAGATAGGCGTTGTTATAACCCTTCACGTATGTAGATGTTTTTTTTTTTCTCTTTCTGTTACTGGAACAAATAGAGGGGCTGAGTCTCAGTTCATTGGTATTCATACTTAGCATTAACACATTTGTGTGTGTGCGTGTGTGTGTGTGTTGATTTTTAGCCAATTATGAGGTTTGTCAGCCATGGAGTCGATTCCTCCTCTTGTGCCTGCAGAGCTCAGGAGAGAACGTCCTCCTGCACCCAGCCATTCTCAGGGTCATCACACTTGTGAGATGTGACACACGCCCCACACCTTGGAATCAAGCATCATTTATGGCGCTTTAGTCTAAGAGCAGTACATTGATCCACAGGGTTCTCTGTGTGATCAAATACAATACAAATAGGACAAGTGTGGAGCTGTGCGCGTGGCCACATCTACCCATGTGTTTATGTCCGGTGTAGCTTGTGCAGCATGGCAATATGGTGGTACAGTGGGAGCCTGACCTGCTTCAGGTGATAGATGCAGTAGAGAAGAAAGGAGTTAAGAAGCTCAGCCAGGAAGCATCACAAGCCCTCAGGCTACTCCTCACACAGGTATGTCCATGCGATTTGATGGACGGGGACAAACAATTTTGTCTGTGTGCATTTTCTCCTAAAAATAATAATAACTAAGACGGGAAAGCCCAAGTTTGTTGCAAAGAGTCCTTTAGGAGAGAAACAAGACTGAGGGCCCCAATTTAAATCAGGTTAACTGTCAAAAACAGACACAAAATGTTGATAAGTTTGGTTCAGATTGCTCTGCCACATAGGGTGGTTACAGGATTTAGCGTAGCTTTGTCTTTTGACTGCCGAACTTGACCCTAATATGGAGACTTCTGTCTCAATTGCAGCTTAACACACTCAGTTCTTTTGTATTTCTCAAACAAATTATTTGCGACTTCCAACGATTCCACTGTACTGAATTGGCAGTCCTGTACCGTACCGGCAAAGTGGTTCTTTTCTTGGCACTGCCTGCACTGCTCGAGAAAACCCTGATGAAACATTATTTATTACACTTTTAAAACTAAGCTCTGCAATGTTTCAATTCATTGACCTTGATTTCTTTTTGACCAACCGCCCTTATTCTTACTGCATTATTCTCCATTTGCTATCCACAGCGGAATCCTCACAAAGTTTTTATCGTCATTCTTTCTCAATGTTCTGAATTATTGAACGATGAACATTACTGCAATAAAGATGTTGCACATGCCAGCATAGCTGCTTCCAAGCACAAGCACAAATGTTTTTAAATTGTGGCTAAATAATTGATGAAAGCCACTGCGTTAAACTATGATGATTGTCAAACAAAACTCAAAAGGAGTGCAAGCTTCTCATTGTAATTGGTTTAAACCTTTCACTATTATACACTTGTTTTCGACCAAATCAAAAATGGATAGTGATAAAATTAATAATAGTCCAAGCAATAGTATTGGTCATTGTCCGTGTAGAAGCCAGCGCGGATACATTTGAGTGTAAAACACTGCGTGAGAGCAGCTTTATAGGGGTTAAGGTGTCACTTTCAGAGCATGCGACAGAAGAAATGCTTTTGGTATGCTGAGAGTAGCTCCGAATAGGAGTGACAATGATGGCGTCTGCCAGTGGAGTGTGTGTGTGCCTGGGAATCATGAACCAGGCTAACACTAACGCCTCCCTGCTTATTTGCAGGAGATGGTTTGCGTGACGAGACAGGCTGCAGTGTGACAAACACTTCTCTTGATATGACTTTTGCTCTGTCGTCACCTCTTGTCCCGTCGAATCTCACTTAAGCCCGGATACGCACGCACAGAGTTGGTGTTCCTCTGCCTGTGTTTTATAGTCATGTTTCATTTTGGGAGGAAGCTATCTGCACCTGGCAGCAAACTGGTGTTATAACAATAACGGCCTCACAGTGCATAGATACAGGGTTCAATTCTGGCTCCTGTGTGGAGTTTGCATGTTCTCCCCCGTGCCTGCGTGGGTTTTCTCCAGGTACTCCGGTTTCCTCCCACATTCCAAAAACATGCATGGCAAGTTAGTGGAACACTCTGAATTGTCCCTAGGTGTGATTGTGTGCGCGAATGGTTGTTTGTCTATGTGTGCCCTGTGATTGGCTGGGACTGAGTTCAGCTGGGATAGGCTCCAGCGTGCCCACGACCCTCATGAGGAGAAGCAGATTATAAAATGGATGGATATTGCAACCCTGACAGATCCGTTGGCAGGAGGGGCACTCCGCCATGTTGTGATTGTAATTAACCCACATTAGAGTCCATCTTTACTGCCATCTGTTGCCTCCATCTTATGAGAGCACACTGCTTGCTTGGATCATGGCACTTATGGAAAATCTCTGAACATGCCTTTGAAAATTGGCTGACTGCCAGATGAGTGAAGCTCATGAAGACAATCAATGAGTGTCATGTACTTTACGGGCCACTGCTCTAGTCCTTTTCAATTCATATTTTTTCCAATTGAAAAATGACATTAGCTTCTCTAATCTTCCTTTGCATAACTTTTGTCATGCCGGTCATAATGGTGTTACATCCCACTCCTCTCTATTCTTTGCGATCTTTTCATGTCTTGTTATACTCGTAATTCTTCTCTATTACCTCTTATCATTTTTTTTTAATTATGCAAAATCAAATTGCCTATCTTCATTCCTTTGTTCAGATACGGAGTGGTGTCTTTCAGCCTCCACCCACAGAGGAACACAAGCAGAGAGTCAGGAGTGTGATGCAGTCCCTCGACTCACTGCCGCCCTCTGAGAGCTCCAGTTTGGCCTGCAACATCTTGTATCCCAAACTTCAAATGAAAGTCACTTTTCCCCAATATAAAGCTCAGCAAAACCTATGCACACATACACACACAAGGTAAGTAGAGTAAATTAATGAACTACAGGTCACATCCAGCAAAAAAAAAAACAGAACAAACTGTATCTCAGTCAGGGTCTGAATTATGTTGCTGCACACACCCATTATGCTGCCAACAGCTGCAGTCCACCATCATTGATTTTGTCTGGCAATTCACTAACTGTTACTGATGTACTTTTTACTCCTCTGGCAAAGTGCGTAGCCCACACACTTATTACTTTTTTTTCAGTAACAGTAAATATTGCTACTTTATAGACTCACTTAATCTTTCTACTTGATCCAATCTTTCTTGATCACACAGAGACCATAAGGAAATATAAATCAGTCCAGTAAGTGTTTGCTGAAAGCAACATTTGATTCAAGATCCTTCCAAATAGAACATTTTCAGAAGATGTCGGTATAATTTGGGGTCTTTTGACAATACAGACTTAAGAACAAGTTCCCGTCGCTCAAAGCCACACAGCAGTAATTCACCACTTTGTTGTTCCTTAATTCTTGTCTTCAGACGTTTGGGGGAGGTGTCCATCTGTTTGGCTGACTTCACAGTGAACAGTGAAAGTGCTGTCGAAAAGTGACACATTTGGAAAGCATTTGGCCATCGTTATCGTTATGCTTCTATTGCAATGTCCTTTGTGAATTCACATGACCCAATAGTATTTACACAAACATTTTATTTACTGTGTATATTTGCTCACTAAAAAGTAGCATTTGGATGCTCCTAGAGAAACGCTGAATTAAACCGACACGATACCTATCACTTCAACATTGCAAATGACACGCTATCAATCAATCAGTACCATGATTTGACAGTCTTACATTTGTGGTACAAGGGCTTCACAATATGTCATGTTGTGCCTCATGGACCTTGTAGTTTCAGTAATCTTTCTCAAGCACTTTGTTTTTTAATTCCGTTAACGTTTTTTTTTTGGTCTTTGTTCTTTTTTTGTTATTGTTTTGTATAAGTGTTTTGTTCGTTTTCTGTAACTATAATAAACTTGACAGCTGTTAAAATATTTGTGCTTTTATAAATTAGTATGGTCCACGCTGTTTCATCATTGGTACAGTATATGCTATCACATTACAACCAAAAGACCTCTCATAAAAACTCATCAGCTTTTATCTTGCTCGTTTTTTTTTTTATTCCCAAATACTCAACGGAAGCGGCGGTGCCGAATCGGAACGTACCCCATGCGGTGTCACCCTCTAACCATTCCGGAAGGAAACCATCGCCTTAGCCGGCTGGCTGTTTGCTGTCATTCGTCGGAGGGAAGCCTGTGCGATCGTGGCACCAGCGGAGTGGAGCAGCAGCGAGCGCAGTCCGCATATGTAAAAGAGCCACCGCAATCCAACGTGTCTGTTTTATCACCTGAGGATCTTCGTAGGTCAAGTGTCCTGTCGAGCACTTCGGCTTGCTGAAATAAAAGATTAGTACGGGGAGAGATTTAAAAAGGACCTCTGATTCTAACGCGGTGAGTGATGAGCGAGTTTCATTTATTGGTCTGATCTTCTCTGTTGGCTCAGAAGTGACGATGTCCTTTGTAAAATATCAAAAATACCCGATTCCGAAAATACGTGTGACACATTAATAGCTTGAACTAAGTCAACAAACTGGTAAGTGGATGTCAGAATTATTTTATTTACACACGACGACCCATATAATCGCCTGTGAATGAATGGGGAGAGGATGTAACTGCAGTCATGTGTCATTCTTCCAAGATGAAACTTGATTATAGGAGCCTTCAAAGAACCTTTGGGGGATTCCGCAACACTCGTCCAGCTGTCTGATCAACATTGGCGCCTGTCCCACGATGTGCTTTTCACACCTCCAGGCTCAGATATGTCTTTTAAATAGATGTGGGGCATTTGGCTGCTCCAAGCTGCCTCCCACACTTAATTATTTTTATAGTTTTAAACCGGTGGGTCTACAGCAGTAGCAAAGTGACATCGCATGTTTGGATCCTGGATGCATGTTTTCACGTCACAAGGATTTCAACGGCAATATGAAAACAAGTTTAGCTTCTTCTTTGTCTTTTATTATTTCAGTAACTTCCCGAATTCCATTTAGAAGACATTTCACCTTAGCCTCTGCACCACAGGAGGTTGTAATCGACTGGCAAGACTTGAGCACACTCCACTGGCCTTGGAGCTAAACACACCGAATTGGAGCAGCAGCAGCTGAAGCAAAATCCAACCAGGTGAGAAGAGAATCCAGGGTGGATAGAAATTGAACACCCTGTTAAAAAAAAAAAACTCTCTCTCTCTCTCTCTTTCTTCTCTCTCTTCAATTCAGATGAAAATCTGTTCCTTGCAGAAGTGATCAAAATTAGTCAGAATGTGAAGCATAGGTTTTATAACACCACATATTTACACTTGGGTATTCATCTGGGTTCTGGCTGGGCAACTCAAAAACTTTCACTTCAGTCCTTTTTTGTTGTTATTGATTTCTGTGTATATTCTGGTTTGTCATACTGAATGGTTGCATTCTTCGACCTCAGCTTTCGAGCAGAGTGAGAGATTTTGTCCAGGTTTGAAAATTCCCTCGACATGGATTGAAGCCCCAATGCCACCAATATTGACAATAGCAAAGTCGCTGAAACAACTCGTCTCATCATTATTTTTTTTCATTGTTTTCCATTTCTGCTAATGTTATACAATTATGCGGGCCCTATATTTCATGATAAATATTTCATTTGTATAATTAGTATTCGAATAGTGCACTTATATGGGGAAATGCGGGTCCATTTTAAACTCCTTTGTTTGCTGGGTCTTCTCTGTATTCTCCACACATAAAAAGTAATCAAATGATGCTCTTTTTTTTTTTTTTTTTTTAAAGGAGAGTGTGTTTTTGTACGAACTGACGACCAGGCATTCATGTTTTGTCACCATTTTACCTTTGCGACAATGTTCCGGCGCTCTTGTCCAGCCTGTGACTTCTCCGCGATCTTGCACTCGAACTACATTCTTTGAACTTCTTATTTCCACTGTTCCTCAGCAAAGAAAATTTACTGTGATCCTCTTCTCAAAGTGCTACTCTCTGCTCTGCCTGGTCACCTTCATCTAACCTTCTCATAGCGCATTGATTGCCCTTGCTAAATTATTCATCTGTCATATGAATTATCGTCCGGCCTCTTCCTCTCCAACGTATACCGATCATTCGTTTTTCTGCCCTTCTATTCTCTTCCTTCATAAAATCTTAATTTGTTGAGGCTCTGTTTGTCATTATTTATCTTCTTTCCCTCCCTTCCAAAAAAGCCTCCGCACGAGGGAAAGTGGCAGCCGGACATCAAAATCGACTACTGTGAATGCCAAGACAATTGGACTGGAGGAGAGGGAGGGAGAGAGAAAGAGAGAGAGGCAGAGCCGGTAGGAGGGAAAGAGGGTGTTACTGTGCTTCAAAATTCTCTCTGGAGATTAAACGAGTGCCAGAATCAGATGTCTTCAATTAAGAGGGACATAAGGAGCCCACTTTGTAACGCTGACTACCCTCTGGTGTTCCATTCTGACCATTTTCCACAAGTACCAACGCAGAAAAATGGTCACACAAACACATTGATTTGAACAAGGCTGTTTTATCAACGATCCCCGGGAGGTGATTGTTTTCTTTCTGACTCTTTATGATTGAGCTGCATTACGCAAAAACTTCATCGGTTTCCACTTTTGAGGGGAGGTTTTTAGGTTATTTTCCATTTGGATTTCATCCATTTTCTGCTTTTGCCTCTCCGTGCAGTTGATTGGCACCCCGCCGACCTCTTCCTGACCATGTGGGGTGTATGTGTGACGGTTCTGACGCTAGCCTCTCTCAGCTCAGGAGACACTGACACACACAGGCCAAGACACGACTCGAACCTGCAGATCTGTATCCTTCTGCTACGGCTGTGTGTGTGTGTGTGTGTGTGCCTGCTTTCTCATGATAGCAAGAGTACTCACACTCTTACTTAAGGAAACATTCTAAATATTTTGTGTAACAGAAGACAAGATCCAATTTAACTATGTCGGTGAAAGAAAGAGTGGAAATGTAAGACCCAAAAGATGTACTTGGTTCAAAAGAAAAAAAAAAAAAAGAATACTTTAGTGTAGTACAAGTACCTGAAAATGTGACAGAAGTATGGTAAGAACGAATTTTTCCGTAGTTATGTTCGACCACTGTGTGTGTTTCCGCCTCCTGACCTTCTCTCACCAGATAAGCGTCTGTTTGAAACAAAGAGAAGAGATCAACTCAACGCGCTGAAGAATCTGGTCGAGCTGAATGACATTAACCAGCAATATAAGATCATCGACATCATGCTCAAAGGCCTCTTCAAGGTAATGTGTGACATTCACACAATGTTGGACACTGCACAGGCATTCGCGTCAGTCAACCCTTGAAAAATCGCTGACTTTTTACCAGACAGCTTTCGCGCACAAATCAAGCTGTTCCCTTCTATCTTAATTGTATATTTTCTCTCCATCTGGAGAGCGAGGTTACCCCTTCAGCAATTCAATTTACTGCTCCTCCTTGTGAGATGCGTTGGGGATGCAAAGGTTGTCTTTGCACCAGTCCACGTTTGTTTTCTTCCTTCTCTCTATCCTCAGACTCATTGTTGTTCTTGATGCGTCGCCCAACTGCCGTGTCATCCTCCCTAAGGGCGTTGACGTTGTCTCTGCATTTTATGTGCAATATTGCAAACGGACAAATCTGGTCATTTTGAAGGGGGGAAAAATGATTTGACTCTCAAACTGGGTCACCATCTGCAGCCGGTGACGGACCACCATTTTTTGAGAACAGCCCACCTCCGTCAACTGGTGGGCTCAATCCCTCAGCATGTGCCCGGGATATTGTCAGGGTCTGCATTCAGCTTTGCGGGGGGCAAATTCTCAACCGAATCAAACACATGCTCGACCACTCGGACACGCGGCCTCTTATGCGCGAACCGCTCATCCCGACTGCTTTCCTCCTCGCGCAGACTGAGTGGCAGCGGAGAATCAAAACGCTGCTAATCCAACCAATTGTATTCATCAGCAGGTTCTCGAGCGCTTGAGAGAATCTGAATTCCTCTGCTTGTGCGCTCCATCCAGTCTCGCTGTGACTAAGAGCGACGCTGTATCGTCATTTGCCCGCCAGTGTTGGATATCCTGCCTGGCATCTCTTGTGTGTCTCCCCCAAGGACTAGTCAACCTCCAGCTAAAATGCATCGTCAGCAGATCTTGACCACTTTGTCCAATCACCTGCCACAGACACGAAATACAACCGCACGTCATCCCTTTATGAGTCTCAGAAATGCCTTTTAGGCATAATGCGGAGTTTTGACATGACGTTTGTAAAGACAGAAAGTCACTGCCCTTACTTAGCTTGATTTGTCATTTTGCACGTGTGCCAATGTCTGCGCCTTATCTCTCGTGTGCACTATTGTGGATGCATCACTGGCCCGGCATAAACGCACATTTCACTCAGCAGGACTGTCGCAGCAAAAATGTCAGAAAGCTACATCAGCAAGATGATCCAAAACAACTCATCGTGGATAAATCTTGCAGTTGATGCATGCAGGAGGGTTGAAACAAGCCACTGAACATTTTTTTTCCGGAACCACCGGTGTTTTTGTTACATTTTCAAAGACCGTGGTTTTCAAACGTGTCCTGTGATGTAATGTGATTTTCTTCCTAAGGTTTTGGAAGACTCCAAAGAAATCCTGGTCTCAGCCAACATGCAGCCCGATGACCCATTCCCTCTGGATGATAAAATCAAAGAAGGTCTGACTCCCTTTTTATTATTTTTTATGGTTTACCTTTTAACTTTCAAGCAGCAGCTCCGCGGTATGTTTCAAACGCACCAACTTGACAGGTTTGATTCGAACAAAATTAGCATTTCTCTTTCTTCTAAAAGCAATGCCTCTGCCCGTTTTGCCTTCTTTTCCTCCGACGGCGAGCGGCTGCCAACAGCCCAACTATCACCATCCGCTTTGATTTATGCAGGCCAAAGTCTGCATTTCACACGCTTTCATCCATCACTTTACTCTGAGCGTTATCTCAACACCTTGCTTTTATTCATTTCTTTTTTCTGATTAACCCTCTCGTCATTACTCTCCCCAGCTTATTCCCACATCGTGGAGAACACGGCATTTTTTGGCGACGTGGCGTTGCGCTTTCCACGCATTGTCCACCACTACTTTGACCGGAATCCCGACTGGGGTGGATTGCTGCGGTGGGGGCTTAATTTTTGTAACCAGACCGGCGTTTTCACAGGAGGAGCCCACCAACATGTCCTCACACTGGTAAGATCACCAAATTAAAGTATCTTCTCCTTTCAACTGTAAACATTAAGAAAAGAATGACGGTTTGTTCAAAATTTGACACTGTGATGTTGAGCGGTGTTTACGAAGCGTCTTGAGCTGAAGATGTAAATAAGAATTTTGGTTATTCCCTGAGCCCCAAACACCGTAAAAATAAGAAATTTTGAAAGCGAGAGTCCGGCTGTTTAATATTTCAGTTGCACGTTTTGTTCTCTCGTAAGGAACTGAATGGCAAAATTCACATCAACTTGTATGTTGTTTCTGTGAATCTTTTGCAACCTTCGGATGACACTTGTGGCCACTTCTACCTCCAATTGAAGCGATTTGCTTTATTTCTTTTATTTTAACTTGACTTTCGCCTCCATCTGTGTATCACCCCCCCCCCAACCCCCCTCCAATCATGAAGATGTCGCAGGAATTGGGAATAACAGAGAAATCTCCGGACTTCATCAACCCTTACCGGACAGAAAGAGACGATGTAAGTGAAATGTCAATCGAGTCGCTCCCATTTTGCATGATACGGTGCGTTTAGATACTAGCAATCGACTCCAGGTGCCATGTTTTGCAATTGCTGTGAATCTTTTAAAAATACAGTACAGCACACAAATATTTGGATCAAGTGACACGACTGCAACCGACACAAGCTAGAAGCCCAATTGTTTCACATAAGCAGCCACATACTACTTTCTTGTGTCACATCCAAGAGCCCGCTGACGGATGTCTTGTACTTTACTGTTGTACACTGCATCTTATCCGAGCCGTCTCGGGTCTCGTGGCCTCAGGTGCTTCACACTGCGGAGGCCTTCCAGAAGATCCTGAGGGAGGAAGAGAAGAGGAGGAGGAAGGAGGAGAAGAGGAAAGAAATCCGAAAAGGCCCTCGCATATCTCGCTCCCGCAGCGAGCTATAGCAGCACACCTCAGCGGGGGCTTAGAAGAGGAAGAGAAAGGATGGAGGGAACAAGCGGTTTCCCTTGTAGACTCTTTATGACAGAGTGGGAAACAAAAGCCATTATCACTTTGTCATCACAAAGGACGAACATCGTGGAAGATTAAATGCGACATCACATGATGTAAAAAAAAAAACAAACAAACATGGAATTGGGGTGTGAATTGCTGTACACAGACAGTGATTCATCATTCGAAGATAAAAAAAATGTTGTGTTCCAGGCAAATGTCGGAAGGTATAACTGTTATTGTTTTTTTTTGTTGTTTTTTTTAAGCATCTAAGGGTAAATTAAGGATTAAACATCTGTGTTTTAAAATTAATTTAATGTATGTGATTTACTTCAAAACTTGACTGTTTTGCAGTTTCGACATTCACCGTCTGTTTTTAAGTCCTTATGCTACAGGTTGCTAAATATAAATTAGAGATCACCTCGCTGAATATGATTGACCTGTTTCTGATTAGGCGACGCAAATGATTATGGGTTTGAAACTTGCTCAACGATGTACAGCTGTATCTCACAAACCCAAGTCCAATGACGTTGGGACGTTGTGTAAAACAAATAAAAACCGAATACAATGTTTTGTAAATCATGTTCAACCTATATTGAATTGAATACACGACAAAGACAAGATATGTCATGTTCAAACTGATAAATTTGAAGGGATTGGCAATATACTTTCTCTTTTGTTTTACAAGAATCCGTGGGGATATACTTTCACTTTTGTTTTACAAAAATCCACACGGATATACTTTCATTTTCGCATTTGGATTCGGATCGAATGTGCAAATGTTGTATTTCTAATGATGTGCTCGATGATATCCAGTGGAAGCACATTGTCGCTAAAGAATGAACAAGCCATTTTGGTGTGAAATGTTAGAAAAAAGTGATGGATAGTTACGAAGACAAATCTTGTGTGTCTGTCAACGACCGTAGGGGTGCGATCTTGTAGGCGTGGCGTGCCTTGTAGACGTTGGACACCCAAAGAAAGAATAACTGTCGACGCCAACAACGTCAACGACTAGACGACCTGCGAGCAATACGGACAGAAGTCGACTTACCAAGACCTGGGTAAAACATTTCGAAACGATTTGTTACGGTCTTAATTTTAATTGTTCGCAGTGGCTTTCGATGTGCGAATGCTAGTTGCTTGGTCCCATTTCGCTAGTTTCGCATTCACTCTCAAGACAATTCCAGCCAGAGGTCGCACGTAACGTCGATTTGTACAGTATAGGTAATTTGAAGTACGGTGTCGCTACTGCATGAATTGTACGGCGTACAGGTTTTTTTTTTTTTTGTGGTTCCGGACTATGTGCATACGAGGCACAAGAATACAATCGTCACGGTGCACCTTCCTACAGCTTTGAGTTTTGTATGTAAGGGGTGCCACTTGTTTTTCAAACAAGTATTTACTGTAACGATAATTTTAGTACTGCTTTGCTGATCGATCCAAGTATCGATATAATCCATCAAAACCAAAAAGCGAGGGTTGAATTTTTTTTTTTGTGGGGGGGGGGGCCCCCCTGGGTTCCTCACGCGTTTCCTTTTTAACACGCGTAAGTAAACGGTACAAACATGTCAGTGACAGCTGGGAGCAGTCTACATCTGAGACGAACTTGAAGTTAAATGCCAAGTTTACTACCTGCCAGCAGAGTGCGCAATTTTTCTTTCCGGGTGCGTTCTGATCAGCTCTGCGAGACCAGTGGAAAGGAAACCAAAACAACGCTAACTTCCATCACCGCAAAAGCGGAGAGCTCGCAACAGATAAGGCTTCTGATAAGACGCAGCGCGGTCACGCAGAAATCTCTGTCGTCTAGATGAGTCGAAAGCGCCAATGAGTGCCCAAAACATTTCCAAATGTTGTCTTTGCTTTTTGGGCAGGTGACGTCTCGGGTGACGGCCGAAAATTGACAGACGGACCTTCCGCCGGTGTTGACTGCCCGCCACTGTCTGTATTTGTTGCTGCTCTACGACTTAAAGTATGAGTTGTTTCAATTTTTAGAATGCTGTACATCCATGTTAATTTATGGTTACCCTTCTACCAGTTTGATTGAGCGTTTTTGGTCTTTAGCACTATTAATTCCTGTTTGTTTTTTTTTTGTGTGAATTTTACAGTCAACTTCAACTTGGAGTGATCAACAAACAGCTTGGAGCAAGTACGCTTTGACCCTTACATGGAGAACTATGTAAGCAAGAGTGTCTTTCATTTGTCAGTACATTGTACTGCTGCTTCAAATGATGTGACTGAAAAATAAACGTATTTGAAGTAACTGCATGCATTGATCAGGTTTTATTCACAAATGTAATGAGTTTCAACACGTTTTGTGCAGCTTTCCCCATCACTGAGTGGAGAGGAGCACGAACCAGTTGATATGGAGGATGTTTTGGGGATCGCGGGGCTTGAAGAAGACCTCAGGTTGGTTCTTATCGGAAATACGGGATCTGGCAAGAGCGCATCTGGAAACACCATCTTGGGCCGAAGACAGTTCCTGTCAAAGCTCAGTGCCAGCTCAGTGACCCGGAAATGTCAGTGTGGGAGCACTGAGCTTGCAGAGGGTCATGACCAGAAGAGACTGAGGCGACTTACGGTGGTTGACATGCCGGGTTTCGGGGACACTCACCTCACCGAGGAGGAGATTTATATAGAAATGGCTAAGTGTCTGACTTTCTGTGCTCCTGGGCCGCACGCTTTTCTCTTGGTGGTGGCGATTGGTCGTTATACACAGCATGAGGACCAGGCTATTATCAATCTGGCCAAAATATTTGGAGATGATGCCGTAAAATACCATACAGTGGTTCTTTTTACCAGGGGGGATGAACTTGAAGGCATGGAGTTCGACGAATACCTGAAAGATTCTCCTGCTGGACTTAGGAATCTCATTGACAAGTGCGGAGGCAGATACCAAGTGTTCAACAATCAAAAAAACTCCAATAATCCGGCGCAGGTTCAAGAACTCATAAGTAAGGCGGACAGCATGGTGAAGCAGAGTAAAAGCAGGTATTTTAGCAACGCTATGTTCGAAGAGGCCGAGGCCGCTATGAGGGAAGAACAGAGAAGGAGAATGTTGGAGAAGAGTTACGAAGAGCAATCGGAATTGGAGCCTGACGAAAAAGAAAGTAAACGTGTTTCACAGTGGCCTCGGAAGAGGAAGTTGCAGGGAGAAAATGAGAAAAGCAAGCGCAGGGGAAGCAGCGGAGCTTCGGAGAAAATGAGGGAAGCGGCCGCTGTCTCTCCACAGGTGCTGGAGAGGTTGAAGCGCGTGGTGTCTTCTGGCGTCATCGGGCTGGCAGTTGGAGTTGCCTTTGGCATCGCTGTCCCCTTGACAGCTGCCCTCTCCGCATCTCTGGTGGGTAAGGCCGTCGGCCTGGTTGCAATTCAACTCACCGGAGCGTCTGCAGCTGGAGCCGCCGGTGTCGGGAAGGCAGTGGGCGCCGTAGTTGCGGCGGCCTCAGGAAAGACCGCTCTGGCTCTGGGGGCAACTGCTGGGGGACTTGTTGGTGGTGCGATAGGAGTCGTCGCTGGTTCGGAGGCGGAGAGTTTGAAAGAGGGAGCATCCGACACTCTTGAACAGGTTAGTTCTGTCGGAGTTTTTGCTCTTGGGGCTTCCATAGGTGTGGGGGCTTCCTTGGGGACAGGGGCGGCCGTGAGTGCTGCTCTTGGGGCGCAAGGTGCGGCCAGTGCGTCTTTAGCTTCGGTGGCAGGGCAAAACGCCCCCGCCCCAGTTGGAGCTTTAGCTGCGGAAACGGGGGCAGCAGTCGTTCAGGACACTGTGGCAGCTGCGCCTGTTGCAGCAGCAAGACATCCTGTCCTAGATACACTCACTTCAGTCGGAAAAGCTGTGGCAGTGGTAACCTTACCTGCTAGCGCTGCCGTGAAAATCATCAAATGTAAAACCAAAGACTCAGAAAAAACTACTTATAAGTTCTCTTGGAAAAAATGAACATGAACAGTGTGCCTCTGACTATCTCTTGACTATTGTTTTGTTTGAGATTGAAAAGCAATTGAACAAAATCGAAATAAAACAAATTGTTTCATTTGTAAAGAAACTGATGAGATTCCAGTGATTTTTTTTTTTTAGGTATTTCCTATATACTGTATTGTTAATGTGCACAGTGCCTCCTTTTTGTGATCAACCATGTAATGCCAAATGACAAATAAATGCACTTTTAAAGACATCTGGTCATCTAGTTTTCTTTCTATACCAGACTTTTTTTTTTAAATCTGTGTCATTTCATCTTCGAGCATTCATTGTTTTTTTGTTAAAATGTGCTCAGGTGGTGGGGACGTCATAGACATAATGTAAGTTATGTGATTTGGTTTATTTCACCTGATAACGGACATTGTTTTTAAATCCTTTGCGTCAACTTCCGCTGAAATAAGTAAAGACTTTTTTTTTTATTATTATTTTTTGTCTCTTGGAAAAATGTCCCTTGTTTCAAATCGTACAGCTGTACGAAAACACATTCCGTAATAAACGTTTGACTGTTTAACAATTCACCCAAAAAGAGGGGATCAAGCTCAGTCCGAACATGTCTTAATTGATCAAGAAATAATGTTGGCATTGTTTAGGTTGTTGGTTAGAATGACGAAACGCATTTAGCCATTATGTAATCGGTAGGCGGAAGACGGTGATGATTTCAATTACCATGTGTCCCGCATCTATTTTTAATTTAATTTCTATTTAAGAACCAGTATTATCAATGTATTACATTTGGCGGGTGCGGTTCACTTCTCGTTACAGGCGGGTGCGTTAGGGGCGGGGTTTATTCAAATGAGACAGGAGCTTCTGATAGATGACGTACTATCAGGCCACGAAGAATGTGGTTTTCCAATTGGTCGATCGCGGCTGGTCTGCTGACAACAACACATCCGTTTGGACCAATCCAAGCGCGTTTTAGACCACGGCGTCTGTTTGTGAATGACGTAACTACGGTAAAACAATATGGCGTCTTCGGCCGACATCATTATTTGTAAATGAGTACAGCCGGATAGACCGCTGCCTCTTTTGAGGCGCTGGTGTCCGACTTCAACTTTTGAGCACAACAAATAAATATTAGGGGCCTGCGTGTGTGTTGGCTTCTGTTTGGATTCAACTCGAGCCGAGAGCTGTGTCGGTGACGGCGGTCAAGGATGGACTGTGGAGAGTACATGTCTCCAATGGAGAACGTGGACCCGACTTTGGAATTAGGAGATGGCTTAACACAGGGGGACATCGATGGTGAGTTGTAAAGTCACTGACAACCGTGTTTCGTCTTTATTAATTTCGCTTTAGTTGGTCGGTTTCAGCTCAGTCTGGGAAGCATGGGATATGCGAGTCATAGCACAGCGGAAGAGGCTGAGCGTGTCTAATTTATTGAAGTCGGGAGTAATTAGTGAGAAAATCAGATTGATCTCTCCCGTAGTTGAAAGCAAGGTTGCTCGGGAGCTCTCGTTTAGTATTCGGTATGTTTTCATTCTAATTACTTAAGTGCATTAAAAAGTCTCGTGGGAATGGTGCTTCTATATACGATTGTTTCAGTGCTGCTGTATTTGCAGTGATGCAAATTCATAAAACAAGATGCTCGCAGAGCTTCACCATGGTATAACACTCCCGAACACCGAAATGGATTACAGCGCACTCCCGTTCAACATGGGAGACATGGGAGACTATTTTATAACATCACTTTGTGGAAAAGAAAACTCCGACTTGTATGATTTGCAAATAAGATTTGTCACTTTGAATTACAAAGTCAACCGTAACATGAATAAAATGAACACAAAACATGTTATATTTAAATGTTCAAATGCAAAAACGGCACAGACGAATCAACTGAAGTTAGTGTAGCTGTTAGAGTAATTCAAAAACTTTCGACCACAGCTACTGCACTGGAGGTGTGCAACTCTAAACTCAGACGTGCATGTGTCCTGTAAAGGCTTATTGAAAACAATTGCTTGAAAATCCACAATTTCGCGAATGATGAAATGTGCAATAGCGAGGAAACCATAACAACGCACTTCAACTTATTGTTTTAATGCTGTGTTGTGCAATAGCTCTTCTGTGCAAGTTGTTCATGTACCAGATAGCCAAGTCCGAGACCACAACCATCTACTTCTGCCAAATTATTATGTCATAGCGGAATTTACATAGTGCGAAACAGAGTTATAATGGACAATGATGATTAATGAATGAAGGAATTTATTTTGAACGTGTAGCACTTTGCGATTTGCTGCGTGGACAGCCTCGTAGAAAGTGTTTGTTAACCATGAAGTCTTTGGGATGTCATTTTCTTATTTGAAAGACCAGTTCTCCGGGGAACCACCCCACCACCAACATACCCTTAACAATGGAGCATACAATGTTCAAAATCATATTCTTGTTTTTTTCCTTAAAGATCAGTTGACTCTAGTTTCGTTTAATCATGTCCACATACTTTTGCACTTGTCCCCGTACATCTAGGACATTCCCTCCCACCTTCTAATTACTCTCTTTGGAACTGTAGTTACAAAATCTTTTTTTTTTCTTTTCATCGAGAAGCCCACAAAATTAATTCTCATTGTTTGGGGCATCCGAGGGCTCCGAGCTGCCTTGTTCTGTCTGTCCGGCCAACAATGTGCCCCCCCCCCCCCCCGACCCCATTGAATTTGTCAGCATAAATGCATTCATCTGTGATACATGACAAAATGAGCCTGAGCTTTCGTAGAAGTCGAATAATTAGTGGCAAGCACTGGATTGTTGGTAGTTGCGCAATTATATCCGCGTGTCATTTCATCAGTTTCCCAATCGTAAACACTTCACTGAGCTTTCAGCTGGAGGCCTCAAAACCTTTGAAAATAATACTAGATACTTTCTTCATGAAGATCTATAGGTATTTTAAAACCAGTTAAATAATGACGGTATTCAGCTTCATATGAATAAATGTAGTCGTCGGGCGTGTGCCGAGTAATGTCACGTCACCGGCAAAATGTGGCTGACTGCTTTCATTCTTTCCGCCCAAAGCCGCACAAGGATAATAGTTGCGTTAGAAGTAAGGCTGTTCAATAGGGCCCCTGAGTCATATTCTGAAAAATTTGTCACCATTTAGCCTACGGATGTTGTACATCTACTTATATAGTTACAGTGTTAAAGTTTAAGTAAAAAAACAAAAACATTTAAGATGAAACCATTTTTGGGAATTTTTTTTTTAAAGAAAATTGAGAACCGAATAAGATTTTTAAAAAATACTGGGAGTCAAAATTTGGGTCAATATGTCATTCATCAGCAACAATAGCAGACTGATTTTCTCTGCTAAAGAAATATGCAACTGTGCAAATAAAGTGTGAGACCACGAAATACTACACCCACTTGTACTGATCTAAACGTTATTGTGCCTTAGGACAAACCCAGTTCCAATGAAGTTGGGCCGTTGTGTTAAAATATATGCCACAAAATATATCGAGGAATGATAACATCGCGAGATACTACCCAGCCAGATTTAGATGCCATTTGATTAAAATGACACCCAGAAAAAAAGGGGGCAAATTCCCAGCTTCAATCAGCAATTAAGTTTCATCAGTGCCACAAACTTAACGTCTAAATTCCAGTTTTACAGTTGGTCTTCTCTGTCTGGGCCATCGGCACCTCATTTTTCAAGGCCAAGAGCAGAAGCAATGTCTGTGTGTGCTTCAAGGCCAGTCTGCGACATTCGCTGCTATTTCTTGTCTTATCTTTGTGCCATAAAAACAGCTTTGACACTTCGGCCGTATCGACAAGGACACCTTCCTTTTCACTTTTACTCAAGGACATACCGAGTCATCACCGGTGTTACTGTTATAGTGGGCACAGTATTTGTAAAGACACACATGAGAAAATTGTTAGTACCTATAAATCATTACTTTAAATAAACAAACTACACAAAAGACATTGGTCAATGATATAACTTGATCTTTAATTTGGGCCATGTCTTATGCTGCTGCACATACTCTGCTGTACATATACTACAGTATAGATGTCATGGCTTGTCTTGATACTCTCCGTATTTCCTCAGAGTTGTTTCAGCTCGTCAACCCGGTGGGGGACTTCCTCGACTTGTTTGCGGAGCAGATGAGCTCCGCCGACACTCTGAGCACTGCCACTCGACCGGCCAATCAAAACAGTGGACCCGCCCAACCGGCAACCCCAGTTGCTTACAACGGCTCCAGTGTTGGCCTTTCTGCCCCGCAGACATTGTCCCCCAGGTCCGGGTCCCTCCCCCCGGCTCTCTCTCCTGCTCAGAGCCCCTCCGCGACCACAGCATCCGCAGTACCGCAGCAGGTGACCCGCAGCCCCCCGCCCCTTCAGCCGCGGCCTCAGGTGGTCCAACCCATCCAGCCCCACCTCATGGCCCAGCCCACCATTCAGGTTGGAAACATTTCCTACATCACAACGCTTACACCCATGCCGAGTGAAGAATAGCTCGTTCCCTGCTGTCACGTACCATGTCACCATGTCGTTGCAGTGTGATGACAGCCGAGATAAGATGTAATATGAACTTTTTTTTTTTTTATCATCAGTGAACTACTTGATTGATACATGCCTTAAACAGATTAAAGCAGGTGACAGATGAAATGATGACGTGGCTCGGACCCAATTGCATGAGGCTCGTTCTAACATTTGTTTAGTTCTTCTCAAGTTATAACGATAGCTATCAAGATAAACACACACACACACACACACACACACACACACACACACACACACACACACACACACACACACACACACACACACACACACACACACACACAAAGGCCACAGTGATAAAACATTGCACTCGTGGTTTATATGGACGTCTAACTGATTTATAGTTTGTGAGATGAGTTTTTTTGGCCTTTGATTTATGAAGACAAAGTCATCAGTCGCCTGTCATGCAAACTGCTCATACGAGTCTGTCATCATTTTCCCAAGTAAAATAAACGTGGGCGCCACACTGTCCCTACCTTAAAACGTAACGTGATGCTATCACACACACACACACACATGCATCTTCATATCTCATTTGTCAGTGTTGATGGAACTTGTTTTCTTTTTTGTTTTGATGCAGATGCAGACCCGGCGAGTCCCAGTTCACACTTTGGTTCCAACACCCATCCAGACGCCGGCGGCCCAAACTGTAATGATTGCCTCCAGTGGTGGGCAGTCCCATTTTATCCAAAACCCAGTCATCTGTCACCAAAGCCCTACACCTGGTTACCCAGGTGACAAAGACTCGCTAACCTCAATCTTCACTTTTCACACTTGCATCAGGATGTCTTTGAAATGTTCTTGTTCATTTAGTCCAAATCTCGCTCTTCATGGAGTACTGGTTCTCATTTGTCATTTCTCATCTTCTTCCAGTACTTCAGCCACAGATGCAAAGTCTGATGACATCGCCCCAACTGCATCCAGTGACCATTCACCAGCACCTTCTGACAACTGGTCAGGCCATTCTTTCTACAGCGCCTACTACAGTCCATGCTGTGCCACAGCAGGTGCAGCAGGTAGCCAAAGCATTAATTGGCTATGTTGCGAGTTTAATATCTCAAGTCCTTATTGATGATTGAGACATATCAGTTCTGCAAGCTCTTTTTTTTTAATGGTGTACGGGTGCTTTTCACCAGGTTTTGGTTCAGCAGCCTCAGATTTTGAAGACAGATTCCCTGGTTCTGTCCACCATGCAAAACCCAGCAGGGATCACAACATTGACCACGCCCCTCCCGAACACAACACTGCAAGTTCCGGTACTCAGCCAGCAATACACTCCAACTATTCATTGTCACTGTTATTAATACAGGGGATCCTTCGTGTAGGACAGCCAGAATTTGTACTGAAGTCGGAATGTGACATAGTTACGATCATGAATTAATCACTAACCTATGTAAAGTCAGAAATCAAAATCCAGTAGTTCATTAGTTGTGTGGTAGACCAAGAACCGTCGATCATGAATCCAAGAATTGTCAGCGTTTGCAATGCCACTAGTAATGACTGTTGTCTGTAGACACTGATGGGTGGCAACCTCCTGACTCCTGTTCTGGGAGGCGGAGAAAAGCTGACAATCAAACAACTGCAGCCAGGCTCCTCCCACTGCGCAAACGGCTCCATATCAAGCATAGAGACGAGCCCTATGACTGGAGGGGTGGTGAAGGAGGGTGAGAGGAGGACCACCCACAACATCATTGAAAAGCGGTACCGGTCATCCATCAATGACAAGATTGTGGAGCTGAGAGACTTGGTCGTAGGCAATGACGTCAAGGTCAGGTTTACCTTTTGAAGGTAAGCGTGATGGGATTTTCATGTGATTTTTGACAATTTTTTTCCCCCCTCCTCTACATTTTTGCCCTCAGATGCATAAGTCGGGTGTGTTGAGTAAAGCAATCGACTACATAAAGTACCTGAAGCAGGCCAACCACAAACTTCGACAGGAAAATCTGTCTCTTAAAATGGCAAACCAGAAGAACAGTAAGTGTGCTTGCTTGCACAGATGGCCGCCTGTAGCAAATTCCGTTGATTTAATAGCTTTGTTTATCACAGAGTCGGTGACACTGTCTGAGGATATGGAACCGAAAGAGGAAATTGCAATGATGTCCCCTCCAGCCTCTGATTTGGGCTCAGTCTCCCCTCACCAGTTCTCTCCCTACGGTGTGGATTCTGAGCCCAGCAGCCCCTTAATCGATAACGATCAGGTAATGTACATGTTGTTTTATTTCAAGTCCGAACCTTGGCATGCCACACTGCTCGGGGGCAGTGCTCATTTTGCCCACACCACAGGGGCTTGTACATACCGGAATGTTGCCCATTGCACTTTACTTAAAACAGTATTGTAAATTCAAATTAGAGCAAAACAGTTTGGGGCCGATATTACACACAATGGTTTACTGTCTCAAACCACATTTCGGGATGATGTCATTCTTTCTTTCAGATGAAGTGTGAGCCAGACTCTCCTTCCTCTGTCGGAGTGATGGACGGCTCTCGCTTGCTTCTCTGCGCTCTGACCTTCTTCTGTCTCTCCCTGAATCCACTGCCCTCTCTGTTGGGTTCCGAGAGCTCAGAAAGTCTCTCTCCCGGGCACGGGCCCTCTAGAACTCTTGTCTGGTTCCCGAGCCCCACCCAAGATTTTGGTGAGAAAGCAAGCTTTTGTGATGCTGTTTGGAACTGATGTCCATTTGAATTCCCAGAAGTGCTTCTGCGACTCTGATTACCTGTGTGCCCTTTCTTCTTTCTGAATCTTAGCGACTTGGCTGCGTTGTCTGTTGCCATGGGTGATGGCTTGGCTGCTGAGTGGTTTGGGAGCAGTTTGGGGTTGTGTGCGGGTGCTCTACCTCTGGGAACCCGTCACGCCGCTTCACTCCCCCAAGTCGGTGTCTTTCTGGAGACACCGAAAGCAAGCTGATGTTCACCTTAAGAGAGTAAGTGCGATAAAATTGTCGGTCAGGCATACAGTTAACATGCGCGTCGCAAATTGTGGCTTCTGCATTTAAAACGTCTCGAGCCCATTGCCTTTTTTTGTCACACTGGAACCAGGACATTTGGTTGGGTGCCTTGCTTGAGGAGAACAAAGACTGAACAAACACTCTGCCTACTTTGCAAATTGGAGGAGGCTCAGATATGCTACCTTGCCATATCTGGCGCAGATTTTCTCTAAATATATCCACACTGCTGCTATAATGGCAACACTCACCCCCGTCATTGCTATTTATATAGTTGCACATTCGTTTGTAGGGGAGTAAAACCATTGATTGTCCTCCATCAGTCTGTTATTGTCTCTTGTAAAAGAGGGGCCTGTTTTTGATTGACTACTTTAAAAGCATTCAAACAGTCCGCTTCAATGGGTAACTTTATCAAAGGCCGTTCACTATCTTGCTTCTTTTTATGGGTTCATTCTCCTTGTCATTTGCAACATCATACACTTTGCAGGGAAGGAAACACTGGAAAAACGGGATTCGCTGTTCTCCAAACGCCTTTCCTCTGTTGTCCGTCTCTCACAGGGAGATTATCCTGCGGCATTGACCAGTTTAAAGACCTCCTTGTCCATCTTGACCAGAGCGTTGCCTTCCACCAAACTGGACCTCGTCTGCTCGTTATCCTGGAACCTGATTCGGTATTTTTTGCATCGCCCAACCCCTCTCGGATGGCTCGTTCACCAAATCAGAGGCAAACATGAGGGGGATGAGGCGAGGACAAGCGCCAAGGATGCTGCTCTGGTATACCATCGTCTGAGCCAGCTGCAACTCACTGGTTAGTAGGAATGGTCATTCATCAAAATTGTGAAATAACCTTAACGACGATCTCAACAAAAATATACGATCGATTGTGGACTAATTGTTTTCATCAAGTTGTCATACTGATGTCAGACCGCAGAAAATAGACGATCTGAGTGACACTCAGGGCAAGAGTTGAAAACAACAGAAAAAATGGGGAGACGCGGGCCCGTTAGCAAACCTTGTTACTTTGGAATTCTAGTCTCTTCTAGTTTTTACTTTTTGTTTCTGTTGTTGCATTCCGTTTCAGTTTGTACACTCGTCTGTGTTGCAAGCAAACTGGTTTGACCTGAATTACAATTTGTATCCTCGGTTTCATTGAAAAAAATCAACTGCAGTGGTACCATGATATTTTTTATTTAAATCAAAACATGCAGTAATGATGTGATTAAATAAAAGTCAAGAATTTTTGCCCACTTTTTCTAACGTGTGTTCCTTGGGCACTTGACGAAGGTATAATACGTATGTAGAGACGCAAGAAGAGTTTCACAACTGACTCAGCAGCAGTCATGTTAGTTTTTCGTCTAGAATAAAGAATATATGCCTGTGAGTTTTGTTAGATTGTCTGTCTACATGTGTTGCTCTGCCGTTTGTATTGCCCATTGCTGAAGGGCTTAAAACACAACATGGATTTGTTTTGCATTGCCGTTCAGTATTCGGCTAAACGGGCTGTCGTAAGGAAACCTATGTGATTGTTTTAAACTCACATTGTGTCATTTTCTTTGTTGAGTTCGACGGTACACTTCGAATGCGAGTGGCGATAAACAGCTCGAAGCCCCTTTTTGAACACCGAGTGTTGTGAAGCGAGTTGAGTTCACTGCCGCCATACAGCGCTTATTTCGCAAATTTCTGCTTGCAAGTTAAAGCAGGAAAAAAAAAACATCCAAAGAATGGCGCTTAGCTTGGAAAACTTTCTAAGTTGGGAAATGATATCTCAAGTCACCACTGTGTAGAGGAGGCTGCCGCTGCACTTTGGTCAACTTTGTTTTGTGATTTGATTCTTTTTGTAGGAAAGCTGCCCCAGCGAAGCAGCTGGTGGGCGCTGTCGCTGTCTCTGAGCGCTGTCAACCTCAGTGAAAGCGCTCAAGGAAAGATGGCCCCCGCTCAACTCGCCGAGATCTACGTCACCGCGGCCGCAGCCATGCGCACCGTACTGGGTCTCCATATCGCCTGTCTGCCCGTGTGTATCTCGTGTCCGTCATCTATTTTTGAAATTGTGTCCATTTCAAGTGACGCAAAGTCCCTTCTTCCGCAGGGTTACTTACTGAGTTGTGCAGAGCGCATCGCAAATCAATGCGAAGCAAAGCACATTCCTGACTCCCTGCGCTGGCTCTTCACCCCGCTGGGCAGGCACTTCTTTCTAAGCTGCGATTGGTCATTGAATTCGGAGAGCAGCGATGGGGTGTTCACATCGCAGAGAGACCCGGGTACCCATTTGGAAAGCGTCATCAAGCATTTGATGTTCAGCGTTTGTCAAAGGCGAAACCTGCTGCCATACTCGACGCTGACTTTGTGTGACTGTGAATGTTTCCCTTCCAGCGGACCCCGTTGCCCAGTTGCACCGCTGTTTCTGCAGAAAGTTGCTTGAGAGAGCCGTTCACACGCTCATACAGCCTCAAAGTGACTCTGAAGCGGGCAAACATAAAACCGGCTCTGGGTATGACGGGGTGGGGGCCCCTGCAGCGTCGATTTACCAGAGGCTGAATCAATGACTGACATTATTCTTCAGCTATGTACTTGTTGCTTCCTTCTTCCAGGGACTTTTCCAGTGCTCTGGAGTTCCTGCAGCAGTTGAATAAGTGCACAGAGGACTCTCCGTCAGCTCCTCCCTTCTCAACTCCTCCCAGTCACGTCACCACACCCGGTACAGTCTGCACGGCATAGCGCAAAGCCAACACTTCCTTGTTGGGGATATTTAGAATTGAACTTCCTTCACGGAATTCTTGAACGTTGGAGTGGCAAAGAAAGAATCAATATGAATTGATTTTCATCTTGGACCCGCAGTACACTTATAGAGCTAATAATTGGACACGTTTTCTCCTGAAATAAAAAGACATGCAATCAATATGATGCATTCCTCCCCCGCCATTTAGTTCATGCTTGTTAGATGCTGAGTCAAACCATAACGTCTATTGGAAATAATGGCAAAAGTGCACAAGACATCTTCAAACGTGATCAATTTATCTCAGAAACCGTAAGACGCAATCAGAGAAAAAAAATGACGTGCTGTGTTGTTTTCGAAGCCTTCCTTTAAAGTCGTCCTAAACGGAGCTTTTCCTCCCCTTTTCTCTGGCAGTGAGAGATTCAGTGAGTCGGTGGTGGGCTTCGGTGCTAAAAGCTGCCGTCTATTGGCTTCAGGGTGATGATGTCACCGTCAGGTCTCTGTTGGTCGAAGCAGAGCGAATGCCGAGAACTCGACACACTCTTGAGTAAGTGCCATGGGTTGTGAAGTCATCAAGTGTTTGAGGGTGTGTTCACGGTCCATTCATGTACTACTTCTTTTGTTTCAACTTCAATCGACCATGTCATGGGGCTCTCCATGTCAACAAACCTCAATTCTTTACATTCTGTTTAATTATGTTAACGCTACATATGTTTTCTAGGGTACATTGATCCACAGGGCGAATTTGTTTAAGTGTTAAAGTGACAAACATTTTGTGCGTGCATGCGTGCGTATGTTTTCAAATACTGTTCACTGGCCCCGTTTTTAACTGTCTTATCTCCCCTGTCGGTTTCAGCCACCCTCTGCCCAAAGCTGTGCAGTCCCTCTGCAAGTCGGTTCAGATGAGTCTGTCACCTCTAAAGGGAGAAGGAACCGCAGCCTGCCTGTCCCGTTGCGACCAAGCCAGCAGCTACCTGCGCTCCAGCATCTCCGTGCCTCTTGGCCAGCCTGGCGACTACTTAAACAAGGTGAAGAGCAGATAAATATTTGCTCCAAGGCATTTCGTTTGGAGTTTTTGTTGGTGTTTGTGGTTAGCGATGCTTAACTGTATATGGTGGGGCTTGGTGGACGTTGCGGTGAGATGGCAGGAGGTGGCTGTGGTGCATTGTAGTTGCATTGCATGATCTTCGAGCCAAGTGCAATGCATCTGCAGTGAATGACAGAGGCTTCCCAGGTCTGCACGCCGCTCTGACACCAACCACATTGGTGGGGCACGTTAGTGACTTATCTCCTGCTGTGTGCAGGAAATGATCTAATTTTACTTAATTGGTGCAAATAATGCATATTTGTTCAGCTATTTATGCAACCGATGTATAGTGACAGGCAGGATAATTTTCCACGAGATGGAGGGAGGTACAATTAACCTGTGTAGCTGCATTTCATATAACAGAATAAGCAATCGATAATTACATGAAAATAGCTCAATCCGAACTTGGTCCGGGAAAAAATTGTGAGCTCAAAGTACAAAGAACGTCCTATGCTATGGCTCGAACCAGTGTTGCGACAGCTACCTTCAAAAAGGAACAACTTTTGATTTTAAAAGTATCAGACATTAGATTAGACGTGTCCTATCGTAGTAGTTTTCTGCTCATCTTTTTTCCTTTATCATCTAAGGCGATGGAGCTCTTGGTATGTGACCTTCTACTGACCTTGAGGACCAGTTTATGGCAACGAGGAAGCAGCACTAATGGGGAACCTGGCCCAGCATCTGCATCTCAGTTGGCCGGTTTTCAAAGTGACCTCAGTGTGCTCAGAAGACTCACGCAGTGCTCCAGACAGACCCAGCATAAGGTGAAGTGTCAAATAACCCGATGAATCCCAATAATGATAATAAGGAGAAAAATCGTCCCCGTCGCCAAGTTTCACGAGCTTCTACCGCTCCGACTGTGTTTGCACTCGGTGACTGTCGTTGAGCCACGGCTGCTGCGTCTCTTTTGGTGTAGGTGTTCCTCCACGAGACCACAGTGAGGCTGATGGCCGGAGCTAGTCCCACACGGACGCACCAGCTGCTGGATCACAACCTGCGACGCCGGACGCACGGCCTCCACGCTGCAGGTGAAGAACACGCCACGGTTGCTTTGGCACATTGTACACGCGACGGAATTGCCATGCCCTTCTCTTGTCTTTGCCTCATCACTCTGTAGTCTGCTACATTGCCCCCATTGAAATGATGGTCATGTGATCGATGTGAATAGATTAGAACGTCGTCTTTAAATGTTCAACCAAAACCAGACAGCACAAACACGTTACTCACACGTGTATATATTTTGGACTCAACTTTTCTCTGCCGCTCTCTACTTTTCCTCCCCGTGTTCTCGTCAGAGGGTGAGCGGGAGCGGGCTCATGCCATTCTGCTGGCCTGCGGCCACCTGCCCATGCCCCTGTTAACCCCGGCCGGGCATCGCGCCCATCTGCTGGCCGAGGCCAAACGCACGCTGGAGCGGGTGGGAGATCGTCGATCCCTGCAAGATTGTCAGCAGATCCTGTTGCGCCTGAGCGCCGGCACGACCGTCGTAGCATCCTGAACGCTCGCACACACACAAACCCGAAGGCTACCGTTGATTGAACTCATCAATTTATAGCATATAAATGACAAGCGCCAATTTTGTACGCCCAATACATTTTCAAGCCCGTTTCGGCATCTCTCCCGATGCTGAGCTTTTGAACAATCTCGCCACCTTTTGGTCATTCACAGTACAAAGTTGGCTCACTGGCACATCACGTGTTGGTGGAGGTGGGGGGGCTTCCAAAGACAAGGGGAACAGTTTATAAATAACTGTTCAAATTCATGCCATCGCAGAGGTGCATCATTTAGCTGTTTAATGCCAAGCTTCACAATAATCAGCACTTCTTAACATCTCAATCGCTCGGCCAGCTCCGTTTCCAAGGGCTGTAAAATACATACTCATGAAAATCAGACCGGTTTACTTTCAACTATTAAAGAGTGTCGCTTCTTATCTACCTCATTCACAGTACATTATACTGTGGGGGAAATCAGAATACCCAAGCGCCAGGTCGCTTATTCTCAATTGGAAGTCAGAATGTGCAGCTTTCAGTCATAATTCTGCTGCTAATTAATCGAGTTTGATACAAACGCTTCCTGACACAGACAACACATCTTGTAGAACATGTAAAAATGATTGCATATTTACAGTTTGTACTTTGGTTGTAAATCCAAATAGAACAACTATTAAAAATAGATTGAATAGTAAGCGTTTGCGTAATTGTTCCAAGAAAACCCACGTTGTAGATCACATCACAGGCAATTGTTCCTCGTCAGGTCGATCTGATGGCTGGACCACCTGAACAGTTTGAGCTGTCTTGCCCCAATTGTCAAAATATTTTCCTGAGTTTTAAAAAATATTTCCGTTGTACGTGGAAAAAAAAAGGCAACCCTTAGTTTCATCATTGAAGAATTTTAAAAAAATGTAAAAACAAGGTGTTTGTGCAGTGATACGGTTGAAATTTTTTATTTTCTTAGACCTGTCTACATTTGTTAATCCTTCAAGCAAAACATGCTTAATTTTTAAGCAAAAATATTTTATGTGTCATTACATTTAAAATGGAAATTTTAAAAAAAAGTTTGCTTTTTAATTTGTAATTTTTTTCCGCACAGGGCACTTCTGTCATTCCAGCTTCACATTTAAAATGGAAATTAAAAAAAAAAGTTTGCTTTTTAATTTGTAATTTTTTCCGCACAGGGCACTTCTGTCATTCCAGCTTTTGTGTCTTATTTAATGATGTACATTTATGATTAATGCTTTGCTGGAGGGGAGGAAAGTCAGCCTATTTGTGTGTGTTATTTTTGAACGTAAAGATTTGGTGTTGTAGCTCAGCGTTGCCTTCTGTACACATCGCAAATTATTCATTTTAGAATAGGGGAACAAACAAATTATGCTTGTAGGAACTTGCAGAACATTTTCTTAAAGGTCAAAACTGGCAGACAATTCTTTTTCTTAGCTGCACAAAGAACAAATCAATGCTCATTTTGCCAGAGGTAGGCTGGGTTTATTACTGTTGTTCCATTTTTCATTGTTACATCATTTTTTTGTTTGTTTTTCCTTCCCCATTATGCTTTTTATTTTCCAAATTTTATTCTTGTCCATTGTTTTGATGTTGGTGGTTTTTTATAATAAAACAAAATGTTATGGTGTTTAGAGTTTGTTTGATTGCCCCTTACTCTGTGTCGTCTATGTACAACACTACAGTATTGCATAAACACTGAACAGCTCGTGTATTCAGAAGTTGAGAGAAGGTCACCTGAAAAGGTTACAGTCCATTTTTGGTAAACCTGATAGTTCATCCGAAAGCCGTATTGTCTTAACGTTTATTTTTGTAGCGTATATCTTTGTTCTTTGTGTATGTATATATTGTGTATTCGATTTTTTTAACGCATGTACTGTATTGATAGTCGCAGGACCGAATCTCACTATTCATGTTTTGAGTCGGACGTGATTAGCGAGCACGCAGTTAAACACTGAAAGCCCGGAAGTTATCAGACAGCCGACTCCCGTGCACATGGTAAATACGAACACAGAGCAATGAAAAACAGAAAAAAGCCCAATAATGTACCCAATAAGGCCAAATTCAAGCCTGGATCTAAGAAGAGGGAAAATAAATGCGTCCTAATGTTTGACGACGAAGAGAGAGAGTAAGTACCGAATTATTCTTTTATGTTGCTACAGCTACAGCTGTTAAAGCGCTAACAGTATAAATAAATGTATTGGCTCAGTTAATGGCTAGTGAGCGCATCACTAGCCGCTAGTGATGCGGTCAACTAGTAGCGCTAGTAGCGGTATTCGTTGTTGTTTCGCATGTATGTTTGAATTGGGTCTATAATTTAGTACATGTTTATGAACGGCGTTTTATATCATTATTATGATTATTATTTGAAACCTATAAACATCTCTGAGTATGATGCAATTTGATTGTACACTGTAAACTGCAATCACCAAACAAAGAGCATTATTAGGCTATATATTGGATTTCTAAAGGCGGATGTGTGTGTGATGTGTTGATACATCTTCCTGTCAGGGACTATCTCACTGGTTTCCATAAACGGAAAGTGGAAAGGAGGAAAGCAGCTGTGGTAGAAATACGCAAGAAGATCAAGGAAGAACAGAACAGAGTCAGAGAAGAGGTCGGTGCCAAGCAAAGGAGCAGATTGTCGAAAACTATTTTCGACTCAGACAGCACCGTGTTGCTTTGACTGTATTTCAGAGGCATAAGGAATACGTGAAAATGCTGAAGGAGCGACAAGAAGCGCTTGGTGAGTCAGAAGGCTCAAAGCAGACATGCATTTTATTTTCATAATTTGAAAGAGTTCCCAGGAGGGGGAATTTAAGACTGACAGATAACAGATACAGTGGTACCTTGGCGTGCGAGTTGAATTTATTGACTTGTAACTTGATGTTTATGTCCCGTACAGAGGAAAGTGAAGATGATCTGGAGGATGTGATCACCAATACAACAGAATCTGTTCAATTTGACCATCCAAATCACACGGTCACAGTGACGACCATCAGCGATCTGGACCTAACCGCCAATCACCTGCTCGAACGAGTAGCAAATAAGGTGAACATGCTAACTTGTGTACTTAAAAGAAAACAACCGCATCGAGGTAGCATCGACCTGCCATTCATTGTTTTTTGTTTTGTTTTTAGACCAACGGGGAACCTAAAGAAAATGAAAATGGGGAGGAAGAGGAGAAACCAAAGACAATGCCAAAAAAAGCTGGCAATCCAATCTTGAACAAAAAGTAAGCTTCTCCTCACGCTAGCTGAAACTAATGAAAATCGATCATTGTAATGTTGTGCCTGTGGGGTTCCACTAGAGGGAGCTCACCTACCACAGGTTGAGAATCACTGTCTGGGAAATTATGTTACTGAATGAACACCATATAGTTGGTTATAAAAATAAAAAAAAAATCCGTCAATACTTTCCTGTTTATTGGAAAAACAGGATTCGATCTGTTTCTTCTTCAGTAGTTGCCTCAGGTCCTTCCTGTGCACTGCTGTTGATATAGCGCTTCCATAGTGGCACAATGCTCCAATCGCAGTTACAATACGTCGCTACTCCAGAGGGATGTCAATCGCTCAACCAGCACAGCTGGAGCTGTACGCTGTGTTGCGCGATAGCAATCGGTCCGGCTGGGGGCGGCACAAAATTAGCTGGAAGTGGCCGCCGCGCAATTTTGAACGCAGGGAAAAACCCTGGTGTGTGACATAACAGCCGACATGGGAAGCCGGTTCATTTTTTGTCCATCTTTCCCCCGTACTATTATCAGGATCCGCTCGCTGACTGCCTCGCTCGGTGTCTACACCAGCAAGGGGAAGAGGAAAGGGAAGCAGGACGGCCGAGGAGGACGAGGCCGGCAGACAGATAAGAAGGCGGACAAGAGAGTCAGTGAGAGCAAAATCAGCGCCAAGAAGACCAGCAAGTGGCAGAGGCGACGCATGACGGGGAAGAAGCAGGGGCAGCAAGAATGAATGCTCATCTTTTTTCGGACTGGTGACACCTTGGTTGAAGTGCTTAACAGATCTTCCTCCCGCTTTTAAGACGGTGGTTTGGCTAATCATGTTAGACACTGACCACTGGCTGAATTTAATGAGAAGCAATTGTAAGAGCCGCGTCCACATGCAGTACTTCGTTTTGAGAAGCAGCATTGCCGCAAAGGTATGACAATAACAACACCTTTGTGATTGCAGTTGTAGTTTGCTAAATTGCACTGCGTCATACCGAGAGCTGCCCTTTGTCACGTTTGGACCTCGGTTCATTCATAAAAAGTTACCAAGTCAGATTTGCAAAAGGCTGTTCTTGTGTGCTTTATTGTGGCCGTGCACGTGTGCCTAATGTTGTGGCTGGTCCTGTATTTCCACACGTCCTGCGATGTAAACGCTTGGTATTCTTTGACCGTGTCATTTTTATACACTCACTGTATTAGTTTGATGAAAGCTTAATCGCCTCATTAAATCCCAAGATTGTCACACTTGTTTGTTTCCGTGCCACTGTTTACAACGAGAGTCGTGTTTACCGAGCTCAACCTCTTTCACTTCGGGACACAACATTAGCCTGCCAAATGTATGTTCAGCCCCCCTCCTCTCTCGTGTTTATTTATTTACACTAACCTGAGCCTGCGTGTGCTGGCTGACACCAGCAGGAGCTTTCAAAAGCCATGATATTTAATACAAGGAGGCTTTGCAGGGCACCAGCTCCGGGGGTCGTCCCCAGAGCCTTAACCCGGTTCGTGGAGAGCCGCGGTGCTCGTCTAGCGATGCTTCTGTTTCACTCATTGTGTACTCAGCCAATAGGAGGGATGTGCAGTTGGGGACTATTGAGACCACCAGGGTGAGCCAGGTGCCCGTTGGCGGGTCAACGGGCAGTTCTGCTGAGGCAACAAGACGCTTTCCCAGTCAGGTGAGGTTCATCATTTTCTAGGAAACGCTATTAAAAATGTTTGCTGATGCTTATTTCTGTCTTGTAGCGTTTCATTGGCCGTGCACAGGCCTCGTTGCTCCCCGGTGGCAGTGCTACTTTGAGAGCACTTTTGGCTGGATTGTGTTTCACTTTTACTCGTGGTGGGAAGCTACCACCTTCCAGATGTTTTTTTTCTCTCTCTCTCTCTTCAATGACATATTTAAGTTTGAAGCCCAGCACAATTCATTGCCCAACACTCGTTTTTAGTAAAGTGATGATCCCAGCCAGGCTCAATCGGTTTTGTTGGTTGAAAAAGTTTCATTTCAAAACTTGATGAAGGGCTTGTCTGCATTGAAGGACTCCTTCGTTAATCTGTTAGGAGTTGGACTAGATCACAAGTATCCCATTTAAGACCAGATCCAGCCACCCACATCATTGAATGTTATCTATAAAATGCGTTTTGTAAGACCCTTCTTTTTCTGACGATCTCTCTTTTTGCTTTTGTCTCTCAGTTTCCTACACGGGATGCGATGATGATAATTCACATCCCCAAATCATCATGCCTCTCTCTCACGACGAGCCTGCGTGCCCTACGTTTCAACCCAACATCTTCGACCCCTCCCGCTGCCATGACTGCCTGCGTCAAAGGCATTTTCATTCCCCGCAGCGGAACTCCGCCGTAGACGCTCCTGCCGGATCCAAATGCGGGACGGGACCCGGCAATGGAATGCCCTTAACGCCAATCTCCTCGCAGGCGGAGGAAAAAGACACCAGCAGCAAGGTGAGAAAGATGAGATGGGCGGACAGGAAGGTGCCGTATCTTGCGAGGCTTCAGATGGTAAGAAGAGCGCTTGAAGCGGTGCATCTGCACAACCCAAAACAAATCATTTCATCCTCATATTTTGCTTACCTTACCTTCGTGCCTTTAGCTCAGTGAGATGCGAAAGTGCTGGAAACAGCTCTCGCTATGATGCAAACCACTTGTACCACAGCGCTATTATCCAAAGCCTCTGTCCAGCAATATTACTATCATACCGTTTGTACAGTTACCCGGCGTGTGTGAGGATCACGTCTGCCACTCGACGGGGGGATCAGTTACAATCAAATTAAAACAGGAGGTTGCGGCAAGAAAATGTGTCAATAATTCATCATCCGGCCGTTAAAGCTGAGTCAAGTTACAGAGGTGTAACCCTAATCGAACGACAGACTGCACATGCCAGTGTGTCAGAGGTGAGAGAGTGGCCAAAGAGACAAGAGCCCGTCGGACACATTTTCTTTCGTGTTGTGCATATGAATCGGAATATCAAATAGTGCCGTCAACGAAGTGGATTGAAGGCTTACGACTTCTAGATTTGGAGGAAAAGTGGTGGCGCCTCTTCCGCCGCGGGCCAACCCTGTGGCACGGCCGTGTCTTGTGATTGGTCCATGTTGATCATCCTATCAGGAGGATTCGGAGCGTTTGTCGGTGGTGAGCAGCTGCTGTGATGTGACTGGAGGTTCACCGGGTCGTGCCGAGAGCTCTTTGTACATTCTGAGCCCAGACTGTGAGCTGTACATCTGCGACGGAGATGACGACGACGACAGCGCTGACAGGTAACTGCATTACCGATTAAGAATCATTATAACTTTGCCTTGTCATTTATAATTTTTGTGTGTGTGTTACCAGTTCCCAACACCATATTAGACTTTTTCTTTACTTTAACTTCATCTTTGTTTTCATTTTCCACCGCCATCCCCGTGACACTTTCCAAACAGCTGTCTTGACCAGAGTGACGACTACCGGGAGCTCAGCGGCTCCGGCAGCGCAGAGAATGAATACCCGCCGCTGAGAATGACTCGACTTGACCCGTCACCCCACCGAAGCGACGCCCGGTCCTGGATGGACGAAACTCACAGCAGAGATGGTCTCAACAGGCGTTCAGGTCAGTGGTGAGCGATCAGAGCTAGCCAGGCCTGCTGACGTCAAGGCTATCAGAAGCGGTGACCTAAAATGGCGGCCGAAATGATAGTTTGTTCCATGAAATGGATGTTTATCTGTTCCCAGCAGTCTTATTTTCTTCATTTTGTCGTGTATTTCTTGGTTGATTGTAGTCGTTTAGTCGCCACGGGACTGTTTCTTTTTGTCCTCACAAGACGAGCACACAGGCCCTTGATGACATCAGCAGTTTTTCTATCCCCCCGATTGGTATCAAACAGACGGCCTGCCACTAATAGCCGCGTCACAGTTTTTTGTTGAGAATATCCAGTTCCGTGTATGAACCTTCCGTCATCTTCCAAATTACTGCGCCTGACTGTTGGAACTGTATATCCTGTTACAGCCAAAGGTGTTCTTTACCTGGCAGTACTTGTGATGTCACCACCTGAGGTGTCCTCGAGCCATCGTCCGTAACATATCTTGTCGGGTTTTTGCGTCGGGAAACCTTGGCGCTCAGTATTTTCTCTTGGGGTTACCATTCTTGGATTCTATTTTTTTGTCACATTGTTTAACTTCATATTTCCCCCCACCAGGGTTTAAAGAAGGAATAGAGAAGCGAGAAAGCGGCTACTTCTCTCTGGGGAGGGCAGCAGGTGCCCGCGCCCCCCGTGATAACAGCCCCCAAGCACCTTTTCGCCATTTCGAAAGAGGCCATCCAATCTTTAGCAGTCAAAACATCGAGCCCAAGGATACCGTCCCCTTCAGAAATCCCAATCTCGGTCTGGCCTCTGAGAGGCAGGTACCCGAGGTTCAGGATGAAGAGCTGCCTGTGGAATTCCTTCCTCCTCACCCCTACGACATTGCCGTTGAGGTTGAGGCACAGGTTGGCGCTTGTTCTCCAAGTCCGACCCCTTTTAAAATAGCTGAGTCGCTAGCCCGTGTGGAGCGAAAAGGCTTGATCCACTCTTACGGTAGAGGAACGGCTTCTTCCAATTCTGCCTCCCAACAATTTGGGCGCTTTGATTCTTCGAGGCAAGGCTCAGCTCTACAATCTCGCTCTTCCTCCCCGCCACGTGGAAACGCTCGATTGAGGGATGGTGACTTTCCGTCTCCGATCAGAGGGCATACCGTTGATTGTACGGAGCCCCGATTGAGAGGCACCCTGCGAGGATCACATGGCCGACATTTAGACTCAGGAACTTTGCCAAGAAACTTTAAATCTCTTGCCGGGTCAGTCAAATCCCAATCCAGTACAGTCTCTGATTTTAGGAGCGCCTTACGAAAAACGGAAGTCAGTGGATCCTTCGGTGGTCGGGGTCTGGAAAGCAGGAGCTCATCTGTTGGCAAAATGTCACTCTACAAAACTGTAAATACGATCAGTTCATTACACGGACTCGCCAATCCTACACACACTCCATCTCGCAGACCTGCTTGGAGTCGCCATGAAAGTCGTGTGTCCTCGCCCACAAGAAGAACTTACAGTTCATCGGGCCAATTTGTCCTTCGTAAATCGGAATCGATGACCTCACTGGACGGAAGAGGTCATCATGGACGCTGCGGGTCCCCAATAAGAGAAGGCTATGACATTGAAAGTCAGGCTGTCCTGCGAAATGGACTGAATGGCCTCGATCATGAAAACGCAAGCCGCCCTCCAACCAAATGTTGTTATGACACAATGAGTCAGCCAAAACTTAACAAGACGGGATCCAATACTGGCAGTGGCAGTCAAGTCCTTGATAGCTATTCTGAAAAAAGATCCTTTAGAACTACTGGTCAATATCCACTTCGAAAAACAGGAAGCTGTACTTTGTTTAATGGTCGTGAAAGTCGAAATTCCTCTCCTTCAAGGAGAAGTGATGAAACTTCCACTCAGTTGACACTGCGCAAGTCTGAAGTTAAAACTTTTGACAGCCATAGCTCTATGCCATCAAAACAGAGCTACAGGGCCCCTCACCAACCCTCATTTCGTAAAAATGAGCTTGGCAGCTCTTTAAAGAGAAATAATAAGAATACCCGTAACGCTTCCCCGTCTGGAAATACCACCAATGACCCACCGGGTTATTCTGTCCTCAGACATGCCAACAATGGAGAGGGCGGCCGTTCATTTCAGAGAAAAAACAATGATAGTGTCTCAAAATCTGCCTCTGATCGCTCATGGCGGGGATCGACACATTCCCTGCGCAGCTCCTCGCTATCCCGTGCTGCTTCTCCCACCATGCGGAATGCACAAGTCCACAGAAACACTTCCGTCACCTTGCAAACTCACAGAAGCTCCGGTGGTCTTCGATCTATGGATGGGCGACAGGGTCTAGAAGATCGCTACACCACCCATCATGCTCAGAGGAGCCCTTCGCCTGTACCTCCGATGAAAACGCACAGCCATACTTTATTGCAGAGCTCCATGGATTCCTCTGAGTCTGTGGCCTCCGCTGGAAACAAAAAGGAGGAATATGGCACGATGGCTGATCTGCCCAAAGTCAAATGGATCCATCAGAGGGATGAGCACGACCACATGGAGAGACCTCACCAGTGCTCTCGGAGACAGCAGCTCTTCAAACCAGCCAGGTTAGATTTGATTGAATGCAATAACGCACGATGAAACGTGAGATGTGCTCTGGGCGGCTTACCGCATCCGCAATGGTGGCACATCATAAGCACTCAGTGGTTGCATCGGCTTCTTCCGTGCATTTCATTGATTCATCTGACACCTCCATTGTGCTGTTGCAGCCACTCCCTAAGCAAGCATCCCTCCAGAGAGTGGGAAGACACGGGGGAAACGGACAGAGAATGGCACTATGGCGGTATCGGGTATCTACCTCGAGTTCACTCCTGCTCCTCGTTGCAAGTAGGTTCAGAGATCGCAATGAAATGGATCCAATTGATTGGGGTCCGTCTGTCTGCCCCGCCCGCCTGTCTGTTCATTCGCTGACATTTTTCAGCCAAAGCAGCACATTTAATATTCTTTCAGCACACTCTTGTTTCACACTAAACTGTTTTGGGAAACATTTCTATCTCATGCAAATGCATAGTGCACTTATGCAAATGCTTCCGTTACCATGACGATAACACCCCTTCACATCAAAAGCTTAGCTGCACAAGTATGTGCTGGTTATTAGAAGCCAATGCGCATAACTATGTCCGCTAATGCGAATCTACGGTAACCTGACACGAAAGCGTTGCTTACCGTTTGGCTTCAACGTGATAGTGCTTTCATGTCGTGCCGACTCTGGCCTTTGCTTGACAATGGCAGATCTGGGAGGGCCTTCATTAGCGGAGAAACTTGGTACAGGTAGCAGTTATCACGTAAATTAGCTTAGCCAGTTAAAAGACTGAACATTTGTCACATGCATTCAGAATTTTGAAGAAGGTCAAATTAAGTTCACCATTAAAGGTTTTAATGTTGTGCATTTTGGATTCATCCTGAAATTTAACTCAAAAAACTGAAATCTTGTGAATACTTGTGCTCTTCTTAACTATGAGTTACTCCTTTTTAGAGGTCTTGCAGTCCCACAGCAGATGCGGGCAGTTCTTGGATAGATTATCATCACAAATCAGCGCCAATGCAGGTATGCGACACAGCTAGTACAAACAACTTTCACTGATTTCATTTATTTTTTGAATTTTCCCTGGTGGCAAATGAAAACACATTTGTTCCATAAATGCAACACAAAATGCTTCCCAAATAGTGTCAGGAGTCCATTCTTCAGAACACGAAAGCTCACTCATACGGTAATAAACATGATCTTTCTTTTCGACTGTTGTCAGACCAGATGACAGCTTGCCCAGCGTTCACAGATCATGTTTATTATTTGTGGATTACACTGAACCTTCTTTTTGTCAACATGCAGTTGTTTTGTAGACTCTCTACCTTAATGCCTACAGGCATTTCTTAAAACTGAGCTTTGTCACTTGTGGTGTGCTGGCTGGGGCATGTGGTGAAATTCCTGGGTTGCTCCAAGTGAAACCAACAGCGACAAAATTGGGTGACCCGGATGTAGGTGGTGTGGCCCATAGATGTAGATACTTAGACGTCGCCTTGGCGCTAATTGTACGTCTAAGTCGCGACCATATTGGATGTGGAAAAGTGAAGCGGTTGATGAAGATGGCTCATTCATTTGCCGGACAGAGATTTACGACCGATTGACATTTTATACTCAAAACCAGATCTCATGGGATTAAGACTGTGTGTGTGTGTGTGTGTGTGTGTGTGGTGGGCAATTTAGAGGCATTTACTTTATGCACTTTATAGGTTTTCACTCTATGGCAGTCAAACCATTGGCGTAAATTGACGCCTGGTAGATATGCCACATCAAATATGGCTGACGCGTGGACGTACACAGCAACGGCTCACGATGCTTAACGAGGTGCTCAGTGTCTGTTTGTCTTGGCGCTGGCAGTCTTGGTGCTGCGGACCGCGAGCGGGAGCTACAGAGCTGTGTTTTCTTCTTCAAAGAGTCAAGCGGAGCCGCCCAGGAAGTAAACCACAAGTCAAAAATACGAGTCGAGTCGCTGCTGTCCAAGATCGCGCTACACGATATTATCTTTTTTAGCCGCAATTACGTCAAACGTGTCTGTGTTTGGCGGAGTTCACTTTCTCCTTAAGAAGGTCGAAGCTTCGCTTGATGGGACAGTGAATGGCGCGGTTTTTCCAAAGTCGATTAACGTTGGTCTTGACCAAGAAAGTTGTACAACTTTATTGACGGGTTGATTGGGTGAAGTCGAACGGGGAATTCCAACAGAGAGAGGTAGAAGTGTGTTTTTTCATGAGTTAACGGTACTTTGCTTTTTTCCTTCAACCACGTCCTAACCGGATCCTGTTATCATGACGGTAAGTCTTTTTTTTCAAAGCAACGTCTTCCTTTCTTCCTTTCTCATAGATAGACGATTTTGCAAATGAAACCCGATGCTCAAATGGCAACTACTTCAGTCTAAAAGTTTTGCATTTGTATTCTCCATTTGCATGTTAATACATGCTTACGTTAAATGAGCCGTCTTGGACAGCGTTTTTGTCACAGTACAAGGGTGTGTTTTAAGTTGGTAGCTTTATTGCTATTTACGCTTCCGAACTGTTCATATGGACACTAAATTTAGTTTTGTACGCTTCCCAACTCGGATTTTCTCCATTTCTCAGACCAGCGTAGCATCTAAAAGGTGTACCGGTTGCTTGAGCCATACTTTATGCGTTGTTTACTCTAAAAATCTGTCAGCTGCTTCGTGCTTTCGTGTACGTTAGTCATTACAGTAAGCAATGACATCGGCACGTTGTCAGCGACAATAACAATGTCATAATATGCAAGATACATCATAAACCAACCAGACCAAATCACCCCCATTTGTGCTTACGAAGTCTCAACTTTAGGTTCTTGTAACGCACCCACAGACAAAACACATCCACACAGTTAAATAGTTTGTACATGGGCGTCGATTTTGGGGGAATAGAAAGCCTTCCCGGGGAGCCCCTGTGAAGCCCCCCCAACTCAACTCGACATATTCGTTATTTAAACATATCGTTTGGCAAAATATTTGTCTGGTCAACATTCACACCGAATGTCATAGGCTCCAGCTCAACCCTAACGAGGACAAGTGCAATAGAAGGTGAAGAGCTAATTTGATACAATGCTAAAAATAATACTGATACATCGGAACACAATCTGGTCTGGGATGCTGGTGAAATGCCTCGTTTGACTTCCCGCTTCGTCCCTATTTGCTCCAAACTTTTCTCACAGGAAACTGTAGCGGTATTTATTGACTGCTGTCATTTTTACTGAGAGTGTTGGACTAACGTTTGTGAAACAAATTGTGGGAGTAGTCGTTTTAAGTGAGAAGCAAAAGTGAGCCATGCGCCGCAAACAAGATTGTCTCATCGGAAAGCAAGTACAGTACTGTACTCACCAAAACCTCCCTCTCGACTCCTACATGTTTTTCTACGGTTTAAAAAGCAGAAACAGACTGACTGCTGGATATGGGTCAGGGGTTAGTTTGGAAAAAAAAGAAAAATTCTACTGTCACTGGTTTATGACAAAGAGTGATACTTTTGCCCTCTTTAAACGCCTCCCTTGGTTTAATGGGTTTGCTGATGCTGATAGTAAATCCTTTGACTGGAGCAGTTGGCTGTTACTTTTCACACCTGTGCCTGACGATGCAACTTTGTCGCACGGCACGAGACCACGGCCATGTTGCATGCAGTGGATATACGATGGAATATCTACATCAGGAGCAAAAACTATTCGTCTGTCATATGACACTTCTGTATTTGCAGTGAAGGTTCCTCACGTTGATTTGTGATTCTCTGCCCCGCAGCCTGACCTCCTAAACTTCAAGAAGGGATGGATGTCAAAACTGGACGATTGTGGCGAGGTGAAATACCCCATAAGATGTACTGTACTTTGTTCTCCTGCAACTCTTTTCTCTCCACCTTCCCACCAAGTAGCACACTTCCATTTGATTCGCAAAGGTTCATGCAGGGGTGAGCATACTTTTGTGCTCAAGGGCCACATTTAATTTCACACACAGACAGATGGGCAAGGAGTTTTGCAGATGAGGTTGAAAAAGGAAAAAAAAAGTTAAAATCTATCTTGAAAATAGTTTATTTTGAATGCTCAGTGGGTCTGATTGAAGATAAGAGTTTGTTGTGTGTGTGTTCCTCGGGCCATACTTTATCTACCACTGACAGTAAAGATAATGGCATTAACAGCGCCGTGAAATTAGTGACATGCCAACAGTACTACAGTGTGGACTCCAAATGAAGTCAACAAAAAAGAAGCGGCGCAAAACACAATCCGGCGCTCTACTCACGAGAAGCAAATGACTGAATCCTGTCTGCCTTGGTTAGTTTTGTGTTTTTATCTTCCCTTCCTTGCAGCCGCTCTCTCGAGTCCAATCAGTGGACAGCAGTTTTGGGCTGCTCAGTCCCCCTTCAACTTTTCTGTTTTGAAGTCCGTATACGTTTCGGTTGCGTTGTCTGACATTTGATATCTCCTACATACAGTGGAAGAAGCATTGGTTTGTTTTGACCGATGCTGGACTGAAGTACTACAGAGACTCCAGTGCGGAGGAGGTGAGTTGAGTGGAGTCGCCTGTTTTCTCAAGCATAAATGAACATGAGTCATCAAAACAATAAAAGGCGCGTTGGAACATCAACTGAAAGGGCGCTTGGGTCTTCTGGGCAGAAAGATGACTCGGACGGGGAAATTGATCTGAAATCCTGCATCAAGGTGTCGGAGTTTGATGTGGAGAAGAATTATGGGTTTCAGATACAGGCAAGTATTTCACTGCTTGAACATTGATTGTTTTTCTTTCTTTTCCCATCTGATGAAAATGTGGCCACATCTTGGTATCTTTGAACATTTCATCTGTTCTTCTCCAGACACGCGAGGCGATGTTCACTCTTTCCGCCATGACAGCGGGAATCAGGAGGAACTGGATTGAGGTTTTAAAGAAATGCATCAGGCCCAGTACCTCACCAGACATCACACAGTAATTACTGCATTGTTCTTCATAGAAAGTCAAGTTATAGTTTTTCAGATTGTGGTCTGCCAGTTGCCCATCCCTGAGGCAGCTTCAGATTGTATCCTATCCTCTACCGCTAACTAACAAAATGATGCTAATGCAGAGAGAGATGAAATGATATGAAAATAAATGTAAGATCACGATGACGGTGACCAAAATAATCATGGGCATCAGTATCGTCACGCCGTTGCTAAAGTTAATGCAAACAAGAGTTGAAGGACTTTTATTCTTTTTTTTGTTACCTTAAAATTGATCCTTTTTCTGTTGTTGTTTGTTTCAAATATTCTCCAGACTGCCTGATAGCAGTAGTGACAAGGAAAACTCCCACTCCCGCCTTCAAGCGCCTTCCCGGCGACCATCATCACGGCACGCTGACGTGTCCTTGGAAGTTCCTGCCTCTCCGCGCAGGTTTGACTACGTCGAGCTTTCGCCCGTTTCTGCTTCGTCCAGCCACGTGCAGGCCAGTCAGCGAGAGATCGGGGAGGGCCACCACAAGGCGCACAGCCAATGGCAGGAGGACAAAACACGGGACGCCACGAGCGGCCAGTGGGAGGCTGTGCTCTCTCGGAAGGGCACTGGCGGAGGAGTCGATCAAAAGCTGCGCGTGGAGGATGAGATTGAGAAAAAGTGGGCGGAGTTTGAGCGGATGCCTTTAAAAGAGAAACCAACAGTGGGGTCACGGCCTTCCAGCCAGTCAGCCAATGAGGCGCTGCAGAGGGAGGTAGTGTGTGGACAGGTTTTTTTTTTTTAATTTGCAAACAAAATTCAGATGCAAATTAACCTTCATCTCTTTTGTTAGATGAAGTCTTGTTCCCCTTTCCGCCTTTTAATGCTTCAAACTTCACTTCCTTCTGGCTTGCGTTTGCTTTAGCTGTTTTCCTCTAAGCTCAAAATTTCTAGAGAGATAGGATGATGTCAAAAAAATTAATTGGACTTGAGGAATGCGGCTAAATCTTCTGTGCTTCTGTGTGTTCTTTTTTTTTTTTTAATACAAAAGCTGTTCCAAATTTGTATTGTCAAAAGGTTGTTGGATTGAAAAAGATCCTCCCTCGCCGTTTAGAAATGCGACGGTCATGGTTAGACTGAGTTCAGCGCTCTCAGTGGGCTTTACTTCCGTCTTTGTCTCTCTTCAGGTGGCGTCACTGAGGCAACAGCTTGAACAACTACAACAGGGGGGAGGAAGGGGAGGGGGCGGAGGGGTGCCGGGTGGCTGTGGGCCTGACGGTCCGTGCAGCCGCAGTCTGACTGCCATGGACCAGGCTCATCGACAAGCGATGGCGGAGCTGCAGAGGCAGCACGACCGCCAGATGGCAGAGTTAGAAACCGAGAAAAACAGGCTGCTGCTGGAGGAGATTCAAGATACGTCACGAGGTCAGCTTGACTACATTTTTGTAGTGTATAATTAAAACAAAAAAAAGGGATGACTCGTACGAAAAAATTGAAAGTGGTGAATTGCATGTGAATTGTTTTGTTTCGTCCGCGCAAATACAGTATCAATGCACACTGGAAGCAAATGGGAAGTGACTTTGCTGCTCTTATTTCCCCAGCCACACTATCCTATGCACCACTTTTGACTCAGAAGTTTGCACACTTTTGATTTAGGGACTCATTACCGGGGGTCCATTTTTTTTCCCAGGATCGCCCGGGGGTCCCAGGAACCCAGTTCGAGATTCACATTGCATAAACAACCTGACCACCGCAAACGCACCTTATTTGGAAGAAGACGTGGTGCCTCTCGCTTCTAAGAATGTCATGTTTTTCTTTCAGTAATGGAGGCGGTCAAGAAGAAACACAAAGAGGAGCTGGAGAGAGAGGTGGAGAAGGTCAACAGACTAAGCAGCGGATCGCTTGATCCACAGAGCTTGCGCATCCAACAACAGTAAGAGATTTTTGTCCGTGTGACATGAATTGATTGATGGGGAACGCATTGATTCAGTCTGAGCTTGTCCAATATTGAGACGCCGTTCACAGTTCTTTGTCTGAAGAAAAAAAAAAAAAAGATCACCACAGTGGCCACCAAAGAATTTGGCTGTAGATCGGCATTTCTTTTAAAAGCTTCACGCAGTCGCTGCAATGCTTTTCCTGCGGTGGTTTCAGGAAGTGTCGTCACATCAAGGTTCATTAAAACATGAAGTGACGGTTTTTCATTTGTCATTCTTTCATTATTTTTTTTTTCCCTCTTTCTGTTCCTTCTCCCGAGGTGAATGGACAGCATTGCACTGAGGTACCATAAAGTTGTGCTCATTTCCACGTGTCTGCAGGGCAGAGAGTCAGGCCTTGCAGAGAGAACTCGGCGGACTGTCGGAGCGCTACTCTCAGAAATGTCTGGAGCTGAACCGAGCTGAACAGAACAACGCCGAAAGGGAGCGAGAACTCAGTCGAAAGGAGCGAGACCTTGAGCAGCTCAGGAAAGAGAACAAAGTACGTTTTCTGACTAAAATGCACAAATAGACAGAAATTTGGATCACGGCAGAAAAGTTGTCATACGTGTTTTCAGTTTGTCCAGTAACAAAGGAAAAGGTACTTCATGGCAATTAATTTTGAAGAAATCTTCTTTCCAGAGTTTACAGGACCGTTTGGCGGAGGAGCTCATCCGCATACGATGTACCAACTCAGATCTGGGTTCAAAAGACAACAAAAAAGCAACATCTTGTGAACTCGAGGTGAGGACACACTATTTTCAACTCAACACTTCAAAGTACATAAGGAGGAAGTCCTTTCATTTGCGGAGGCGGCATTTGTATATTCGCACCGTGAGTTTGCCTGCTGCAAGTGTGTGGGAGTGAGGTTGCTACACCACCTCGGTCTTTTGTAAGCGGATTGTTGTGATCCGCAAGAACGCCGCACAATGTGCAAGTCAGACATCACTCCTCACTCTCTCCTTCATTCGCTGCTGTAAAATATTTTTAGAATCCATGTCAATACCCCAAAGTCGGCATTGGCGGAATAACCTGACATCTAAAGATGACATAATTTGTGCCATCCTGTTTGAGATGTGTGATGACCTTACCGAAGGAAATGAAAACCAACCACACTGTTGTTTCTCTTCCAGGTACTTCTCAGGGTAAAAGAAAAAGAGATTGAGTACTTATATAAGGAGATCAGCTGTCTAAGGAATGAACTGCAGTTCCTCAACACGGTACAGTATGTGTGTGATGACATCATTCAACTTGGTTAAGCAGGCGCTGGGTCGCATAGTCCATGCTGTTGGATGAATGGTTTCCCTGATCTTTCCTCTGGCCCAATCTTTTAATTCCCAACCGCCTGCGTTGTGTGGACCTTCTGTGAAGCGTGTGAAAGTTTGTAAAAAATGTGTTCAGGGCTCAAAAGCAACACTGAATGCGAATGGCGAACCAGGAAAATGTGAGGGCTCGTTGACCTCGGGGATGTGATGATGCAACAGTATTTTAACACAAATGTCCATCATTCACACCAGGAGAAACGTCTGGCCAGCGAGCGATACGCGGAGGTCAATGAGGAGCTGAGTGGGATGAAAGGGCGCAGCGAGCGGGAGATCCAGAGTCTAAAGGAGCACTTGAGGCTGGCCATGGCCGCACTGCAGGAGGGCCAAAGGCTGGGCAACAGCATGGACCACTGAGAGCCTGCTTAGAGAAAGGTTTGAATTGATGCGTCTTATTAAGTGTATGTTTCTGTAAATGCACAACAGTGCGTGGATTATTTGACATTTTCATTCGGCTCTGGGCAGAAAATGTCTTCCAATTGTTATTCAATGCTAAATAAAAATTTGACGCGAGTCGGTCTGTTTGCTGTCTTGCAGGTGTGTCTGCTTCAATGTGACTGAATGAACACGAGATACAGAAAAGTAGAGAAAACGGTCAAACTTTGAGAGGGCGGGGCCACGATCGTGCCTGAAGTTTCAGTCGTTCCGCCAATCAGCAGCGAGGCCCAGCTGCAAACTGGCTTCATTACACTGGACTATGTGTGACATAAACTGCACTTTGCCATTCTTCCTGAAACTTCTGCCTCTAGCGAGTGAAAGAAAGCATGTATGAGTGTGCATTTTGTCTTAAAACTGGAATATTTGTCAACTGTTATATTGCTAATAGTTTCAGTTATTTCATGTTATTTTCAGCTTTTACTATGGATGAACCAATATATCCTTATGTGTCTGTTTTCGGCTTGAGGCCACCGGCTGACACAGAGCTACTGTCATCTCAGTTTTTTTTTGTTTTTTTTAATGCTGTACAGCATACTGTACTTTTAAATGAAAGGCTAGTTTTTTGTATTGTTGTAAACAGGAAACCTGAGCTTGGATTGTCTTTTATTTTTGTAAAGATGCTGGAAAAGAGTTGGGATTCATACAATAGAGCAAAACAAATTGTCACTCATGGTAGGCTGATTAGACATGAAAGAAATTGTCTCCAACCAAATTCAGCCTCAAATTCCTTTGTTTGGAAAAATTCAGGATTGCTTTATTGCCCCAAAACACCCCAATTTCTTTTCCTCTGCGTCTTCATCATTACTGGCCAAAAATAATTGACAGGTGTTGCATTAATGAGCCAAGTTGTTGACAAAGATGGGACTCAAATATGTTTTGATGAAATGACTCACCTACCTTTTAGAAAAAAAATATATTTAATATACTGTATTTACGGTATTTTGTAAATTATCCACTTTTTCCAATCAATAAAACGAGAAGCTCATGTCGTTCTCTCTGTAAATATGTCGCTGGCGCCTGTCCTCTAGAGGGCGCTATTCTTTTTGTATTACAACACCGACAAATAAGTCAGACGCGAAAGCTCGACGGCAGCAGTCATGGCGTCGACAGCTGCGACTCGCACTGCTGCCGGTGCGGCCAAAGTTGTGAAGCCCATTTTTAGCAGGGATTTGGACGAAGCGAAACGCAGAGTCCGGGAGCTTTACCGAGCCTGGTACCGAGAAGTCCCTAACACAGGTATGTCGCCCGACGCTGTCCGATTTCAAGGCTAAGGGTGTCAAGGTCGTGTCTGTGTTAGCGGCTAGCAGTTCGCCACTAAAACATTGAAGAGAATTTGTTCGTGTATTTTATAAACGTCATCACAGTATTGTTCATCTGACTATTATGAGTACGCCTGTACTGTCTCAACACTTTATATGTTATATATTGCGTTGCAATCTTCATTAATGTGCTTTAAAAAAAAAGATAATTCACTATGAAAGTAAAATATCAAACTATTACCTCATCTAAAGCAAACGAAGGGGTCATATAAATATTAACATTTAAATGTGTGTTTCCTATATTTCCTATTAAAACCCTTTAACCATCCCGTTTAGTTCACACAAAATTATATACAGTATGCGCACACACACTGTACCGGTGGGTTCGAGGTTTGCAATGTTGTGAGGGAGAGCTGTTCATACAGCTGATGAATGTGGTGGTCTATCACAAACCAATTGTAATCCAATAGCAAATAGATTACTTACAAAAATATATTTTCCGTAGGCCCACTAAAAGTACTTTTTGCACAACTCACAAGGAGCTGTACAATGAAATGAAATACCGGGTTCGAGCCAGAATTGGATCAAAGATGTAACAGTTACTATTGTGAGGCTCCAAACAAGATATTCTCTGATGGCAGTGGACACTGAGTTTAGAGCGTCAGCAGGTTACAATAAGAGACTGGAAGAATAACAGAAAGGCAATGAGGTAGAAGTCCTTGGAAATGATTGAAAGAAGATGATGCTGTGTCAGCATAGTTTCTCATCTGTATTTTTCCACAGTGGCGATGTTTCAGCTGGATATAACAACGCAACAGGGCCGAGACAAAGTGAGGGAGATGTTCAACAAAAACAAACATGTCACTGACCCCCGTGTGGTCGACATGTTGGTTATTAAGGTAACACGTTGGAGTTTATTTCGTGACCATATCGGATAGGCCTCACGTTAGGAATTGTTGTAGTTATTTCCTATCTGCATTTAATGTCACCTGCAGGGGAAAATGGAACTCCAGGAGACCATCCACGTATGGAAACAGAAGACACACATTATGCGTTACTTCCATGAGTCTGAGGAACCACGCCCTGCTGATTTCCTGTCTAAATTTTACCGGGGTCACGAACCCTGAATTCCAACTTGGCTTGCGCCCCCTTTTTTTTTTTTTTTTTTTGCTTGCCTATTGTGACAGATGTTTCCTTTCATTGTAAATACACACGAAACATTCACAGGCTCTTGTTTGTGTCTGTTATTAACGAGCAAACAAGCTTTTGTCGGGATTGCTATTAGAGGGGCTATTGAACAGAAATACCCTACCTTGATATTCTTATCCCAAATGCAAACATCATGGGCAGCCATTTGTCTCATTGTAGTATTGTTTCTCATGATGACATACAAAAATAGAGCACATTATCAAAACCTTTACTACAGCATGCGAAGACAAAACATTGCTAGAGGATTTTATCAGGCTCAATGACAGTTAAAAAAAAAATCCTGATGAGAGCGCAAGAACTCCTGGGTGAGTGGTGACTTGTAGCCGCAGATGTATCAAAAAAAAAATCTGTCAAGAAAAGGAAAAATATTCAAGTATTAACAAATGAATGAATTGGTCTGTGCAAAACAAGGCAGTATAAGATGAACTACAGATGAACTTTGACCTCTAAAATTTCAACTTCACAGATCCAGCTCTTTGGTTCAGTAGCCTACCTTTTGACCAAATAATTGTTTTCTAACAAGGAGCTGAATGGCAAAATTCAGTTGTAGTTCTTCCACCCGGACGTCGACTAATACGCCTTTCTCGGCGTCTTCCAGTATGTCTCTATGAGTTGCACACTGCAATTGTTTGTCATCTCTTGTTCTAATTTGAACAGCATGATTAAGAGGAGTGTTTAAATATCGATTCATAGTGAATAAGGAAATGGACTTGGCCCTTTATGGATCTAATATTTGTTGTGAATTTGTGTTCAGCTTCTTGTTAAAGAAAATAAAGATGTATTTAAAACTGTACTGAAACTTTGAACAGTTGGACATTTAAATGTTTAGAGGTCGAAATAAGGAGTACATTTTAGGTTCATCTGAAATACGAGTAGTTTATTCAGTTGCTGACTGGTGTTCGTGCACGTAACTGAAAACATTGCTTTAGTTTTTATATTTACGGAATGCCATTGAACGCAGCACAAACCTGGCCCCGATGATTTTGTTCTTGATTGGCTCGCGGCGCTCATCAGTCGTCGTCATCGTCGTCCTCGGGTACAAAGATGTCGTGTTCCTCCAGAAGCTCAGCGAAGTTCTTGCTGATCCGAGTCCCCACATACAAGAAGGGCACCACTACCGCCGCGATCCGCCAAAGGCCGAAGGGAGTCTGTTTCCCCAGTGTCCCGCACCCCACCATAGAAACAACTCGGTTGGTTAACGTCAGTAGAGATTAAAATGAAAAAACAAGCAAAAAAAAAAAAAAGGTTCCTCCGTGGCTGTGCCAGTCTTCAACGGTGAAATCTCAAGTACCAGAAGTGATTCGTCCTATTGAGTGCACGCTGTGCTTTACTCGGCTCGTATGAACACTCACCTTCTTGGGTTTGGGTAGAATGGCCCCGGAGGAGGAGCACACAGCCGTCCGACATGCTGTCGCGGTCTTTGCCGGCGAGGCGAAGACGTTTGTGACAGCCGAAACCCAGCCAAGTCGACTAAGGGCTGACGCCATGATAAGCAGCGTTTGGATGCGGCAAGACAGCAATGCGGAACCACGTTGAGGATGCGACGAAAACAGCGCCACCCAGCGCCAATATATTGGCACAGCAACGGTATGGACGCAAACACGACCAGTAACTAAAAGTCAGCTGTGGTTACATTGGGGAGACAAAATGGAAAGTGTATTCAATTAATTTAAGTTAAAGAAACAAAACATCCGTATTGTGGAAATTTTTCATTTTTGTAGTACCGGAAGTTGCAACTTACACATAACATACTGTACTCTTGAGCAGCCAAGTGAGGAAAAAAAACAGCAGTTAATACAAACAGTATAACACACAATACATCAACCCAATAAATACTGTACAGAAATCGATATTTACACACACAACAACTACAAAATTACCATGTGATCACTTGAAGGGATTCTATTCGTGATTCATTGTGATCTGAGAATATGCAACACTGGCCATGTAAGATTTACAACCATAAAGTACCACATTTATACTTTTTTCCCTTAAAACAATGTGCGGTGTTCAAGTCCAAACAATTGATCTTTCACTAAAATCTTAAAAACACTGTCGTTTAAATAAATACAAGTTTTGAGTCAACATGATATAAATAACATGACGAAAAACACTTCACATTTAATGAACTGAAATGAAGTGCTAATTAAATAGACAAACGGGCGTAATGTAAACAGGTCTAAATGAATCTCTCCTCAGTGCAGTTCTCCAGTTGTACCCCTTCTTGTGACACAGCATGGTGGAAAAGCGTCCCGTTACTAAAAAAAATAATAAAAATCATGAGTAGTGATGCACATTGTATGACCATCCTGCATGATGTTGAATGTGTGGTCATGCTGTATATACTCATGAAGGTCAAATAAAACAGTTCATGACTGTGCTAGGAAAGGACCCCCCCGAGCCACCGGCCCCGTCACCTGATGTTTGAAGAACAGGTGTCTGTAGAACTTGTCAAGCTCAAACACGTCTGGTTTCAGAGCTGTCCCAGAATTGCTGCTCTGGCCTAATCTGACCACTTGTCCTTGAGCGATGGCTGCCCGGAGCCGAATGCTCTTCACGATCCGAGCGGCGGCCTTCGAGTCGGGTGTCGGCCGCGAGGATACGGTGATGTAAGATGCGTCTTTCTGGCGCTCCTCATAACTCACTGGCACAAAGGATGGAGGAGAACATCCAATGAACAGAGTCATTGGACATGCTGGGTAGAATATCGGGGGTTCTTGCATTTTTTTCTGATAAACGTATTCTCTGACTTCTACCTGTAGCAGCCACTGCGGTATCAGTGGTCGTGGCGAGCTGCATCAGGATCGAGGGATAGGCAGGATGCAACAGGAACAGCTTTCTGATGACCGGCTCTGCTGCCACAACAGCCGGGGGGGCCACCTGTGTGTTCAAGGTACATTTATTCACGAAATAGATATCCTTGATGAGAATGCTGTTCTTTCAGATGATAAACCTCCCTTTTGATTGACACATTCAGATAAGTATTGAGTCAACAAAAGGTTGATTACGGCTGATATCGTTTGAAGTGAAGTTGCATTGCGCCTCATCATACTCTGGTGTATGTATATTCTCATGCGGCTAAATCAAGTGAGATTAGAAACAACCAATGTTGAGGACGCTTGCTCTCTTGGCAGACTCACAGTTGCCTTGGTGATATTCTTCTGCGCACCGATTGGCTCGCTGGCCCAGAAGACAAAAGCCGAGAGGCCGGTCGAAGTGGAGACGGCTGCCGTTTCCAAAACAAGACGGGGGCACACAAACTGCGCCGTCCAGAGAGGACGGCCATTTGCACCATCAATCACCTGCGCCTACGTCAAGAAAGAAATTAGGTCAACAACCATGCAGGCGTCAACCGAAAAAATACCTGATTGCTTTAAAAGCTTAAAATAAAACCTCGCATTACCTTCATAATGCCATTTGCCGAGTGCTGGAAGAAAAGATCGAGGATTCCGTCCTCATTAAAATGTCCTGGAGTTGGCTGGCTGTGACACACAAGGGCATGTTTCACAGACACGTCACTCCAAATTCATTCTGTTCCAACACGGCTCGATACGGACCTGTGGATGGGGGCGGAGTTAAAGGTCCACCGTTTGCGGACATCCCTCTGGCCTAGCACAGAGATCTTGCTGAAGCCGTACACCAACACCCAGTCACTCTTGCTGGTGTTCAGGTTGGAGACTGTGTCCAGGTTGTTGTGGTAGGTGCCAAAACCGGCCACCAGGGGCAGCAAGAACTCCACGCTTTCAGATCCTCTAAACACGCACAAAAACAAAAACAAAAAACAATCAGCACGCATTTAATTTGCAAAAGGGAGCCAGTCAACATACAAGAGGCTCTTTGCTATGTCATGCTGCAATGCTGCTGCTCAGGCCAACCTGAAAATGTGTATGAAGGAGGAGGAGTTGGTTTTCTTCAGTCCCTCCCACCCGGGATCCTTCCGTCTCAACGCGGGAATCACCGGTAACTTGCTGTTTGCACGGACGTACATATCCCGCAGTGAGATGGCCACAACGTTACCTCGGAAGACAGACCGATTGTAGAGATGAAATAAGTGTCAAGCCATCTACTCGTTGCGTAATTATACTTATGTGTCCGGAATCTTGAACAACGAGCTGAGATTCTGCGGTTACCTAGGCCGAACACGATGTAGTGTGCCCCCTGTTGCGTCTCATGCAGAAGAGGCCCGATCAGTTTCCCTTGTCCGGTGAGGTTGAACGACACCGACTGTCCCAGTTTCGCTCCAGTCAGCCCGGAAATTAAAGTGAGGGAGAGATCCAGAGCCTGAAAGTGACCGCGGACGTGCGTGGTGAGTGAAACGCCAAACAGCTCGGAGACATGAGAGTTTGGCTGCGTCACTTGGCGCGGGGCTTGTTGAAAATCTCACGCGCATCGTGCCTACTGTGTCTGTTTATGTGCGGACAGGAAGCCAAGTGGGAAGTGGCTGCACCTCATCGGCGGGCAGGGTGGCTACCAGCAGATCTGGGACCGAGTCTCCCTGGACGTCTGGGAGTAACACCGCCTGGGATTCGATGTTCCTCAGCAGCGTGGACCACAAGTTCTTCCCTGTGAAGTCAAATGAAAACTCTTTGACGTCGGCCATCGTGCTTCTGTTCGACACATACAAGATGTGGGATGCTTCCATAACAGTAAGTGGGGGTGGAAGAAAATCTGGAGTTCTACTGTGTTTCCATAATAACTCTTTTGGCAAGACTGTCTTCTCAGACGATGGAGGGCGTCTGTCAGTATTTGTGAGCTCGGATCAGAATCTCTGTTGTGGTCCATCCGAAGGTGCTTGCGTGCTCAACCGTGACGTGAATGTGAAAACCAAATTGTGCTTCTCTCACCCGACGTTCCATTCACAGCCATGATGCTCGACTTCCCGATGAGGAGACATACGGGTAATGGCTTGGTGTTGAGCTGCAGGCCACACTGGATGTACAAGACTGACTCCCGCATGACTTTCCTCCATAGCAGTTGCCCACTCGCACCAGAGAGGGCGACGGCGCTGTAAACTGGGAGCGCAACGGTACAAGTCATCCGAGCGGAGGCGACGCGTGCGCGTCAAGAGGTCAGAAAGTATCAAAAGTCGGCCTACTTTTGTTTCCTTGTGTGGGATGCGTGTCATTGGTCCACTCGGTGACGCTGAGCAGCACATCATCCACCGAATCGCCGTCGACATCCCATAATGCCAGCGCGGGCGGCGTGACACCTAGATGGAGCAAATGATTCACGTAGCAATGACATCATCCGATGTATTTGGTGCAAATTAGAAAATCCCCAAGGAGGAATATTCATTTCAATTGACATCGTCTTATTGAAGGGCCGATGCTTTTTGCGAGCACACATAAATATGCAAGATACGAACAACCATCCGCGCTCACACCGATGGACGATTTTGAGTGTTCCATGAACCTGCCATACAGACGTGAGGCCATCGGCATTTGACTGCTTAAGGCTTTGCAGTTTTTGGAAGCATAACACTTCCTGGCCCATTGCTCGCCAATTGAAGCCGTGATGCCAAAATTGCCACGCGATGGCCTTCACGTCTGTCCAAAACGATAGCTGCAACCAAATAGAAAACAAAAAAAAAGTACGTGGTGGCTTTTGGACAGCCTGGATATACAAATACAGCAATTCTGGTTTTGTTACCTCCAGCATCCCCGAGTGCTCTCTCCCATTTTGGCCTCTTTGCCAGTGCTCCTTTCTGACAGGGAATGAGGAAAGCGCAAAGAAGCACGAGAAGCATGGCGCAGACGAGAGGCACCAGGAAAAAAGATGCCCGCACGGCGTTCTTCCTCCTCAGCCTCTTCTCTTCCTCTTCAGTCCCGTGAATCCTCAGTCCAGATCCGCCACACTGCTCCCTGTCCTCCCCGGACGGGCTCCAGTACGGCCCGCCTTTCACATCATCTCTGTCCTGCTGGCATTTGCTGGGGAGTCGCTCTCTCCAGTCGTCGTCATCCTCCTGCGCCGAATCTCCGGCCGCCACCAGTCTTCCGACTCGACCACCCCGCAGCTTTGTGGAGCCGCCGCCGTGGTAGGTGTCCCGGCCCAGACCGTTGCGGGGGTAGTTGAGTACCAGGTCATCCTCTTCGCTCTCGTCCTCGCTGTCTGCTTGGGTGAGTGGGTCGTACTCACCCAGCTCCGAGCCCTTTTTCCCTGCACGCACGCACACACACACACACGTCTTGAAGCTTGAGTTTGTCAAATGCGCCATTATGTCAAAATGTCGACATCATGATACAGACCGACGGAATAAACAGACATGCATTGAGACTGGAGTGAATCAAGCGATTTACTTGACAGCAAACAGAGCGTTAAGTAGCCAACGCAATACGTTGGGGAAAGGAACAGAAACCCGAATGGCGAAAATCGGTGAGTCATTGACACTCCCGCAACACTGATGCCACAAGAGAGCAGCAGATATTACATGTATTTATGAGAAATATGAACATTCTAAAATATCCAACATTTAATAATGTCATAATTATCAGAAAAAAAACGTTGATGACTTTTTTAACATCCATTCATTTTCAACCCGGTTTATCCTGAAGAGGTTCGCAGACAAGAACTTGAACTGGTCGCGAGCCAGTCGCAGGGAACATAATCGCGAAAAACAACCATTCACACCCAAACCGTCACTGCGTGGGAACCGATCTCGTGCTGCCTGCATACAAGTCACGGGAGTGTACCGCTACACCATCAGGGACACCTTCGTAACAAACTAACTTAAATTACCATCGAAAGAATATTTAATTTCAATCTAAGATGCTACACAACCGTAACTTTACACGATGTACTTCAGTCTGTCCTGTCCTTTGCACATGGTTGGCGAATGCATTTTTTTGTTTGTTTATTTTTCAGGTTTTTATTTGTTTGTTTGTGTAGCTCGATAATAAATTGGAGATCTATATTTCGGGGATTATTATAGGAAGTCGGTAAAATGGATCAAGGATTTTTTTTTAATGTTACATAATTTGAAGGTAACAAGAAGGTGAAGATGCGCTCTCGGGTCAATGTGACAATGGGCTCTGAGGGGGTAACTTTAGCTAGCAGACTGCTAGCAGATAGCAGAGATGCTTACACAAGAAAATTAGCGAGCACTTTCTGAATTACATGCACGCGTCGCCCTCGTTAAGCGCAGTGTACGGCCGTTATAAATGATGTCCTGAAACACTCACCACGCGCCGGAAGGATGCTAATGAAGTGGCGCGTAAAATGACCGATTTGCACGTCAGATGCGACAGATTCCGTGGTGTTCTCGGCAATGATGCTGATTATATAGAGCGCTGGACGTCACTACCTCGTGTTTATAGTTGAGATCACGGTGTTTGCATCTTACCCGGTAGTTTGAGGGCACGGGACAAGACTGCTGCCATTTCTCTTGGAGCGGATCTGCAGTACAGCGGGGATGAGCTGTTGGAAACTGGAGGGGGGACCGATTCACCCCGCTGCGCTTGAAGCTGTGCTTTTTGAGTTGCATCATGGGAGTTGTAGTTTGGCCTCTCCATTGTTTGAAGTCAATTGACAGGTCAGGTCTGTTTATAATGGACGAATGCTACCCTCTGTTGGTGATGTTTCATAACATCACCCTACTAAAATAATTATTGTAAAGTGTCGGACGATAATCTAACATGTTTGATATACAAGTACATCAGGTTAAGTTTATGACGTCATTTTACACGGCCAAGTTCGTTTTAATTTTTTTACTTTTTGACTTGTTTTCCAGCAGCTAATCGAAAGAATAAATGGATGTACACGTCGCAGAAGATTTGATGACATTTTTAAATATCATATGACGTTTTTTTCTTCCTGATAAATATGTTACCATATAGCTGGCAAGCGAAAATAAAGACATCACATCAGTGGCACACTGCATCATGTGCTGCTTTGTTAGAACATTTTACTAAGTGGTAATTATTATTTTTCTACCGGAGAGGGGATAGGGAAGATCCAAGTCCTGCAAAGCATCTCGCAAAGTAGGCAAGTCACTTCAGCGGGCGGACCTTTCCCCTTTCAAAAATTTTTCTCGTGAATTTTACGAGGACACGGGCGTCACCCCGCGTCGTTATTTTCCTTACTCATCAGTTTAAGGCATGACGATCAGTTTGCGTGAACTTGTATATATACACGGTGACTATATTTGCTCAGTCAGAGTTGCAATAATGGTCAATATGGCGTGCTGCATCAAAATGTTCTGCAATCTTTTTTTCAACGGTTGATGTTAAACACAACACATTGAGTTAATTATCTGCGTTTGATAACAGCATGTTTACAGTTAATTTAGTTATAAATTGCTTGTTTAGGTCGAATTCGCTGATGATATGCGCAAAGGCTCATGGGAAGCAAGACAGAGCTTCGATTCAAGAACAATCGATGGTAAATACGCTTATATATATGAAACGCGTTTCTGGGTTGTATTTTTTTTTTGTGTATATATTACGCGAAAGTATTCATTATCATTTTAATGGAATATACGTGTACGGTTTGATATACAAGTACCAGAGTTAATTTCAGATAAAAAAAACGCTTTTTGAACCAAAAGAGCGTCCGTAACCGTGTCAACTGTGTATGCGCAGTTTAATGCAGAGTGGCAAAATGGCGGACGTGTCTTTGGATGAAGTGATACGACAACGCGGAATAAACGTTAAGATGCCAGTGAAACGGTAACAAGACTTCTAAATTACTTTTCACCTGGTTAATGGTTGGTAGTTTTAGACACTTCTTTGGCAGTAAAACTGATAACACATGACCGAGGCGTATTTGTGAGCTTGCTGTGCAATCGTGAACTCGTGAGCGCATCTCGAGTTAGCATTAGCTCGATGTTAGCCCATTCGCATTCGAATTCTGTTTTCATTTAGTTGGGAATGCAATTCGTTTAGATTTCAGCCAGCCAATGATTATTGTTGATACTAATATTTGATAAATTGCGTTAATTATAAAACTGATTTTGATCGTGTGACCCAGTCGTGCGCCTGATAATTTAGCAGACTGGCTAATTTTAACAGCTACGAATTTAGCGTGTGGTCTCGTCGAAATACAACATGTTATTTGAGAAAATCTGTCAATCGATTTGCTCCATTAAGTAACGCTCTGTTTAATACAGACCTGCACAGGGAATAACGGCACTATTTCGTGTGCATGAAACTAACTTGGTACGGTTGAATATCAAGGTTTCGTCATTTTTATTTGACCACGCAACGTAGTCATACTAGTTACTGTGGTTTGATTAATAATCTAAAGGTAAATGCAGCATTTGTTTGATATTGCCAATATACTAATCTATTGTATTGCATTTCTGACCACAGAACCATGTTTGGACGGGGTGCAGGAGGGGTTGGCAGGACTTTTGATGCCCGTCAAAGGATTGGCATTACTGATGCTCGGCAACGACTTGGAGGAGGAGCGGGTAAGAATTAATGTTACAGGAGTATTCACTTTTCAAAATTGAGTGTTAACATTTTCTTGACCATTCTTTAGCAAGGTGGAGTTAGTATGGGGATCCATATATGAGGTATGGAAGTAAAAATCCAGGAATGGAGTCACAATAGATTTACTTCAAATTGAAACTACAAGCACTATTACGAGTTTTCCCCTGAGAAAGTAATCTCCATGGAATCTCCAACACGCTTTCTCCGCCTTCTCCACATCTTCATTTCGGAGCTGAAACAAGAATCAGTAGTAACCGGAACCAGACGAATTCAAACATTGCCCAACCCTAGTCCCGGATGTCTGTGTGAGTCCCGCTCTGCATTTAGTGACATCACGGCCTGTGTTTTGTCCGTTTTTTGACAGGTTTCCCATTGAAAGATGCGAGAGAAAAGCTGATTCAGAAAGATGCTCGCTTTAAAATCCGTGGCAGGGGTGGAGCAGCATCAGGAGGGGGAGTCCAGGATGCTCGTCAGATGATCAACTCCCGTAAACAGCAGCAGAATGTGTTCACTGTGCCTATACAGACCATCCAAAAGACAGCAGTGACACACCAACTGCAGAGCCATTCACTTGTGCCACAGATAAAGATCCAAGCTAACAACAACTTTGCAGGTGCGAACGCGAGGCTGTTTGCCCAAAACGTGCAAGGGCTGAGTGGGAGGGATGGCACAATCAGCCATCTTAACAAGGGAATGACAGACGCTCGTGATAGGCTGAGCCTTAAGAGGAGCATGAGTAGTGGGCTACAAAGCCAGGTATCTACTCTATTGCCTCTAAAAATTACCAAGACCATCCAGGTGAGGAGAAAAGTCTTGGTCTATATTGCACGCCATATGTTGTCCTGTAGAGTTTTACCAGCAAATTTAAATCCATTGTCCAACCTTCATTTTACAGCAACGCCCAGTTGGGGTACTTGGTGGGATGCGTCTTCACTCACAGGTATTTTTTTTTTTTTTTAATCTCTTGGTATGTTTCACCATGAATATTTTCGGATCACACAAATTTTTTTTCTGACTGTAGTGTAAAAGAAAAGAAAAAAATAGCTGTAATTTGTCCCCACAGCCTGTCTCGAACGATCATGATTGCCCTCCAAGTAAACAAATCAAGATCACTACTTCGAACAATTTGCTACAATCACGGGTAAGAGTTTAGATTCCATCAAAACACACTTTTTCTTATTACCTCTCACACACATTTAAGCTTTTCTCTTTTGCCCATTGAACAGGATGGTCCAGTGGGCTCCCCATTTTCTATGTCGGCCCCAATAACCAAGGTCGTTAAAAATGATGCTTACTCAGCCCCTCGTCCCCCTGTCCCTGTTGCGCCCGCCCGGCCCACCACGAGCACAGCAGCCCCTCGGCCTCCCGCTGCAGCATTGAAGTCTGTTTCTAGGACTCTGCAGCACAGCTCGGCTCAACACAGCCCAGCGCCTCCTCCCCCAAAGGTAAACAACCTTATTTGCGTCTTGTTCCTTGTAGAAGCAGAGTACTTTTATGTCGCAGCATCTGGTTTTCAGAGCCTTGATGCACGATCTCAGGCCGACTCAGAAAATATAGGACCTTTTTTCTCAGCCGCCATTGAAGTTTCATGTACAGATGACCAGCAAAACTTGACAAATGTAAAGTGCATGCTAAGAGAGTAGCTCTTGGCTTTACCGATTCACAAACTGATGTGCAAATGTAGGTTTTAAGATATGCACGTTTCATCTCTCTCTTTTTTTTTTTTTAGCCTGTTACCAGCCCTTTGGAAGGAACAAAAATAACAGTGAATAACTTGCATCCCCGTGTCACCGAGGAAGATATAGTGGTAAGTAAATCATAGAGGTTAACACCAAGCTTGTGTTTACACACGTGTGTCGTTTCATCGCGTGACTCAACACTCTTTATCGGATATGGCATTTAAAATGCACACGTATGAACCAGAAATCAGAATTGTGAAAACGGACGTACATCAACCCCATCTAAGCCTTGTGTTTCATATTCAGTAAATCCTGTTGTACCCGAGGTGACTCATTGTGTACTTTGGCCCTTCCACATCCATTTGTGCACAGGAGCTGTTCTGCGTGTGCGGTGCCTTGAAGCGAGCGCGCCTGGTGAAGGTGGGCGTCGCTGAAGTGGTGTTTGTCCGCAAAGAGGATGCCGTCAGCGCATATAGGAAGTACAACAACCGCTGCCTTGATGGTGAGTGTTGAGAAGCAAACAAGCCCGTCAAATTGGGCCAATGCTTGAAGATTTTCTTGCAATCTGCTCATTTCGGGATGGCGGTATACATGTGCTGTATTAAAGAAAGCCAAACATTTACTTTAATGCTGTTTTTGTGCCCCTCGTTCACGTACAGGTCAGCCCATGAAGTGCAACATTCACATTCAGGGAAATGTCATCACTTCTGATCAGCCTATTCTCTTGTGAGTTGAACGGGCTTTCTTCTTTATTTATTTACATGATGTGGTTCAGTTTCATCCCTCCTGACTCGGGCCGAACGATTTTGATTACTTTTCAAAATCCAATCTAATTTCTTTAACAGGGGTTTCAAACTATTCTTTAATTGGTCCTCATATTATGGCAAGCCAAGGTGATTTCGACTGGCTAGGATGTTAGATACCGACTATCGTTGCTGCATAGGTTGGGAAGTTTGGAAAAATGACATGAAATGACCCCCCCCTCCTTCTTCCAGGCGGCTCAGCGACACCCCGAATGCAGGAAGTGTGGCCAAGAAAGATGGCCTTCCTCCGTCTTTGTCACGTTCTGGAAGCCAGCGAACTTCCCAGCCGACCCCTGAGGTGGACCCCCAGACGATCCTGAAAGCTCTCTTTAAGTCCACTGCGCAGTCCTCCTCAACCACCGAGCCCCCAAGCTCACAGGCCACTGCCTTCCGCATCAAAATATAGCTCGTCGCTCGTACCTGTTCTTGAACATACCGATGCGTCCTCAGTGATTTTCTTCTGGACAGCAGCCACACCACACGTAGAAAAGTGATTTGTACACATTCAGCATTCATAACTACTCAGTTATATGCAGCGTCCCGTTTTTGATTGGTCTGCTGGATGTCCGATGTACTCCCAGGATTGACCAGTTGAAGCAAATGACATTTCCCCCCCACAGCCAATCAATTTGGTTATTGCTTGTAATACTACAAATGTTTAATCCTCACATACAGTTGTGTTTGATTTATGATCATACTATTGTTTTTGAGCTGTGTCTGTGTGCTCAGTTCATAGGGGTACTTCAGAAAATACACATCTGACCTATTTTATTACGTAAGATAGATCGCCTTCCTGACTGTATTCCTGATGAGGGGACTTTTAGACAGTTAAATAAAATAACCAGAGAGATGGTCCAAGACTAGTCCAAAGTTTATTTTGTATGTAAACCAGTTTAACCCAATCATTTTTTTGTTGTTGTTTTGGATTGTGTGACATTCATCCATTTTGATAACTGACTGGCTTTAATTTCTCGTTCCCTTGATTATGTTATTCGTGTTTTATACTGTAAATGACCTTGGTCTTTTGCGTAGTCGGTTTCAAAAAGCACGAGAGGTCAGTTCTTGTCCTTAAAATGTCATTAAAAAAAGTAGCTTTGTAGAGGTTGTCGAGACTTGTTTATTTCCCAATTTTAGATGGTTTCGCCAGATTACGCCCGTTTTATTTCAAAGTAAAATGGTGCGAGGTAACACTCATCTTTGCAGGCTAGGGGAAAGAAAGAAAAGAAAAAACATTGTGATCGTGGGAATGTAATGGATGGACTCCAAACGATATGCTATGTGCACCTGTAGGGTGATACCAGCATATCTTCCCGCAATCACTACACATCACTTTGTGTTCCGTGAAGTTATTTTGAATAAATAAATTAATGTGATAGTAAATAACGTTACAGTCCACTGTTCCTGGTCGGAGGTCGAAAAATTTCGACTTCCCACCGTCATCGAATGCGGCAGTAGGAACATAACATCGTATCTACTGAAAAAGGCAGCCTCTTCGAAACGCAATTGTACTACAGACGCGATGAACCTAAACACGTGTATTAATTTATCGGTCAGTTCATCATTGAATTCATGGGATTTTTTAGTGCAAATAAGTCGCAAATAATACCGCCCCCTTACAAATTAAATTGCGTAGAGGAACACCATGTGATCCAGTTTGGTTTTACTTCCCGTGTGAAAGGTCACAACAAGATGGCTCCGTCCGGGTGCAGCCATGCCAACAACAAGGCTTGTGTTATTCCTGGAGGATTTACAGGTATTTAAATAATACTGGTATAGTTTAGCTTGTGGGATCCGTAAATTACCAACAAATGAAAGTATTTTTGTCACGTAATAGATAAATTTAATATCTGAGGTCCTTCTTTTTCATCCAACGTGGGTACTCGCCCGTGGCGACGGCCCCTTTGTCGAAATACGTTTTGACTGTTGTCGTATGTGTTTGTCGCTTTTCTTCCCCTCAGCGTTGTCCTTGAAGTTTAACTCGGACACGAACTCTGAACACAAGATGTATGTGAAGGAGCACAAAGTTCGGGCGGAGAAAAGTTCCCACCGACCGCTCGACAGGACGTTGTTTGTTCTCAACATACCACCATACTGCTCAGAGGTATCAGTCGACACTGGAAGAGGCCCAGTCTTCCAATAATTGATTCGTGTATCCCAAAATACACAGAGAGTACCAGTTTACCCCCCAAATTCTGTGTGTGTGTCATTAAGGATGTCGTCAAGGAATTGTTCTCACAGTTTGGCACTGTTAGGTCCGTGGAGTTGAGTGACCACCCGGGCTCACTCCTCCAGTCTGGGCCTAAACTATCAAGATTCTTCAAACCGGCTGAAAAACAGGTCGACTTGCAGTGTTTCCGTTGAATCACCTGTGTACTATAATGTCATTCTCCCCATTTCATGCCTGTCCTCTCTTTATTCCTCTTCATTCAGGCTTTCAAGGTTGGTTACGTCGTGTTCGATCGCCCCTCCAGTATTGCAGCAGCAAAATCACACCCCCACAATTTGCCTTTGGTGGTCTGCTCAACAAAGCGTACGGTTCAGACTGGTGTACAAAGTGAGTCAAGTTTCAACATGAATGACTCCAGATTGAGTATTGTGTTGCGCTTTGAATTCTGTTTGTCTGACCTGTGTCTGGCTCGGTAGAATGGATTAAACAGTACAAAGACTCCTTTGTTCAGCCGGACACACTGCAAAATGTAGTCGATGAGTTCATGAAGAACTTTGACAAGATGAAAGAAGAAGTAAGTGCTATTCTGCTGCACATGAGGACCTCACTGTGTGAAGGTAACATATTTGTTTTCATTTTTACCAGGAAGAGGAACGCCTGAAGCAGGAGGAGGAGCAACAAAAAGAGGATGAGGAGGGCTGGGTCAAAGTCAGCAGGGGCAAGGCTCGTCCCCACAGCGAGGCTGCCAACCGAAAGACTCTGCAAAAAGAGATGAGGAAGAAAAAGAGGAAGGAGCTCTTGAACTTCTACTCTTGGCAGCATAAAAACACCCAGAAAGAACGTAAGTTGTTTTTTTTTAAAAAAAAATTATTATTAATCTGGGGGAGGATTTTAAGATCATAGTGATCTGCATCAAGGTTATTATAATTAATGAAACCTAACAGAAAAACATCAGAAGTCAAGTAAAAAAAAAAAAACATTACAATAAATTCTACGCACCCCTGGGCTCCCACTCATCCAAACACTGCATTTGACAAAATCCACGCATTAACCTTCATTGGCGGCGGCCAATCACAGCTGACTTGTTTTCTGGGTTTGGTCATGTGACATTTGCAAGCTGAGCCCTGAGGCACTGTGACGCCATTTTCAGTCCACAGTAAGTGGCAAAACGGTCATAACAAAAGAACTCTAAAGCTACTTAAAACCAAATCAACTGTCATAAAAACAAAAATTCCAAAACGATAACCCTGCTCTGCGCGTTGTTCTATTTTTGTTTTGAAAATGAGGTCATTGTTCAATTTTATTTTTTTTGTTTCAGATATTGCTGAACTCAGGAAAAAGTTTGAGGAGGACAAACAAAGAATAGCCCTCCTCAGGGCCCAAAGAAAGTTCAGACCATATTAAAGCAACAACCATTGTAAATGTACTCAGTTCACTGTATTGTTTCTCACTTAACAAACCTACATGTTGCCCTTTTTTTTTTACAAACTATTTTGCTCTTGTACACCAAATTCATTATCTACTTGATTTAAATCATATGATTTGAGTAATATTGGTATTGTTCGACTCAATATTTGAAAGTTTTTGTTTTCTGCCAGATCAATTTTTAGACCGATTGCATGATTTATATTCTCTGCTTTCATCATATGTTACCGCTCTCGGATGGCCCGAACCACTTTTGAAAAGTGATGCTGACCATGGAGAAATATTCGATTGTAGCTTGGGTGAAAGCTTTATTTGATGGCTATAGAAAGACGATAGTCAAAGCTCTGCTTTATATATATATATATATATATATATATATGCTTAATATACAGTATCCAAATTTAATTTGAGCTTTTCCAAACTGAAGTAACAGCAGAAAAAAAAGCAACTCAATCTGTAGTGCATCTACAGTTGCAAGAAAGTGTCTGTGAACCCTTGCGGCTAAAGAGGCAATTGGAGTCAGAAGTCAAGCAAACGGGAACAAGGCCTTAGGGTGCAGTGAAATGTTTATTATGATATCACATCTTCAACGTGAGCCTCAGAACCTCGTGTTGCCTGTGGCTTGTGACACTTCCTGTTGCTCAGACACGATATCACCACCACCAGCAGCAGCAGCATTGTTGCCCCGATGCCAGAGAGAACAAATATGGCGCCTTTATACACTTGAGGAAAAAAAAGGACAGCATTGTTGAGCATCATATCTTGGCGACTGGTGTCGTCGTGGCTTGAGCTGGACTCACCGATGTTCTGCTGACCACACGGATCAGCCCGCTTTTTTGTGCTATTCCGACGCAGCAGAAAAGGGCCCAAAGTGACGAGCTGGGTGGGAGATGCTTCGGAGGAAGCCTCTCTTCTGCGTCTCTCGCCTTCAGATGCTAGAAGGGCAAACAGCCAAGTTTGACGAGCAAACAAAATAATTCGCAATCGATGGTGAGTATGATGCATTCTTTTCGAATTGTTTGCACGTCGCTAAATATTGATTCTGCATGGCTCCAGATCATTGAAATGGCACCATTGCTTGTTTTTGTTGCGACATTGATGGATTTCTATAAGTGTAGTGGCGGGAGTAAAAAGGTGTCCCATTTGAAAGCCCGCCACCGCAACTCTGTAGCACATAAAAGTCATATCCGGTACTCACAAACGAGAGCGCAGCGTGGCGCGCAGTCCACCTCTTTTGTGCAGAGTTCCACCCAACAATAGAAGTATATCTAATAAATGAGACCATAAAATAGCCCCAAAAGGGAGTGAGTAAGGTGTTACGTTTTGTTGTACTTTAGCAAAATGCTCATGTACTTTCACGACTTACTTCCTCAACACTTGGTTGGCCTTCATCGACGAAGGCAAAGGTCTTGACGTCAAATCTCCTGATTTGGGAATGGGAATAAATTTGACCCCGATCGTCCACAGGGACTGAACTTTTGGAGTCATCCAGGTGGTTGGGACATCTATCCAGGAGGGGGAAAATTGAAGTTAAAAGCGCTCTAGCCCTCCTGATTTTTCAATGCTGCTCATCCCTTACCCATCGTAGAGAAGCGTCCATGCAGAGTGTCGAGATGCTGGGTAAGCAAAGCAATCCCTGACATGGAGGGAAAGTGTGGGATCCGGCGATGGTTGGGCCAGAGAGATTTCCACGTAGACGGCTTCACGCAGTGGCGACATCAGAGGAAGCTGGTCCTCAGGAAAGAAACATGTGAAGGACGCGTCTAAACAGGGAAAGAGAACGGTTTGGGTTTGTGGAGTTTAAATGCGAGTGCAACCGTCTACGTGTTTTATTACCTGTGGCGATTCTCATCTGCACTTTGATGTTTCCCAGAGCAACCACAGGCGGCAGCTTGGTCACAGTGTGGAGGGAAGTCAGATTGACCGCGCGCCTCGCAGCCGATACATCATATTCACAATCGACCTGGAGACTAGAATTAATGAAGTTGGTCATTGCCGGGTAAATCTGGTCATGCGGCGGATTGCCGAGGGTGCGATAGAAATTACCGAAACGGAGTATGGTTTGTTCTCGGATCAAGCAGCTCCTCCACCTCTAACTCATAGACGACGACATCTCCCTTGACCTAAAAATCAGGTGGAGTTACTTTGTCAGCTAAATGACACCCGGTATTTTCTGATGTTGAAGGAAAAGAAACTTTTAGCATCACGCAATCAAGTGTTTGCTGCTGAGGTGTCTTTAAATCCTACTCTGCTCACGGCAACTGCTAATGTAATTGAGTCTGATGCTCGATTGACAGGTTTGTAATCAAGGAAAGTGCGCGACCTTTATCTTAACCCCACAATCCGTGACGTGAATCTTAAAGACGGCAACGTCTGGGGTGGTGAGCACAGGAACGCAGCGTGGCCGATTCTTGACCGCGAGGCTTCTCGGGCGCATAGGCGGGTCCATCTCGGTCCTTTCTACAGCAAACACAAAGTGTCCGTCCAAAGAGCAGGCTGGAAGAGATGCCAAAACAGAAGAAAAAAGCAGTTCTTTACAGACTCATTAAAAAAAAAAAAAATCCAATTTCTCAAGCTTACAATTGAGTCTGTGGTAGCATGTTGAATCCGTGGAATTGTAGCAGCAGCCATGATGGGCGCAGGAATCTGGGGACAGTCTTCGTGTCCCACATTTCACTCGGAGGTCTTTGTGGATGGCGCACTGCCCGTGGAATTCTGGAACATTTTTTTTTTTAAACACACATTTTCACCAAACAGTAAATTAAGATCGGTAGTGAGTGATGCAAAGTGCCAGCTCTACAAAAGGTGGGCGAGGTTGAGAGTGTGCTGGTGCAAGTTAAGTTTTCAGGCAGCACATCCACACTCACTCGGTGGCGGCAGCGGTGGCCTCCCCCTGGGTCTCCTTGTCAGAGGACAGCTGATGTTGACCCTGAACCATCGATCTTCTCCCGTCAGCTGCACTTGCAGTGGGACGACCACTTTACTGCCCTGAGGGCCCAAAGTCATCACCATATCCAAGTCATACATTCATTTGAATGGCTTCCCTTTTTTCAAAGAATATAAAGGAATGTAGTTAAATACACAAAAAAAAAAAAAGTATTGAAACGCGCCAGTATTTCCACCATTCTGGATAATAGTGTGAAACCGGATGAATTCATACAACATTGCTTTACCTTCACTTGAGCGTAGCAGCTGTCATACGTGCTGAAGAAAACAAGACTCTGGTTGTTGTCTCTGCCCATTTTGACTCCACACAAGCTCCCAGACCGATCCGCTGTGAATGTGGCCCCCGACTTGTCTGACATAAGAGTAAAGCGAACACAATTTTTAAAGTAAAGCAAGTAGCTTAACGGTTGTTGATGTGACAATACACACATGTGGCAATCTCACCTTTTACACGAATATCACTGATGACCTCAGAGCCAAACACAGCTTTTATTCCCCTTTGAGAGCAGCTGACTCTGGGCAAGGCAAGACTTTGCCTCTGAGATGGTATTGAGCCCTTTTCGATACACAGACAAAGTGGAGCATTGAAGGTCAAAATGCTGGAAATTAAAGAAAATGTCACAAAATTAAAATTCATCTCTTTATAGCTTTGATTGATGCTTTGTTTTATTATTTTTTTTTTTTAAGCTTTGCCCACTTTTATTTAAGGGGCCCTCGAGTTGAAGCAGGTGGGTATCACGTGACAGCCCAATTATCTTTAATTGATTAGAAGCCTGTTGGAGCCCACACAGAGACACGAAGCAACCCTTCATTAAGCCCATGTGTGCTGATGGCAGCCATTAGACGTCAAAATTAAATGAGCTCCAGAGATCCTTAGATCGATAGATATGCTAGTCAACACCACACATGAAAATAACCAGGAAAAATCTATGATTTTTTTGTAATTTTATCATTGAAATAATTTATAGAAAGAATATTATCGTACATTAAGTTGACATTCTATAACATTTTATTAAATTGTTGACGAATTAATAATTTATATTGAATAAAACAAACCCATATTCATTCCAATGTATTTTTAACATTTTATAATGAAATTTAAGTTTTGTAGTGCTCTTCAGGCTTTAGCAAGGGTGTTTCAGAGGCATGGAAAACCCACTTGAAAAAAAAAAAATTTAACAGGAAGTGACGTGTAACCAGCTGATGTCATGTCGTAACGCGTGTGACGTTTGAGCTGTTTCTTGTTAGTGGAGCACAAACAAACTCCAACACCGCCGAGTATAACAGCTACACGGCCATGGCGTTGAATAGAAATCACTCCCAAAACGGCGGAGTGTTGATTAACAATGGAGAAAGGTATGGATTTTTGTTGTTCTAATACGATTTGAAAACGAGACTATTTCTGGGTAGTTTTTTTCCCCCAATCAACATCAAGCTTAGTGGCCTAGTTTAGCTTTAGCACAACTTAGCTAACGCAGCTCTGCCGCTGACAGTGCTTACGTGATTATTTTTCCAAAGGCTATTTTAGCCGATTTTCCAAATGTGCGTTGTTGAAAATAACTTCCTCGCGGAAGCTCATCTTCGGTTGGCGTCTAAGCTAACTTTCAAAACAGGAAGCCAGTATGTTGACATTATGATCATGATTAGCGTGTTGACACTTGCTTGTCGGATAAGTCGGTGTAAAAAAATCGAGACATTCTATTATATGGGTAGTATTTTTAATTCGAAGAGACGTAGAATTGAATTACATCGTCATGAGAGGTGTTTATGGAAAGCTTCAGCTAAACGGTGCCACGGCATTCCAATACTAAGCTAAATAAGGTCAGCGACGTTAAATATCCAGACAGTGGTGGTCAACTTGACCAACAAGTTTCATTTGTTCCGGGACCAAGTAAGTAAAAAAAAAAAAAAAAAAAAAAAAAAATCCCCACCGAAATGTTTTGAAATGCCATTAATCTGTTCCACGCCCAAAACATCACAATTATTACACATTGTCAATGAAGAGAAAAATAGCAGTGCATTATATGAAAATGAGAAAATAAATACATTAGTTTTATAAAGTGTACTTGTATAATACATTTTTATTTGTGTGTTGAATGTCTGCCATTAAGGGGCGTGGCCTAGTTAGTGACATCAGGAGCAAGAGTCAGATGTTGCTGCTCTTGAGCATCTCAGTATAAGTTGTGGCAGCAGCTTCTTGGGGGTACTTCTCTGCGAGCATGATGTTTTTTAAATATATAATTTTATTATTTATTTGTGTGTGTGTGTGTGTGTGTGTGTGTGTGTGTGTGTGAAATACATGATAGGGTCAAATAAAAGTTTGTTGGCTGATACAGAAAAATTCACGTGTAGGTGTATCGTCGAGGAATCCATATCAGTAGGGTTTGGTGCCTCAAGAAAAAAAACAAACCAACACAGATTTTAATTTTCTCTTTTCTCACCAGTGTGTTAAGAGAATGTAAGAATGTGGAGCTGTCATTCAGTGACGTCGCCTGTAAAACAGAGCTACTGAAGGGGACCAAGAAAGGCACCGTGTACCTCACACCATACAGGGTACGGCACACTTTACACACAAGTCATTTGTTGTCATTTGCTCTTCTTTTCTTTGTGAAGTTGACCAAACTCTTCTCATGTGCCATCATGGCCTCTCTTTTTTTTTCGCTGGCTTAGATGGTGTTTGTGTCCAGTAATACAAAGGATTGCTTGGGGTCTGCCATGTTCCCCTATTATCTGATGAAGGGCTGCAGCATCGAGCAGCCCGTGTTTGCTGCCAACTACATTAAAGGGACAGTGTCAGCTGAGCCCGGTGGTAGGTGTCCTGTTTTTACTTTGCATGTTTTTTAGAATTTACAAACGAAACGTATATTAGTTCTGCTAGCAGTGTTTAATCATTTCACATTCTTAACTGCTGTATAGCGTAAACAGAGATAAAAACAAACAAAAGCAAAAAAAAAAACGTAAAGAGAGTTTGACTGATGTTTGACTCCACTTTGGGCACGGTGCATTTAAATAGTTTTCAGTCACGCTTGTAAATGAAGCTCGCACGCGCCTAAGGTAAGAGGAGATCTTATTTCTCCCATTGTCCACGGGTCGCGTGTCTTGCGATGAGCGCCATGTCCGCGCCGCACTTCCTGGTGCATTTGTTCTCCAAATTATATTTTGTGCCGTCGAAAGACCATCTTGCGAATGATTTATTAATAGGCGGATAGGTTTTCTGTTCAATCTTGCATCTGTGTAACCGTTGCATGCATCTTCTGTAAACACGACTGAGATGTTGTGTCATCTCACGCTAGGCGGCTGGGAGGGTCAGGCCCATTTCAAGATGTCATTCCCCAGCGGAGGAGCCATCGAGTTGGGCCAGCATCTCTTCAAACTGGCCACAAATGGTTTCTTCATGACTTCCCGTTGTTGCAATGTTCTGTTACCACACCACGCCGGTAGAATTCCTTGCAAAGCGGCTGTTACCAAATTGTCTTACAGCTTCTCGGGGAGCCCCCGCCCAGAATGGCGGCGCGTCATATCATGCCTACCCTTCTCCCGGAATGATGAACGGCTACAACCCACCTCCGCACGCTCCCCAAGTCTATCCATATGCACCCACTCCGCAGCAGAATGGATTCTACCCGCCGCCTCCTCCTCCCGCTGGCAACATGGGCTACCCTTATCCGGCAGCTGCTCCAGGTGCGCGATGCAGTTCACGTTTGCTCGTGCACACAAGACACACAGCAAGGTTGAAATTGTTAATGAGAAAGTCGTGACTTGATAGTCGTAATTGTTAGTTCGTAGCCATGTGTTGACAATCTGGCCATGTCCGAAACCTGCAAACTTGCTGTTAAGCAAAAAAACAAAACAACCAAACCCCGCTTTGAAAGTGAATAAAAAAACAAGTTAAGACAAATGAAAAAAAAAGACCAATCTCAATCTCAGCGCAATGAAATCCATCCATGGCTGCTCAGTACAATATGACTGTCGTATCAAAAGTTGAAGTGTCCATCTACGTTCTTTACTGCTTATTCCGAAGGAGAGCAATTGATGGCTAACTGCAACGTGACCTGCTCGTCATGTTAAGTGATCATTTGTGACTTTGAGACTTCTTTTGTGTTCCAGGAATGTACCCATACCCGTCGGGGTCTGACTACATGGCCCCGCCTCCCCCGTATCCAGGGCCACCTCAAAACTGGGCTGCGCCCCCTCAGAATTGGACAGCTGCGCCACCTCCAGGTCTGAACCCCCGCCTGCCCCGCTCCCCCGAGTCCTCTTCCATGTCTGCGTCATTGCACCCGTCAGATGTGATCCATCTGGCCCAAAGTGAATCACTTAAAATCACGCCGCCGAAAAGGAAAAAAAACAAAAAGAGAGGAGCTCTCATGCGCCTCAATTCAACGCAATTTAGTTCATTGGTGCTATGATGGCACAGGATGGCGGCAAAACATTACTTTTGTCTAAAATCTTCTTCAGTTTATTTCAACACGGTTCCTTGCACCAAAGTGCCACTTTTATTCCTTTGGCCCGAGAACAAAAGCACAAGCATCTGTTGTCGTGGATCTTATTAGTGCGTGAAAATGTATCGCATGTTGTGTGTGTTGAACAGTCCCTTGTCTTCCCTTGATGAGTTCTGTTTCTTTCAGGGCCAGCTAACGCCAAAGCCGCAGAAGCAGCGGGCAACGCCTACTACAATCCCAGCAATCCACACAATGTCTACATGCCCACGGTAAGCTACTTTGCCTTTATTGTCAAGTGACTTTGAGGCATCTTGGTCCCGATACACAATGACCGTTTGTATTTGTTTTTATTCCCCAAAAGGAGCTGCCTCCTCCATATGCACCTTACCCAAACTCCCCTGAAAAGAAAAACAACTGAGGCACAGGCACTTGGACACTTATTCCTTGTCTTCTGATGGAGCCCTGATTGCAATTTACGGCCTATTACAAAACATTGAGCTTCGGCTCTTACGGTAGAGTGTGGTGAAGTGACAATTTGCAACTTTCCCCACAGAATCCCCCCCCCCCCCAAAAAAAAGTCATCTGTGGCTATTTTGCTTAGTATAATAATTTTGTTGGCACGTTGTAAAGAGCAGTTTGGAGCTGAAAGGAGGCAGTGGGAAGTTGAATGTACTTTTCTCATGACAGAACTGTATCGCCACACACTTTCTTGGAGTTCATTCTTGTAGCTTTTAATAACAACCAAAATTGTCAGTGTGTTTTTGCGGTATCATTTACAGTGTTCCCCCCACCCCCACCCCACCCCCCTACTGTCTTTGAATAGAGTATTGTTAATCATATACAATAGCAGGAGTGGGTTGAATAGATTTTAGTCGTATGCCCTTGGCCTCGATGCTTCCTGATTCTCATCGTTTTTTTGCTAATAGCGTGACTTACAGACTCGCTTGCTCTCTAATGGCAAGTCATTACATTCCCCCACCGCCCCCTATATTCATTCAAATGTACATCTTCAGAAGTGTGCAATGTTCCCAGTTGACATTGGTGGCAGTGGCTCACTCGAGCGCCACTGTTCTCTTGTCCTCTGACGTTTGTGTATGCAGAGGCAAGCTGAAACCTTCCTTGTTATTCGGTCAGGACGCGGTTACCGGGTTTCACCGTTCAGAGCACAGCAGTGTTTTGCCTCTTGTCAAAACTCCCGAGGGCTAATCATGTTTTTTCCTGTTAAGCAGTTGACCCCTATTTACAGGTCTTTGCGCACCCTAAGCGGATTTCCTTAGTGTGGCTTGACGTTTGCTTTAATCATATACTGTCTATAATTGAATAATGCTTGGCTGAATTTTCTTTAACTCGAATCTAATAAATTTGTCATTTATTGATTATACTACTCTCTGAGCCTCAGCTGTATTTTATTTTTTTAATGTATGCACTTTTTTTTCTACGCGAGAGGGTCGGCAGTGTGTTTTGGCTCACGAGAATTACTGTCAATAAAATCTGCACAAAAAAAGCAAAGCCTTGCACATACATGGTCATAACTTCAAACTTTTCAATCACCTAACAGAATAACAGAGTCGTAAAATGTCATTTTAAATAAAAGTAAAGCGTTTGAGCTGTGTGACAAATGATGAAGTCGGGCTACTTGAGCAACAATATTTATTATTTTGGGACAGACAAGTTAACCCTTCCAGTTTTCACTCTTGCCATGGATAGTCGCACTACAGATGTATCACAGTCACATTTTCAGGGATGAAATTAAAAATGGAAGCTCCACAACAACGTGAAAAGATTTAACGAAAATGACCATCACAAAGTGACATGATTGGTGATCACAATACAAACTGCTCGAAAGCTAATCATATTAGAAACATGACTTCATGGGTTGAGAACTAGTTCCTAATTGAAGAACAGGATTTTCTCCAAATCATCAGTGGACTCACTTCTAATTATGCAACAAAAGAAAATACCGCTATGCTCAAGTTGTATCTGGAACTAAACAATGCTACCTTACTGCCAAACTTCAGTTAGGCTTGTCTATTTTCTCCGTTTCACTCTTCTATCTCACACCTGCCAGACAATGACTTCATATTGATGTTGCTTTTAGAGGTTGATATTCTCTATTGGTATGCGTAGCGATACATAAACCAGAGCGTACGGGACATTTTGGACTCACAAACATACAACGGCACTACTTTTTGTTCGCATAGTAAGGGGATGTGTTGAATTCAAAAGAGACAAACAATACTTAAGTCGCATTAGTGTCCGTTTGTGGGAGTGTCGGCGAAACGGTCAGTCTGGGGAAAGAAGCCAAAACGGGCAAGCGGGCGCCTACGGCTCCTCCTGTATAAACCACACCTCGTTGCGGCGTCCGTAGGGCTTGATTGGCGAGTCGTAACTGCAACAGAAGTATTGCTTGCGCTGGAATGGGGCCGTCTCACCAAGCGTGCGTGTCAAACGCAAGGCTTCTGCTCGGTACTCGCTCTCACCTGCGAAACCTCCAAATTGCCTGCGGGCGGGGGGAAAAAAACAAAACAATAGTTTGTATAAGTGTGACGTGTTAGCGGTGAATGTTTAGTCAGATAAGTTCCGACTGAGGCCTGGGTACCAAATGCACAACCCACCGCTGCTCAAATTGTGTTTACTTACTGTTCATTAATTTTTCAATGAGCTCCATGGGGAATAATGAATTTTTTTTTCCAATCAAATCTGCAACCATTGAAGCATTTGGATCAGATCTGCTTTGATCAAGCACATTTAAATGCCGTTGAATTCCGTGCCGTGCTGTGACTAAAAATATCACTGACACACGCTTACAGTGTATAGACAGTCATGCCAGGCCGCTCCTCGACCCTTATGGTACTGTCCGTGGGGGTCGGGGGGCTCTGCTGGTATACGGTAGGGATGCGGATGGCGACCACCAAACGACGGGACAGAACGCCGTCGTTCCGAGGGTAGACCGTGATGATGGTAGGTGCCGCCGTACCCATCGCCTCACCTTGTTGAAATAAGAAAAGACTTAAGTACACGGGGAACATAGTGATTTGAATGCCATTATTGTTGTACATTTTGTACGGCACTTTTCCCAGGAAAAAAAATATGCCCACATAGTCGCACAAAGTTCCAACTCGCACAACCGGCATGACGATGCACCGCTCTGAGGTGCCCTACCTTGCTCATTGCTCCCACCGATGTACATGAGCAGCTTCCTCACGAGCTCGCCCGTCACCTGGTCATAAGTGCGCCCTTCAGAGGAAACGACGGCGTATTTGGCGGCGTCGTAACGCCGTACCTCAAAGCTTATGCCATCCTAGGGGAGAACCAAAAAAAATAGGAGGTTTTAGGCATTAGTGAAATCAACCAAAGCTAAGTGCAACATTTTTTCCAGGCGTGAGGGAAACTACTCAGCTTCCCGTAGCTGCCATGACCAAGCAAAATAGGTTGGATAATGGTGAGTGCACTGACTTGTTTACAGCTGTTGAACTGTTGACCAAGATAGCATTTAACATTAGCCAAAGTAATAACACAGTCACCAGATTGACTCGAAAAGTTCAAATGTAATTTTTGTGTTTAAAGGGTTACTTTTGGAACTTATCGCATTTGAGGGTTAAAGAATGACATATAGGGTATTCTAATTGCCGTCAAGTGTCCAAAAGGCTCAAATTTGACCCAACAAACAAGTAACATAATACTTTTTTTCTGGATGAGTGCAGTCATGAGGTTAATCGGCATGATGCAGGGCCCGTTGCACTTCAAAGGCTGACTCTGTGTACGTGTTGGATGTTTGTATCTGCACAATTGCACATACGTGGTTGCGCCAAACCAGCGCGGCCCAGATAAAAACATGGAAGGGGACGACACATTTTGCACTGATGTGATTTAACGTCTCCTGTTGCCGCCGTGGGTTCACTCAGGCTACACATTATAATAGGCCCGAGATACACAACGTTACGTAACGCAGGCAAACACAACTTGCTCCCCCAGCCCCCAGCGCGCTGCGTTAACATGATGCAACCGTCTTTTCATGTGATTTCGAGAGGTTAATGTGGAGTGCGGCCACGCAGCTCCACCGCGATGCAATGACCTTAATGCGTTTTGAGGGGGTTCTGGTCACAAATGGGGCTCCCATTTCCATGACCGTGATTATCCATGCGATGAATCACTCAAGTGTTTTTTCTAAGGATGCGGCTGTAGGAATGGAAAGGTCATTCGAATGATAATCATTCTGCGAGCAATGTTTACCCGGCCTATACATATACTGTACCGCAAACTGTATTTATTCACATGATCGGAGTCGAGAAAAGAACAGCTCGCCATTTAACGGTTGCCGTCTTTTAACACGACTTCAAGTGTCTCTGTGATTTTGGATTTGTGCGTACTCTACACTGCATAGGAGGGGTTGTGTTTGCACTCCATAGTGGTCGGAAAACGGCCGGCCACCTTTGTCACACAAGAAATGTGAGTTTGAACGTATTGTAAGTAACAAGTGCAATTAACCCCTCAATCACGTGTCAGTGGATGTTTGCTACATTATCAACACTCACTGTTAATTGCAAGCTTTTTTGGGGTGCTTATACTTATCTCAAGACTTTTAATTACATCACTTTTTCATTGTGTGTGTGTGCGTGTGTGCGTGTGTGCGTGTGTGCGTGTGTGCGTGTGTGCGTGTGTGTGTGTGTGTGTGTGTGTGTAGCTCCTCTGCATTTCTTCTCGGTTTAAATTAAGTGTGTAGGGTGTCAGAGTCAGATGGGTGTCCGAGGGCTTCGGTGACAATCTCAGATTTCAGTATCCGTTGTTTAAACTCGAATTCACTTGACAGATTTGATGGACTTTGCTTTGTGAAGTCGGTGGCTCGTTCCCAAGGAAACTTGTGTGAATGTTGGGAGAATCGAATATTAGTTTTTGAACATATTTGGTCAAATAATAGGTCCACTGACATTTTGCACAATATATCGACATCCGATACAAAAGCTACATCAAATGTTTTGCCTTGACAATGACAATAATAATGCTTTGTTTTGGGTTTTTTTTTTTGCAATTGTGATTTCAAACTGAATTCACCTTTTTCTACGATATGCACAAACGTGACCCAGCTCACTGGGCTTAATTGACATCACAATAGATTTTTAGCTTACATTTTATTGAAAGCAATTAATATTTCAGTCTTATGTAACGCTTTGAAAACACTTCATCTTTCATAATCATTTCGATGCGCCCCACCGTCCCCCTCCTTCTCATGCAATGGTCATTTTGAAACACAGGTGAGGACCTCATTCTGATTTATTGATGTGTTGTGGTGTACACAAAGTTTTCTTATCCCAATGAAGGGCCAAAATCAAAATAATTTTCTATCAAAACGTAGAAATTTAGAAGATTCAGACTCTTGTCACGGTAACAAAAGGTGTACGTAACCAACAATGGCAAGAGTCAGATGCTCTTGCCAGGAGCAGTCGCGCTACTGTCAGTGTTAGCCAAAGAAGAGTGACACGAATGACACTTTTCATGACAAAGAAGTGAGTAGTCTACTCAAGAGTATCAAGGCAGTTCACTTTTAGGGACTTTATCATTGAAGCTCTTGTATTCAGGTAAAAATCAAACTTTTGTCAAGGTGGCACACGGATGTGGAAAGACTGGGTTAGCCTTACAACCCCAAATGCCCAAACATTCCCTGAGGACTTCCAAAAGATGATCACCAAAGCCTGCATGTCTCCATGCACTCGTACTTGCAGCAGCGCATTGTGGGTCAAAGGAGAACTTGGACCGATACTGAAGTCGCTGCTTGGGCATCGCTTCAGTGAACACACATCACTGGCTTTCCATCGCGCTTCTTTTCAATGCAAGAAGACGCCAAACGTCACAAGGACGCCAGTGAACAGTGATACGAAAAGGTCACGGGCTTCGCTGTGACGTCACGGCAATGGTCGTGTTCGCTCAGTGCACATCATGTGAGCCATGAGATTGACCACTCGCGGGCTCAAGTAGCTCGCGTGCGCGCGCATGTCGGCGTGCGTTCAAAAAAAAAAGAAAAAGAAATAATCATTTTAAAAAGCGTTATTGACGAAATCATTGATATGTGGGTCAGTTTAAGCCCAAATCTGACTGGTCAGAATCTGTATGCGATTTGGGTCTATTGTAAACACAATTTTTTTGATTCATGCAAGAAAATCGTTGACATGGCGGGTTTTAAAAATGCGTACCTTGGTCTCTGTGCTGAGTAGTTTATATTCGGTCTCCTCGCTGTTTCCGAAAAGCGAATTCTTGATCATTCCAAACATGTCGCACCTCCCGATCGCGTCACTCTTTTCCTTTTGCACCTACTGTATGTTGCCCCAACTCTTCTTGTCAACCTAACCTCTGCACTCGTCGCTTGTGAATGCTGCTTTAACTTCACTTGGACAACGGTGAACGTTTTTAGGCATCCGCTTGGTTGTTTCGGTGTGCGCGCAGCCTCCTCCTCAAGTCATACTTCTGTGCGCCTTCTGCGGCCACAAGTTGGAGATGCTCGCTGCCGGAGAGAGACAGAGAGAGAGGGAGCCTCGCTCTTCCTCCGCCTTTCTCACACTCCTCTCCGAGCAGAGAGGAGTGTATGAATATGAACTTCTCTGTATGAATTTTTAAAAATCTGAAATTTTTTCCAGTGAACTTATTATTAGTTGTATTAGCTATAAATATGCATATTCGTCAAGTTCCCACTCATTAAAAATAAACGAAATGAAAAAGACGATGTAGTGTACACGTAAACAATAAAATCTACTGCGACGCCCTTGCCTCAGTCATGGTTGTTCCATCCAATCCCTCCCACGGCTCCCAGACTGGACTCTGAACGTGACATCTCCAATGATACACACACAGTCGTGGTGTCAATATTTGGATGAAACCAAAATACTGTCATGATCACCTGTTCGTGTCCAGCGGGTGGCAGTGGCGTTCCCGGTTTTCCTGCTGCACACCTGTCTGGCATCACACTTATTGGGACTATTTCAGGACCTCATGGACCCACGTCAAGCTGTCGCCTTGCTCAAGTGCAGTCCGTCTACTCTAGATGCTCTCTTTTTACTCACGTTCCATTTTTTGGGCTCTTACCTTCCCTTACATTCTTCGTTATTCGAGTAAGTAGTTCTTGGTGTGTTTCAGTGTATCCACGGTTAGTTCTTCACGCGGTTTGGTCAAGAACAAGATGTTGAGTTGCTTTGCTGTGTCTTGTGTTTAGCAGAACTCATTTATTGCTACAAGAAGTAAATACTGCAACCGTCTTGGATTCATTTCTTTCGCTCACTGTGCTCAGCGATATGCTGACTTCTCTGTCCTTTTTTTTGGGTTTTGTTTTTTGTTATGACTGTGCTTCACAGACACGGTCGTGTGTCAAACCCCATCCTTATACTCTCCGCTTATTTGTGCATTAATTGTGACACAAGCCTTTGGTCTGTCAGAATGCATTGGACCGTTTTTGAGTGCGCGGAATGTGGGCAATGCATGGGTGCTTGCCTTACTCCCGGTGTCACCGTGAGTTGCTTGGCTTTGGGGTCATTCGATTTAAATTCACTCTGAAAGCCATGTTAGTCATCAGTGGGATAACAGGAGGGGGGGGGAGGGGGAACAAAATGGGGAGATTAATGGCAAAACGGTGCAATGGAAAACTGACTGTCACTGTGGGCGAAGTGAGAAAGCAATGAATGGATGAGTCTGAGCCTAAATGGGCTGGGAGGGACAACTTGGTCAAGCACTGACCTGAATTCTCCAATAGAAAATGTCTTTTGGAAGCTGTGAATTTCTGACAATGCTGCCCTCGTGATTATTTCTGTTTTAAGAAAGCACAAACTATTTTGATGCACATCACAAAGCTCTGGCATTTGAACATTGTGGTTAGACATTTTAAAATAAAAGTTAACACGTCACATTTTATGATTCCATTTTTTTATATGCATATGAATGCATTGTAACTATTCGAAGCACTTTATGATTCCTCTGATCAAGCACATGTAGTGGAGGCATCGGAGAGATATTCTATGCAATCTACCATTGCTTGTTTTCTAAAGAAAGCAAACCAAATATTAGGTGATGAATAGTTTAATTGAGAACTGAATCAAAGTCAGACACTTCTTTTTTTTTTTTGTGAATGTCTGCCATCACTTTTGAACATTTAAAAACATTTGCAGGATCAAAGCAAAAGGTGGATTCAGAATTCATGTTTCCCCCCCATACGTCCTCCCTGGATCATAAGGTAGAGTCGATCGCCTTTGCCCTTCTTGAATAACACTTATCCCTTTTTGGAGGTTGCTGTTCACGAGGCATCAGTTCTTCCACCGTCACTTCTCCCAGCCTTTGCCTCCTGGCTGAGTGGGCAACCTGAGCCCCACCAGGCCCGCCACATCTTCGGGATTGCGCTCTCCCTTTGCATGGTAAAGGTTGTGCAGGGCTTGGTGGTTCCGGGAGGATGCCAGCAGACACAGATATGTTTGGGAGGCATGGAGCGCCTCCTGCTGGGCACGGCAGTACCTCTCTCCTGTCACCTGCGGGACAGGAGAATTGATTAAAAAAATGCCGTTAATCACACCTGACAGGAAAAGGACATTTGTAGAAGGGGGGAAATTAACGAGTGACGTCACCAACAGATATGCAATCTTTACCAACTTTTCTCAGTCAACATTATTCTGCTTTATCTGACAGAACAAGTGATGGTGACATTAAGCATTTGGCCCAGTCCCCGTGGTTTCGCATATACACTATAATGTCCCTGGGTCATTTTGGGAGTTTCAACAAATACACACTGAAAGGCTCGAGTCTTCCCCCGAGCCGTTTTGCACCACTGCACATGCGGTCAGCCAGCGATGGTGAGTCTTGTTCTCTCAAGCATTCATAATCGGAGCAATAAAAGTGTTGCCATGAAAGATTATCAGAAGGTGTGCTATGGGAAATGATCCAAATTCAATTCGTTGGTCCAAAAATATTTATTGACTTAATATATTTGTATCCAGGCAACTGTAGATGGCAGGAAGTAGAACTAAACTGTTCCCATTTACACAAAGCAAGACAGTAAAAGCGTTGTGTTGAACTAGATTTCACATTTGTGTGTGTGCGTTGACCGTCATTATTTCAGTATCATGTAGAGTACTTTCTGATTTTTTGGGACATGGCCCGGCACGAAGTAAGCGTGATTGTCACCGTAATCATTACATTTACATGACTCCTCAACTGGATATCAATGCAATGTGCACGTGTGCCAAATAAAGTGTCCACTCAAGTGTACAGTTTTACACTGGATTGCACTGTACGGTACTGCGCAGCAAGTTAGCCGTTAGCATGCCCTTGTGTTGCGCTGGAGTCACATGAAACCAAAACATATGTTCTTAAAATGGCCAGTCGTATACATGAGGTATTAAAGCTTCTTGAGCCTGAAAAATGTAGACGCATGTAACAAATAGAGGAAAATGCCACTAAAGGTGGACTTATTATAATATAATAACTGGCGGAAGTAAAACTGCATGTAAGAGAAAACTTGCCTGATTTTTGCGAAATTGATCCGTTACGTAGTTGTACGCCAGAGACTGCTTGTAATTTTGTCCTTGCATGGCCCGCAGTTCTTTGAGAATTCCTCTGTAGACGCGTAAGGAGGACGGCGAAGCTGCCATCTTCGGATAACTTGTGATTGTCAAGCGATGCCTGCGCTCACCAAACCAGACCAACTCAATCTAACGTCGCATCATCGAGCAACCATGTCCACCACAGGGCGGCGATGTGTCGCCTGCACATCATCACCGGGCACACCTGCCTTGATTGTGTTTCCGGACGGAGAAAGGTAACGCAAACTTTTCAGAACAAATGAGACACTTGTGCTTTCTGTTGATGTTGACATGTTCGCAATAGAGTGACCAAAGTTGGCGCAAAGACTGCATTTGTCTTTTCTTGTGTGGCCATCGTGTTTTTGCCATAACTAGCAGTTAGTACCTTTACGCTATCGAGTTCGGTCTGTGCAAACTCACTTTGTCTTGGAGCTCCAAATAAAACCAAATGAGACGGACATGTATTCAGCGTGTCCCAGCCTTTCACTGTTTATGTATGTATTTTTAAAAAAAATATATCACATAAATGTAAAATAGACGAAAATAAAATAGTCGACCAGCTTCACTCATGATTGCTCATTTTGAGTGAAAACTGAACAGGTGGTTTCCGAGGTTCAATCTAAAAAGTTCTACATAAGTGTAAACAAATACGCTTAACCGTGCTTCTGATCAGAATCGCCCCAATATTTCTGGTTTTATGGACATTAAGAGTTTCCCTCATCAGGTCGATCCAGGTAAATTCATCTGCAGTGTTTGAGCTGATGTTCCGACCAAAGCCTCTAGGGGGAGCCATTCTCTTATGAATTTGAAACAGCGGTTGGGTTCCTCGACATTTCCAGGCTGCCCTCCGCTCGCTTTTCTCCCACACTCTTTCAATGAATACTAATGCAGCGAATTGGGCCCACCTCCCTTCCTCCCATCTTTTCGCAGAGATGGGCGGGAGAGGGGAGACAGAGCAATTCCAGCTCCACATCTTTTCCTCATGAGGCAGGTAGTGCTTGACTGTCCGCCTTTTTCCTCCCACTGTGTGTTGCTGCCGCAACAATGTCTTACCTGTGTGAGTGGCGCCACACGTCCAAGCAGAGTTGAGGGACAGAGGACACCCGCGCCTGCTTTTTCCTCATCTGGATGGGAAGCTATTTTGGCGGGGGGGAGAGAGAAGAGAGCAGAAGGCAGCCGGGGAAGGGGAACAACTGGCACTCGCCAATTCCCCCTTCCGCACATTAACCGGAGACGACGGAGGCCACTGGAGTATTTGCTTTTATCTTTCGTTTTCTCTTCTTTTTTTTCCTCATCGCACTGCTGGGAGGTGCTTTGTCTGTTCATTTGCTGGCTCTCTCACTTCTCTGTCTCCTCATCTATTTTGCCATTTACCTGGTCAACAATTTTTTCTATTTATGAGCCAGACAAGGAGAGTGAGAGAGAAGAGATTGGAAGGGGATTTTTTTCCCTCCCCTTTTTATCTTTTTTTTTTTTTTTTTTTTTGAAATCCCCTCTCCATTCATTCCCTCTCCCCTCTCAATTGCTTTCACCTCCAGCCCCTTTCTTTCCCTGTGCAGCCCACGCTCCCTCCTCCCTTCACCGCCTCCTCCTCTCGATGCCACTCATTGTCCGCTCATAACTTGGGATACTTTTTCATTCCAGCCAAAGTGCAAATTGCTTTACCTACCATGAAGACGTTTTAATCGGCTCCCCTCTCTTTTGTACTTTTTTTTTACTTTTGTACCTTTCTCTATTTTCCATGTCCTAGTTTGTCCTCCTTCCGCCCAATGCGTCCTTTTTTGGGCTCTTCTTAAATCTAACAATAGGTAGGTCTTTTTTAGTGTTGACTGTCTGTCACCCAGTCTTGTTTTCTCGTGCCAGGAATGTTTTTGAAAGTCCGCTGCTGAGCATTTGCTATGCGCACCTTGACACACGTACGCACACACTTTGACTGCCGTTGTCATATTCTTGCCTCCCGATCATTCTGTTGTATTTCTTGTTCTGTTTGACTGCAATGACATCCAAGGACCGCCTCCTCCTGCCGTCGCCATTGAACCTCATTCCGGCAGCGTTGTCATTTCTGTGTTACTGCACAAACAAACAAACAAAACAAAAAAAGTCTGCTCTTGTGCATTCCATAAAACATTGGAACATGTCTCACACCTTCCTCCTCCCATGTGCCACCTTAGCCGCCGAGAGCCGGCATCCGACATCCCCCAACATCTGTTCAGTGGAGGATGTGTTCATTCGTGATCATGCTTTTGCAAATAAAATGAGGCTTATATTCAAAGTGAGGAACGTGACAGGTCAAACAGTTTGTTCTAGACAAGCACTGAGTCTTCACGTTGGCTGCCATCTGTGTTTCGACACTCCTCTATCCCCCCCCCCCCGCCCCCAATCTCATTCCCCCCCATTCCACCCACGTTCCATCTCACATTGCTCTCAACTGACTCTTTTCTACAGACAGACTGACACGAGCTTTGAAAGAGAATGGACTAGGAGGAAGAAAAAAAAAAAGCCGTGATCACGCAGAGGCTTTTTTGCCCCCCATTTTCCTTGCAATTATCAATATTTTTAGTCCCTTTGCTACAATATGGCACCTGTTTTCATCTCCATCATCTAACAATGTGACACGTATGGATTAATTTCAGTTTGTTTTGCTCATCGGCCATCTTAAAATAATGTCACGTCTCGCCACGCATACTTTGTCTTGCTCGTGATCAGAGTAGTTGCTATTCACTTAGCGGAGCTCTGATACAATTCAATTATCATTATTATGATTATTGCAAGACAAGGAACAGCTGGTTAATGATTTTGTGAAATTCATTTTTGGAGGTCAACCCGTTGGAGGGAAGATCAAGGGGGTCATTTTGTTTGCGTGTGTCTGTGTGAGAGCGAGTGCCCGCGTTAGGTACACAGACTCACAACGTGCCAAAGATGCATAGACAAATTGAAGCCAATCACAAAACTCCTTTTGCCGTCTACCTCATTTTTTTTTTATTTTTAAATTTCCACTTCCGCCCGCTAGGGGAGGTTTAATGGTTCCACTGCCCAGTATATGAAGATAATGAATGACAAAAATCGGACGATTGGGAAACAATTAGCCCCATATGGGCACGCTGGATGGAGCATTTTTTTATTTTATTTTTTTTGGTCTGTGGAATTTCCATTTCAAATCTTGGATATCTAATTCCAAATATAAAAATTCTAGCTGTCACTAACGGGATTTTTTTTTTTTTTTTTTTTGGGACGCAAATGGACTGAAGCTGCTTTGCCGTTTTCATCCTTTGTTGGATTTCACGAATAGATTGAAGACCCAAGCAGCGTCTGTGTCGAATCGATAACGCTGATTCGTTCGATTACTCCTACCAACACAATCGATTGAGTCTATTTTTTTTTTTTTTCAATAGGTGAGTACGCTGCTTGGAATTCACTCATGCTGATCATATTTACTTTATTATTTATGATGAATTATTATTCAATATTTTGTGAGAAAGAGAGAGAGAGAGATGGATGGATGACTGTTAGCCTTTCATGCACCCTGTAACCTGATAACACGATAACCCATGAAGGGTTAAGGTTCGTTGAATCAAGCATATTTCATCTTTTTGGAACTCTTTCAATCTACTGGACAGCAACAGTCACGGACGAGCTCGCCGCAATCACTTGATCTGCTTAAAAGCTTGCAAAACGTGAGCGTGACGGCGAACCTATCGTGTGAGACGTTCACCGTGTCAGATGCAAAATGTACTTTCGCACTCGCTCTTACTTGGCCAGACACGCAGCCATGTCAAAAGTGCGGCCGCGATCGACCCCTTTTTCTTTTGATTAACTCTCCGGTCGTTGACATCAGTTTGGATTTACACCGTGTGTGCGTGTTTGTCTGCAGTCGAGGTTATGACTGCGCCTGGGAAATTCACCTGGGACCTGCTCTCATAACGTTGGGATCGTTATCGATTGTGTAGGCGCACATGTGACCGTTGGAGCTGAAATATGGCTGCATTAAGGAAAGGCAACTTGTCTCTCGACTCTGTCACAGCTGCCGTGAGACAAAATGGACGCTTCGTTTGGAGCGCGAACGCCTCTGTGACGCTTGTCTCAACACGGCCTTTCAAGTTTTCGGAGGGAGCAAACTTTGTGAGGTGCTTGCAACTCTTCTGCTGGGATTTGACCGTGACTGGGATATGAATGTTACGTCCCACTTACAAGATGCTGTGATAAAAATTGAAAATAGTTTGGCTTTATGCAAGTCTCGAATAAGACATTGTCTTCTGTACTCGAGGCGCTCCTACAAAGCAAATGCAGACATTTTGGACATTTTTTAACGTTTTCAGTGCATCTGGCCAGCTCTGCGCAGGGGACGCTGCAGTCCTTGAGCTGAGAGTGTCTGCTTGGAAAAGTGGAGGAATGTCGGCTGTAGCTTAGCATCGCTTCCATTTGAACAGAGAGGACATTTGATTTGCCGAACCGGGAGTCTTGTCGATCATTTGAACTGCCTCGCCTGTGCTTTATTGCCTTGGTCATCATTTGAGGAATGTGCAAAATTATCTCTGGATTGGTGTCAGTGTGATGATCTTTGGTGTACCCTCCCCCCACCACCAAAAAAAAGACAAAATGCAGAATTATTTTAATACATTCATGACAATCGGCACATCTACTTTGGAAATAACGTTGGATGTCAATATACAATCCTACGGCCAGAGAAATCTTTGTACGTGCCTTGATATTGTCGTGCTGCCAAAAAAAGTCCCTCTTGGGAGAACAGAGATTTGGGCTGCTCCACTGTCTACTCCCATCCATGTTCGACATTGTGCTTAAATGGAGGCGGTATGTCGGTACAACATGGAGCTTCTTTGTTGTGGTCGAAAAACAAAGAGTATTTCATGATGAATTCCCGTCCTCCGCCCCCCCGGGACTGTTTAGTGTTTTAAAAACTGCTCTCAAAGCTTATGCGGAAAGAGAAGTATGCCCGAAGAGCCTTGGGCCGACATGATCTTTATCGATAAACGGGCCAAGAGGGGAGACGGCAGGAGAATACTAATCTCCCGCTGCTTCCTTTTCCTCCCCGCGTTCTTCCGATGTGACGTATCGCATGTCCGGCTTCTGAGGACTCGATCAGCCTTAATTAAACCGTCGCAAATTGAGCACTTGGTTATGCGGGGCGGCGCAAAAAAGACCCCAGAAGAACTTGTCTCCTTAAATGAACGATTACATCTGCAGAGCTACATGGATTGTTAGTCTTCCATAACGTGTGTGTGTGTGTGTGTGTGTGTGTGTGTCTTGCACGGTGATTAAAGCTTATGTGGGCCAAGGAGCCAACTTAAAAACTAAATCTGGATTTTATTGGCACACTCCCTTCAAGCAGGCGGAATATAGGTCATAATCTAATATAAAAAGGCTGCTCAATAATTCATCGGAGCTGATTAAAAGACGACGTATCGATGCAGACGACTGTCCGCGAGAAGCGACGCGTGTCCTTAAAAGCAACAGTTGAGCTCCTTTTGTGGCATCTGCATGAGACCAAAGACGTTTTTCGGTGAGCCGTCTCGGTCTGCGTTTACGTGTTTTTTTTTAGCGCGTGGCGTTTGTTTGCGCAACGCGCCGACGTTTGTACGCGTTGGGCGAGTTTGCGTGCGGCCCAATCGAGCTATTAAATATGAACAGAACAATCTGTTACCCTGCAGCCAAGCGTTTATTATTCAATGACATATGTCACTGAATAATTTCTTCACCCCAAAGTATGGCCCGCGCTCTGCCAGCTTTGGCGACGGCGTGGTGCGGTTTGGCAAAATGACGACGAGTGTCCACTTGGCTCAGTTGAGATCAGATTTGGACTCCTTCCAAGGTTCAACGCATCTGACCTGAAAATGTGTTTCGTTAAGTGTGCCTTCATTAGGATAAGCGCCATCTTATCAAGCTGATCTGAACAAACAAATCCCGGGTCGGGTCTCAGCCCCGAATTGATTCCTCTTCAGACCGGGCTGGACAATCGGCTGCGTTCATTGCTGTGCGCGGCGGCGGCGGCGGCGGCGGCAGTACCGTCGATATTCTTCTGCTTGCTCTCTTTTCTACTTTCACATTCTCGCTAATCATGTGTAATTTACGACCGCATTGTGGAGGATGAAAGGGAGAGAACTTTCACAGAGATAAGAAAACGAAGCTGCGTAGCCCGCACGAGAAAATTGCTGACTCTCGAGCGCTCCAACTCCAGATAACCGATAGGACGACGACGGCGTCAACTTGTGGAGATAGAGACAAAGTCATCAACCGAGTCTTGAGCAGCCCTTTTGTTAGGAACACAATACCGCGTTTGGCATGGAGGTATCGTTCAGGAAAAAAAAAAAAAAAAAAAACATCAGCCGTAACCTTCTAGAATGATCTTCACAATGTGACATCACTATCTATACCGGTTCAAATTTACCGACACTAGCGGACGTCCTCACCCCAGCTGGCGTCGCATCCAAAGTGACTCTCGTGCCGCCCGGCCTGGATTTTAACCTAGCGACCTTGAACGGCGGCAAGAGGATTGCGATTTGCATTCGGGCTGACCGTCGCGTTCGAACTCGCATTCCTTCACGTGTAAATGAGGAAATATTCCCCTGATGGACTTCCGCAGACTTTCAGTCCGCACGTTGAAGCGAGTTGGAGCTGTCTTGGCAGCTCTTCTCGGGCATTCTTAGATAGATGACGTTGTTCTTTCATTTGTCGGCCATGCATATGAGCTATGCCTGAGCGGATTTGATCGAAGCCGCTCATTAGTGGAGACGGGGGGTGGTTGGCGATGAACGTGGAGACAATTTAATGCAACTGTACATCTGGAGCAAAATGGATCATTTACCCGATTGGGCTGCTTTTCTGTTTTGAGTCAGCTCAGCAGTTTTAGCCTTTGCCAATCTGCACGCACGCACGCACGCTCGCGTGCTCACACACAGTTGACTCCGGGGCGTTATGAGACGCAGTTAAACAGATTAAGGCTGAATGTAGCTGTTTGTTTATTTTTTTTTGTTGTTGTTGTCTCCAAGTGGCCTTCACTGTGTTTTTCCATTTTATTTGAAACTCGATAACACCACGGGGGGTGGGGTCTGTTTCAAATAACCAAATCGACGTGTGTTTGTTCGCTCGTTCTAAGTCAAACAATCTTCAGGCGGCAGGTTCAAATGTTGCAGCGGGCACGAACGGCTCTTGAAAGCGTCGGTGACCCCCTGGTAACCCTCTGTCCTCCTTGTGCCCCTTTTAAAACAGCGGACTGGCAGACGTCAGCTCGCTGGAGCAGAAGAAGCTGCCTCCCGTGGAGTACGTTTACCTTGAAATTGCCGCTTTCCCCCTTGAAATTGCTGGTGAGTTCTCAAAGCGACATCACCCGCGTCATTACGAAGGAAAGTTACCTAGCAACCTTCTCACCTGTTCATTCTGGACATCTAATATTGGCAAAATTAATGCCTGCATGCTCATGAGTTGGAGAGGTGTCAATTAATTAATCAAGAAGGCAAGCAAGCGCACAATAGTGATAAAGTGCTGTTGTTCAAAAAAAAAAAGATTTAGTCCTCCAAATGTTGTTTTATCCTCTTCTGAGTCCATTCAAGTCATTTTTCGATTAATTGGCTGATGATGGATGCTATCGTTCAAGTTTATGAGACGCGCTTCTCGCTTGAAACTCTCCTTCGTCACCCGTAATTTCTAATCACGGTGACATGACATCACAAATCGCACCTCCGACTGATTGAATACTCGTTCGGTTCGTTGCCTCCTGATGATAAATACTTGAACAAATACCGGTCACAAGACGCGTTTGGGACGACGGCACGTTCTTATCAAATCTGCAACTTGAAATCTGGCGTGTTCTGCTTTACGTCGTGAGCGGCCGTGCCCCCACAGGTCGCACTTGAACTCGAAGAGAATGAGAAATTCTGGAAGCGGTTCAGCAAAGTAGCTCTGAGCATCCGAGGCGGGTCGGGGGGAGAGTGCACATGCCTGAGGAATGGAGGAAAAGTTTTCAAGAAGAAGGGCGATGTGCAATGTGGTGGGATCGATGGAGGAACCAAACTGTCCAGCCCTAATTAGAATCCTGTTTTTTTTGTTTTTTTTTAATCAAATGTAGAAACCATCTTTGTTGCTATGGCGTCCGTGTTGCATTGAGCGCGCCCAGTATGGAGCTTCTAAGCTAGTCGGCGGTGATCAATAATCATCTCCTCTCTTGTGTTGATTGTAGTGCAGCCTCCCTCAGTCCGAGGCTATGAGAGGGAGAGCGGAGGCCCAGGCTGCACCATCATGCTACTTCTGAGACGAAGGGATGAGACTTGGGCCCACAAAACACAAGGTAAGACCAAACAAATGCACGGAGCCTTCTCTTTCATTCAAGGCGTTTTGCGGACTCGTCTCGCGATAAGACGCGCGGCTTTTTTTTTTTTTGTCTTTTTCTATCTGCGTGTGACTACTCCAAAGCTCATTGACGGCTGCTTCGAAGTCCCGCAGCCTTCTTGTATCTCGTCGCGTGCTCAAGGGTTAGGATCAAGGTTCAAGGTGGAATTTACGGGGGAGTGCTTTTTCACGGTGTGCGCTTTGATCAATGCCCCTTGACTTGATCCAGCACCCATCGACCTTCGCGCTCCTTCACGTGACGATCGATGAGGATTTGTTGAGTGTTCGCCCGTTGATGTGTGTCGTGTGGCCTTTCACCGTCCGCTTTCGTTCTGTCATTCATGTGGACTATGAAAGAAAGGAGGAGGTTCTCTTTGTTGGGGTAAGACATTATTCTTTTTAGCTCTGGACCAAATTGTGCAGATTGAGCTCAAGGGCGGTCATTATCGCATCCGGCGCTTTTTGTTTCGTTTTCTCACACATGAATCCCCCCCGTTGCATTTTTGGGGTGAAAAAAAAATGCTGGTTATTCCGAAATGATTGATTTGTTTGACACCACATGCTTCTATCGAGTGTCCTCCCGTGCACTGTTCAGAAGCCGAACTGTACCGGAAATAGAGCAGGGGAGCGTGAGTTTTTGTTTGGTTCTCTTTTTGTAAAGCGGGGCTGTAAACTGTTGTGGGGTCTGCGCACCAACAAGGCAGTCGTAACACACTTCCTCTTATTACTTAATCGTCTGCCTTGGCCGGCTTTGGGTGTGGGGGGGCACGGCGCGAAAATGAAGTGCCTCTGCCTCGGCCCGCTGTCATTAGCTGAAAGTCACACAGCTCCGTGGGCTAATGCTGACGCTGCACCGCGGCTACAACCGACTTACATCATGAGACATTACCATATAGATGAATTGACTGCACTATTGCGTCGCATAAACGGTCATCCTCGCTCCTCGGAGGGGGGAAAGGAAAAAAAGTGCCACGAATGGTGGTGTTTGGGCCCCCCGGAGGCTTATTTCGTCTCGTCTGATCGGACAGTCTCCAAATAGCGTCACCTCGCGGTGGCTTCGGTCCTGAGCCTGAAGCGATTCTACGATCAGAACTTTCCGACAATGAAACTTACAAGCCTTACGAAAAATACTTTTGTTAAAAGGCCGAGTAGCCTCGTTTGTATGCGAAGTCATTCGCGATGAATCAGCACATACTATAAAACCTGGTCTAGGTTTGGAGCCTTTAGTTCAGGGGTTCTCAAACCAGGGTCAACCCCCCCCCCCGCCCCCCCACCCCTCCACACACGATTGGCAGGCAACCAGTTCAGGGTGTCCCCTGCCTACTGCCCGAAGACGGCTGCGATAAGCTCCAGCACCCCAATTTTTTTCCCCAACAATTTTTGTCCTGCATATCATTCCAAATCTGCAAAAAAAATGATTTAACCTCTAGTGCAATTATAAGACTTGGTGTAAGTGCAACTAAGACATCTCTCTGCCATCTGTTGGTGAATGGTGATATTACAACTTTAAACTATCGGCGATCCCTGCATATTCTCGGTTCGGCACCTGCGGATTTGCATCTTCACAGATTTCTTTTTTAATTTTATTTTTTCCAGTTTTTGTTTTTTCATGAAACCACGCCCCTCCCCCCCATTTCTTAATATTGTTGAATAAATGAAGAGGTCACTCAGAGTGCGGTTGCGGGCCGGCCACCAGTTGCCCCTCCCTGCCTTAGATCTCTTCAAAGATTTCCTGGTTTAGCGTCACAAAATGCCCGCTGTGGAAAAGGTCATTCCAACAAAACAGCCAGTGGTGGTTTTTGCACTCCGGTATGCTCATCTTTGATTGATCAGATGCAGCTTTTGATTTTGCAAAATGAAATTACATGTCATAGCCCGAGATTTGGGATGGACCCTTTGATGAATGTCTGCGCATCTAAGTACTGCTCTAATGCATTTCTCTTCATCTCCGCTCCACTAAGCAGAATTTTCTTCACCGCTATAAAAGCTGCACTGGACAAAATAAATCAGTATATTCTCGAAAGAGGGGCGCAATCTGAACCCCGGCATCGGATTTGATGGTTGCGCATCACGGGCTGCGCCACAGGGCAGAGGACAGCGCTGTTTGTAATGTGACTTAAGACGAAACGGCCAAGCGTGGTTACTGACCCCTCCGCCGTCCTCGAGCGTTCGCCGCTTTTCGAGGGGAGCAGCGCCAGAACGCCACCGCTGGCCACGCTGCTCTTCCAATATCATTGCTAATTCCCCCGTTGCTCGGGAGGCCTCAACCGACTCCGGCGAACTCCGCAGGCTCCTTTGCTCTTCGCCGGAGGGCTCTCAGCCTCGCTCCCTCCGAAAGGCTCCCCGAGACCGAGCTGGGCTTGCGCCAGGACGTAATGCAAAAGTTATTGATTGGGTTGCGTTAAGGGAAAAAAAAATGCCCGCTAGGAAGTAGAGGGGAAGAAGGGGAAGAACTCGCAGTGGGAAGCTAATGCCACTCTGCGGGTCTTTGGCCTCCAAGTGGCAAAAGCTCGGGAATGCGGGAGGTTCGCTGCAGAGAGAAGGACAAAATGGGACCGCATGAAAAAGAAGTTGCATCACTTCTTTTTGTCACACGTCGTCCAGCAGTAAAATGTTGCATAGGTGCAATGGAAACAAAAAGAAAGGGGATACAACCATTGTAGAATTTGTCGAATTCTGACTGATTGACAGTGTGGTGGTGGTGGTGGGGC